AATACATGTATAATTCCTTAAAACGACACACACAAGAAAACACGTAAACATAATATATTTTAATTGTGACTTGTTGTTAAGTACATGTATGTTTATCCCTATTTTCTTCATTTCTTCTATTTCCTTGAGCTTAAAAGGGTCATACGTCTACGTCATCATTTTGTGAATGGGAATACAGCGCACCAAGTAGTATGAAAAATAACTAGTTTTCACACGAAGCCCTCTATTGGCAAAATCCCCTAGCCCATCTTAGAATATTACTTCCGACTTTATACGGCAGTGAACGGGGTTAAAATATGAATTCGGAGTGAGGTTTACGAATTCGGAGTGAGCTTTTTCAATTCGGAGTGAGGTTTACGAATTCGGAGTGAGGTTTGCGAATTCGGAGTGGGGTTTACGAATTCGGAGTGGGGTTTAAGAATTGAGAGTGAAGTTTAAATATTCGGAGTGAGGTTTAAGAATTGAGAGTGAAGTTTAAATATTCGGAGTGAGGTTTAGAATTGGGAGTGTCGTTTGGAATTTGGAGTGCACTTGTGGGCCACCGCAAACTTCCGTTTCATTCTACTTTGCGTACACCTCTTACATCTTTATATCAATACAGGAAGACACAACTTTATGCATGCCAATATTTACATTGTTTCTAGATCTCCTCTACCACACTGAAGTTAAAGTTAAATGTGACAATTTAAAAATACTCGATGTCCAACGATTTGGAAATTTTAAAAATTCGATTAGAAAATTCCAGTGCAATATGAGAAACAGACCTAATATAAGTTATCTTCAATGCTATCAAACCGTTTAATCAAAACGTTATAAAGACTTTTTTGTATTAGTCGCGTGAGTTAATCTTAGTCCAACTAACAACGCAGGGGCGGATCCAGGATTATTTGAAGGGGAGGGGGTCTGTGGATGCAAAGTCGACCCTCCCTCCCCCTTCCCATCCTTGGCCTGAGATTTGGGCCCGAAAAAATATTTTAGAGGGTGAACGGTGCCATTTGGTACATTGGTATGATTCAGCTAGCCAAAAGTTTAATTTGAAGAGGGGACTATCGGTGTGTTTTTTTTTTTTTTCAAAAATCGAAGGGAGAGTCAGGCCACCCACCCCCTACTCCCCAACACCCCTCTAAATCCACCACTGCTTGGTTTTACTTTTTTTATATAAAGACAGGTTATATAAAGACAACTTATTATAAATAACTCTGTCAATTTGGTAAATTACTTTTGTTCCTGGGGTACTCAACGAAAAGATTGAAGGAAACTAGCTGACAAAACAATCACTTTTCCAATGCACTGCATACGTTACATTGTATTTTTTTATAGTTTCAATTTTATTTAATTGTTTAGTTTGTGATTTTTTTCTTATTACCACACACATTCAAACAATTAACTTGGCCACGGTTTGCATTGTGTGGGTTTTTATGATTGTGATAGAGTGGAATAAATGACTTCCGGCATGCACGTGGTCTTTAACGAGCACAAAGCAGTGAGCGTATTCAGTTTAATGTTCTTACAATGTATTACTGACAATATGGAAGAAAATACATTGCATTTATACTTATGTTACATTTCAAAGCGTTAAACAGATATAGTTAAATGCCAGTCAGCACAATAAAGAATGTGTGATATTGTACAATACTTAGCAAATGCGAAACAGTACGACGCCAATTGAAACTGAAAGGCAACTGTTCGACAAAGAGAGATACATAAACCCGACCATAAAACACGTTACATTTAAATGCCCTCGCTTACTATATGGTTATAGATTCTGCATGCAGTTTTATATAATTATAATTCGTTGTTTAGATTATAGCAGTGATTTGGTCATGTATCTTCCACTTCAGCGATCGATCTCATCTCCAAAAGTAGGTTTGATGGGGTCACGAAATGATCCCAGAGTCAACACAATGTAAGAATTCAAAAAAAAAAAAAAAAAAAAAAAAAACTGAAACTTTAAGCAGCACGACTTGCTTGGATTCGATTTAGAGCCAATGTTGCAACTTTCACGTACTGTGCAAAATCTCCAAATTTGAAAACACAGTCTGGGGACGCTATGGCGTTTATTTCGGCGTCATTCACATTGTTACCAATGGCAACCACACAGATGGTCCATCCTATAAAAATAAAGAAAATGCATTAATCACAAAATAAATTTCGGAAATAACAAGAAATCATTTCAGTTGTGAGCAGGTCTACATTTGATTTAAAGGGCATCATTAACAAGATTCTAATTTATTATGAATCCATATGTAAGATTCATTTAATATTCTTCGGCTTGCTATGAGTATATATTCCACATGCCCAAATAGACTTACTGGCACCAAACAATTAAAATAAATGAACACCGTTGTAAGGACGGTGACAACGCATAGGTATACACTAATTACTGGCATTGTTCCTCCAAGGCAGCATTGGTAAACTTTTAAGGTAAGGTCATTGTAAAACAAAACTAAAACTAAGCCGTTCATGAGAATGGTTTTTCACTCTAGATGTTTTGTAAAACATCATTTGTTGATATACTAACCAAGTTTCTTAATATTGGTGGCTCTTGGTATTGGATTACCCACGGTAGATTGCCCATCAGTAAGTAGCCATATAAGCTCATTGTTCTCTTCAACGAAATCTTTCTCAATCATGAGCTGCGAAGTCTCCAACGCCAGTTGAATGTTCGTAAGTCCATCTTGAGAACAAAAAAAAAAAATGACTTGGTAAGTGTGCATACGTTAATCATTACTTCATTGAAAATGTCGAACTTTGTGTTGTTGTTTCGTTTTAGATTAAATGAAAATTGAAATTATCTCTCTGTCTCTCCTGTGTCTCTATGTGTGTGTGTGTGTGTGTGTGTGTGTGTGTCGTGTGTTGCGTACGTGTTTGTGGCCTTGATTCGTACACGTGCATCCTTTAGGAGTACTACTTTAGACTCGACTTACTTCCGTTTTGGATTGAGTCAATGTTAGTCTTAACACTGGCCAAGCTGGTATGCTCATTCAACTCGAACTCCCTCACCACGCCCCTGGTAAATTTCAACGCACCAACTCGGGTTCCACCAGGGAGAATTGGATGAGAAATATCGATGGTTTCGACGATAATCTGAAGGTAAATCGATATATATATTGTTTTCAGTTAATGTAATTCTAAAAGGTGAACATTTAGAAATTTCCTACGACCAGCAAAAATATCATGATATAGACATAAAATAGACCGAATGCAGCATGTGAGCTACCGTATGTCATAGTACATGTGACAGCACCCGACAGAAATAAACAGATCCCTTAGGTTGGTTAACACTGTATCTCGAACTCGTATAAGGAAATGACTACCTTTGAGGCATCTTTTGCTGAGGTGAACTCGGCATCATCGATGCTGCCGCTGGCGTCCAGTGCCAGCACGACATCGACATTTGTAACCTTGCAAGCAGCGTCTCGCACAGAACACGGGGATAGGACTTTCGTCAATGTATTGGCGAGTCGTGCCGCTTGCAATGCTGCGCCTAATATAAGCAAATCATTTGTAATCAATTGGGGGGATTAAATATTGCATCATGATAATATAGAGACCGTAGAAACCAACCTTGAACATTTTTTTTTACAAAAGATCGAGGTAAAGGGAAATGTTTTCTGGGGGCACCATCCGAGAGAGACTAAAAGGAGGATAGGACGGTGCTTGATGTCATAAAATGTGAATAAAAGCGAGGAACTGCGTGACGAAGGGTTGAGTTATTTAAAAAAATCAATAATCAATAATCAATCAATAATCAATAATAAAAAAAAAAAAAAATAAACATTTAGGGGTGAAAGGGCATTGGTGGTACACACAACCACACATTATTTTACTTATGTTTGCACGCACGAACCTGTCTTTTTACTTTCTTTAATTGTACCAAAATACACTAAGAATGTATAACAATATTAATATTATGATAAAGATATAAATATAGTTCTGTTATAAGCCATCTACAGACGCTAACAGATGCAGGCAATTGAGCTTGGAAAGTAATACACTTGAGCATACCACTACAGGGTTGCTGTTTCGTAAGGCACCGGTGGACAGAGGTAAATTAAACGGCAACTTACCTACGTTTTGGATCAAATCAATCTGCGCGTACCCCTCCGCTAGCAACAGTGCAGCGGTCAGAATAAGAACATATAATCGCTCCATGGCGGTATTGACAGGTAAAAAAACAACCTAGAGTGTCACGGTTTCTTAAACAACAACGTGCACGGGGCGCAGTGGCTTTATATACTGTTGATTGCATATACGCAGTTGGCGCATTTATAGTGTTGTTGTTGTGGACATAACTTTGCCCCTGGTTAATGTGGTCGTCAAGGACGAATTTAATTGCTGTCTGGTACAAGAGATATGTGACGTACGTATTAACTGGGAGAAACTGCGTGTTATCAAAAGGCGCGTTTAAACATAGCTTCCTTAGGATTGTGGTTGAAATACAAATGGTCACGTTAATGTAGAGACTGCAATAAAACCAGTTTTAAGATATGACATACCTTGGATACTTTTTTGCTATTGAAAAATACAGGTGCGTTTATCATAAAGAACTGTTATTTATTTTATGGCAAGAAAATGTTAAAGAAAATGAAAATCCGTTCCAGTCTTGAAATGTGTTTTAACTCTCGGTTGTTTGAGTGCAGCAGCAATGGAACATTTTGCCCCAACATGCGCTCGTTAAATTTGATAGCCATTGCCAACGTTTGATGTATACGACACCAGTACAATCTAAACAACGTAGTAATGACCTGACGTTACACACATTTGTGGCGACCGGCGCCAAGCGCGATCTAGTCTGAAATAAAACACAATTTGCTTCGTGACATTTGCCTGAGAAACTAACCCCTTTGCACAATAAGCTGGCATCTTATTTCCACATGGACTCATACAAAATGTGTATCTAAGTGTATCTAAACTCCAAAATGCACCATTGCCTTTGGACTGTGTAAGGACTTAAGTACATACTTATAAGAAAAAGAAGGAGAAGAAGGATGTGTCGACATGGTCTCATCATCACTAATTGAACACAATGCAACCAACGCTCTCCAGGAACATTCACTGTAGGTTTCAGAAAAGGAACAGCGCAAAACTTGTCTACAGTTTTATAGTTATAAAACATATAAAATGAAGGGCTCTTCTACATGTAATAAGGGCTCTCTGCTGTTCTTCAGTTTTACCATATCTTACCAACTTTTAATCCTGAGCACGTTTAAAAAAGCATAACCACAACGTGGCTTAATATTATAAGGCATCATGGAACTTAGGAAATCGGTTTCAAAATCCACAGAGCCATGACACAAAATGGTCCAGACTAACAGACAAACATTTCATCTACCTCAGTTCGAATTTAATTCAAATTAGTTCACTTATATGTAATACGAGTGTTATACATAGCCCAAATTGAGTCTTTTTCCTTCTTCCGCGATGTTTTATTTAATTGGACTTTTGATGATTTACCTTAGATTAACATGGCATCTTTGTCTTAATTCGGCTAGTTATCTTCGGCTTTTTTTATCTGAAACGGGTGCCTGACAAACGTAACCAACTGTGTTAGTAAAACCTCACATAGTGCTAGCGGTAAAATCACAGCACAGTGTTACGAAACCTCTGCACAAGGGGGTATGGTACTTCAATAACATTTCCTGTCCAAATTTCCCTGCAGCATTTAAGTCGCATGTCTAAAGACTATGAAGCTCTCGACGTCATTTTGGGAGAAACGAAGCTATTTTTCGGTTAATGTATTCAGGTTTTAATTTATAAAGGTCAAAAGTGAAGAGACTATTCATAAATGATGAACTAATCAAAATACTATGTAATTCCGGTATGTGAACTGGTATTTCCGCTCGTCGTAGTGTCATGCGTATTTTTAGTAACACATGTGTGTCATTTTACGTGGAAAAGTGAATGACTTCATCTATCCCACCATAATACAAATTGGGCGCCAGGCTGATATCAGACACCTGATAAATTTCAACAAGGGTTATTTAGAGACGCGGTGCGTTGCACATGTACCATGATTGGGAATTGTTGATTATTTTGGTGGAATACCCATCCCTGTTGTAGAAATAAACGGCAGTTTTTGTTTTACTCTACTAAAGTTTAAAACGATTTAATGCCCTGGATAAGAAAAAAAAACGCTTGATAAATAACCACTTCAATGTATAATCGGTTAAGGAGGGGGGTGGGGGTGGTGCTATTTATGTCAGTTCATTACGGTGCATTATATGTGGAGAGAGAGAGAGAGATGCGTGTAGGAATTCTATACAGTCGGGAATCATCATTGCATTCAAGTCCGTGCCAGCATTTTTTTTAATTATTCATAAAGTAGCTGGAAATTGTCAACTTTGGGCTCAAATAAACATTTTATACTTTTTTTTTCTTTAATCATGTAGGCACATGTAAGTGGGAGAGAGGTGGCGTTTTTCATGTACAGGCTAAAGTATACATGATTTTTTTCACTTAAGAAAGTGACTTGTTAGAAGTCTGAATGTCGGAGAGCAAATATAAATATGTTTTTTCCTGTTATAGACATTGCGTTGCAGAATTAGTTGCAGTGAAACTAACTCGCCCATTGCCCACTTAGTCTTAGCGCTGCGGTCAGCGCAATCAGAACAGCGGACTTGTATAACTACACACACTGGACAATAGAAGTGCCACCCCTACTAAACCAATGCTTTGGGGGAGATGAATGATGATGAATGATATGCTCCTGGTATCATTTTATTAACATCAAATTTCACAAAAGAAACGGTTCTAACTGAACAATTCAACTGTATCGATATTCTTATATTGCGTATATTCCACCTCTTCAGGTTAATAACTTTGATTACTCTGATTCAGGGGGTGACACTTTTATTGTCCAGTGTGTGAAATATGACCGACCCTATTAGTGCTTGTTGCGTTATCTCCACAGGGGTTTATTCAATGGCTCTATTCCCATAGATTTTAGATCGATCTATCCCCGCGGGGAGTCTCACTAGATTACTTTCAGATAATCCGACTTAAATGTCCGTCCCGCCTACTACAAGCTGTAAGGGGATAATTAACTTTCGTGTCCGCCCGGCCGACAGCTATTTAGCGTGAACCCCCAGGGAGTTAGGTCGATCTAAAGTAGGTCGATCTAATCTATGGAAATGGGTTGAATGTCTTATCTAGTGAGTTGCTACGTTTGATCTGCGGATCTGTTAGTTCGTTGTTCTGAATGCGCTCTTTGGGGCTAATCCAACCAGTGCGACAGATGGCGTATTATCATGGGTCCGTCGCTGTTGGTTAATTAATAACTAGATAATCCACCTGACCTGTCAATGATGCCGTTACAGCGTGCTAAAACACGTGAGAACATTCTACAGTACATAAACTGTCAAACTTAACAGATACAGATGCCAGCAGATGTTTCCGACACGAACGGCCTGGCAGTGACGCCAAAGGATTCGTCCCACGGTTGTATTTTGGCGGCTTTGTCTCATCATAACTAGAATCCCGCCTCGTTCGTTGCTGAGACGGTAACTAGTTAACGTAATCAAAAATAACTCCTCACTGGACTACAGTACGCGTGTCTGAGTACTTGTTTACTGTTTACCAACCGAAAAAGGTTCATATTTATTTCGAAGCAAGGACTATAGCACCGAACACGGCGAAGAACTAACGCACTGGTACCTGGACGACTAGGAAACTGAAGTCGTACGAGCAATCATAAACTATTTAATTTGACGAAGTTTTTTTGGTGCAGAGGCTGATTGGACTGGGACTAATACGAGGTAAAACGGCAGTGATTTTTGTCAATATATTCAGTGGAGTTGCACAGTTTATGTTCAAGGTTAAAAGATATAGTTTTGCAGAGTACGCATGCACTTTATTTCAGTCCCGACGTATCACCTGCAAGATAGTCGCAGACTGTCTCATTAAAAAAATACATATATATTTACCAGACAGAAAGTCCGCATTTTTTGGACTAGACTGTACTATTCTAAACTATCAGGTCGTTTATCCTTTCCATAAAGGACCCGTGTAATATCTGGCAATCACAGTGAGGCACATTGCTGGACGTTTACCTCCTCACTCTGAATGGGAAGCGATGATCTAAGCGGCCCGCATGGACGGGAACTGAAGCAGTATACGACCAGTGCGGCGTTTGGACAGAATGACCAGGCACCGGACACTGGCGTCCCAAAGGTCTACCGAGTGGTCAAGACCGTGATTATCGCCTGGGCGCTTTGTTTTGAGGTACGAGAGTCTTTTTTTTTTTTTCAATTTCATCAAGTAGACAATACAGAGCTAACTGCCCTTGTCACCGGTTTCTTTTAGAATCCATTACGTTCATTGAATCACCACCTACCCTCAATTGACTAATAAGGCCTACTTAGATAAACCTGCAAAGTATCACGTACAAATAGATAAATATAACAATCAATAAAAAGTAGCCTTTATATTATGGCATATCACATTAAACAGTATAATTAAACAGTATATTAAAGATCACATATGAACGTATAGGATTCCACTAACAGCCAAGTAATATGATTGCATCTTTGAAAAAAATAGTAAATTGCATCACTTGTCATTAAAAGTTATTTTCACTACCTCCCCCTCTCAATTTAATCAGAATTCTTTAAATGTTTTATGTTAATTTATTTATTTATTTATTTATTTAGTTAGTTAGTTAGTTATTTAGTTAGTAAGTTAGTTAGCTATTTTGTCTATTTATTCCAGAGTATCGTTTATAGCTTACATGTTTAATTGCTGCCTTTGTTATTCATTTGTTTTCTTCGCATCTTATTTATTTATTTATTTATTTANCATAAACTATTTAATTTGACGAAGTTTTTTTGGTGCAGAGGCTGATTGGACTGGGACTAATACGAGGTAAAACGGCAGTGATTTTTGTCAATATATTCAGTGGAGTTGCACAGTTTATGTTCAAGGTTAAAAGATATAGTTTTGCAGAGTACGCATGCACTTTATTTCAGTCCCGACGTATCACCTGCAAGATAGTCGCAGACTGTCTCATTAAAAAAATACATATATATTTACCAGACAGAAAGTCCGCATTTTTTGGACTAGACTGTACTATTCTAAACTATCAGGTCGTTTATCCTTTCCATAAAGGACCCGTGTAATATCTGGCAATCACAGTGAGGCACATTGCTGGACGTTTACCTCCTCACTCTGCATGGGAAGCGATGATCTAAGCGGCCCGCATGGACGGGAACTGAAGCAGTATACGACCAGTGCGGCGTTTGGACAGAATGACCAGGCACCGGACACTGGCGTCCCAAAGGTCTACCGAGTGGTCAAGACCGTGATTATCGCCTGGGCGCTTTGTTTTGAGGTACGAGAGTCTTTTTTTTTTTTTCAATTTCATCAAGTAGACAATACAGAGCTAACTGCCCTTGTCACCGGTTTCTTTTAGAATCCATTACGTTCATTGAATCACCACCTACCCTCAATTGACTAATAAGGCCTACTTAGATAAACCTGCAAAGTATCACGTACAAATAGATAAATATAACAATCAATAAAAAGTAGCCTTTATATTATGGCATATCACATTAAACAGTATAATTAAACAGTATATTAAAGATCACATATGAACGTATAGGATTCCACTAACAGCCAAGTAATATGATTGCATCTTTGAAAAAAATAGTAAATTGCATCACTTGTCATTAAAAGTTATTTTCACTACCTCCCCCTCTCAATTTAATCAGAATTCTTTAAATGTTTTATGTTAATTTATTTATTTATTTATTTATTTAGTTAGTTAGTTAGTTATTTAGTTAGTAAGTTAGTTAGCTATTTTGTCTATTTATTCCAGAGTATCGTTTATAGCTTACATGTTTAATTGCTGCCTTTGTTATTCATTTGTTTTCTTCGCATCTTATTTATTTATTTATTTATTTATTTATTTATTTATTTATCGTTCACTTATTAATTTGTTGTTTATCTATTTATTATTTTTATTTAATTTTTATATCATCGATCTATCTATATATTCCATCCCCAGGGTATCGTGTATGGCCTTAACACTCCTGCTCTGCTGGATCTGATGCAGCTGTACCACGCAGACTGCGAGCAGGTGTCGGACGGTCTGACAGGGCGCAGTGCGGGGCTGCTGGTAGCCGCAGTCCTGGGGAGCTATGTCTTTAACAGGTAGGAGATGGGAGAAATACGTAGATGCATTTATCAAATGCTGTGGCGGCCCGATATTATGTTCGACAGGCCAGAAATGTCCTACGACCTGCCTGTCGGACACATCTGTCTCTTTTTTGTCGGACATATTTGGTCTGTCGAACACATCTGGCTCTTTTTTTTTTGTCGGAGATATCTGGCCTGTCGGACGCATCTGGCTCTTTTTTGTGGGACATATCTGGCCTTCTCTGGTCGTAGGACATATCTGGCCTGTCGGACATATCGGGTCGTCACAAATGCCGACTTTTTTTGTTTAGTGCGTTGCATGGGGAGCTTATTTGAAATGGATGGGTAGACATTTAGACCCCATTTCCAGAGATTAGATCGATCTACTTTAGATCGACCTAACTCCCTGGGGGTTCACGCTAAATAGCTGTCAGCCGGGCGGACACGAAAGTTAATTACCCCCTTACAGCTTGTAGTAGGCGGGACGGACATTTAAGCCGGATTATCTGACAGTAATCTAGTGAGACTCCCCGCGGGGATAGATCAATCTAAAAGCTCTGGGAATACAGCCTTAGATGAACAATAACGACGGAGGTGGGAGAGGGAAAGGGGAAGGTGGTGGGAGGCCTTGAGGAAGGGTCCTAACCTTACGCGCTTACGACTGGTGGTTAAAGATAAGACTCTTATATAAGTCACTCAGGCAGCCACGTGCCAGACCGCCTTTCCTGCGTCAAAATAGACAGTTTCAAAACAGCAAAGGGCAAACTTCTGGCAGAGTCATGGAAGCATGGCATGACACCTGAGCAGTTACAAGCGGCGAACATCAGTCGGAGGCTTGATTGCACAGTGGAGGAGCGTACCTTATTGTTTGTTGCACCGCGACGTGGTAGCTAGTAAATAAGCATCAACCAACGCTCAACACGAGCGAGGCAGACGATCGAAGTAAAGCCCCTTTACACGTCCTTTCTGCGTCCCGTTGTACGGCCCTGTCTGACAGTAAAAATAAACACTTTACGTGCTGACAACTGGCTGATCATTAAGCATTAATTTTGCAACAAAAGCGATGCTTGTGCCTCCTGTTAAAAAAAGCAAAAGGTGAACAAAGAGAAAGATAGGCGTACTGATTACATAACCTATTTATGCAACAGCGAGACTTTACTCTTGCAATAATAATTAATCAGCGCTAATACATTGTAATACCAAGCTGAATAAGGACACAAACACTTAAGAAAGATTAAGTGCTGCATCATTAGCCAATATTAATTTCGCTGTTTGCATTGAATGTCATCTTGTCTTATCAAAATTATGTTGCTTGTGACCGTATATTGACCTAATTATGGTATCTAGTAACCCACATAACACAGTCAGTGATGGCGGCAATGCTTATGTCACTGATTAGATAATCGTGCATAGGAGTTACACAGGATGCAGTCATTTTATCTCTTTCCACATGGTTATGAGGCCCACATTTCTTCTAATTTAGGACATGATGAACATGCACGAGTAAAGATTATCGATTTAATCAGAGAACTCATGTATTCAGCGGTTAAAACATAATTATATTGACACAATTAAGTTAAGGAGGTCTTGTTCCATTGCCAATAGATCAATACTATCATCACCCGTGCTAATCATACACGGTTTATTGATAGTTCACTCAACCAAAATCGTAGATATATGTAGACGGAAGCGGACACAGGCCCCACCCCTCATGGCTTACTATCTATACAGACACATATATCGAGCAAACCGAGTTAAATTCAAATGGATAACAATTGATTTAAATGTCTGTTATGGCAGAAATAAATAAATAAATTAATAAATAAATAAATAAATAAAAAGTGCCCTGGGGTAAACTTACCAAAGTTTAATGAAAACATTATTACATTCAAATTCAGTTCATTTTTTTTTTAATAATTGGTCTTATTAAAACCTTCTACCTGTAATACCTGATAATATGCCGTATGACGTTTTAATTAGCAAGCAAGCAGAAATAAATATTTGGATATTAGAGATACAATTCTAAATTTCACTCCAACCGATTCACGTCTACGCCTTTTAAATGGGATTTTCGCACTGACATTCACTGGTGTCAGTGCCGTTGAAGATATTGCACGTGTGTTTATTTATTTGTTTATTTATCCATTTATTTATTTAATTACTATGACTTCAGATCATGTTTTCTGCCATCTTTCCAGATTTTCCAGACACCAAGACGTCCTGCTGTCGGTCAGTATGTTGGCTGTTGGCGTGGCCACGGCAGCTTTGCCATGGGCAAGATACACAGTACTGCTGGGAGTGTTGACCTTCTTCCAGGGGGTCGGAGCTGCCTTCCTGTTCACAGGTACATTGTATGTCCTGAACAAGTATTAAATTTAAGGTGATGAAGCGGCGCATCGTTTTAGAATTAAACGTTTATGTTTTTAACATCACGTTTTCGTATCTTTTTATCTTTTAATCGATGCAATATTTTCCCAAACTGATGCACGCACATGTTTATACCCCTGTTTTATCTTTACAAATCCAGAGTAAATTTTGAAGTCTGTGACATTTATGTGTGTCGTTTGTTTGTGTTAGAAGATATATTAGACGATTTATTTGCACAGGATACCCTTCCTATGTTGATCTCTACCATGGCCCATAGGAGCCTACGCGTGCGTCTTTTAGACGCCCCTTTACATGCGAAAACGACAAGCACTGACTCAAGCCGCATTTTCAAAACAAATATCAAGACCATGATCCTACTACTTACTGATTATCTTATCTTTACCCAGAAAGATAAGCATTTTCAAATCTTATTTTGTTTACATACTTGATCATAGATTATCGAGCATAATAATATTTTCGAAGGTACACGTACGTTTATGCCGTATAAGGATTATTATATTAAACCCTTTATCCATTCTAGGTGGCAACACAGCCATGATACAGATGTGGGGGGAGGAAGCCATGGTTCCTCTCCACCTGGCCCATGTTGGTTTGGGGGTGGGCATCATAGTCGCCCCATTGTTCGCCGAACCGTTCTTGGCGCCTCTGTGTGATCATCAGAACGTGACGCGTGCCCCGGAGACCACAGTCATGCCAGGCCACTCCTACCGGCATGACGCAGCTAACAATTCTGTGCTGAAACTCATCCACAGCACACATGGGCCTGGTTATACAAAAGCGCCATCTTTTGTGGATAAACCGGCGTCAAACATATGGGCAGATGGACTACGTGCAGCCTCGGTCTTCACTCAAGTTAGCGCCCATCACCAGAATGGGAACCCCAACGCTTCGATCCTCTGCGGACCATCGATGGTTCAGATTCCGTACGGTATAACAGGTGCTGGTTGCCTATTAACAACTATTGCTTTTATTTTTCTGCACTCGCTTATAAAATCTCCTACCAAAACCGATGTCAAAGAAGCGAGTTCCCATGACGAAAGCAACGAAAGATCTCACAAAGGGGCGGACTCTGGCGAGAAAGGGGCATTGTCAAGTTTGAAAGACACAATCAACCCAGCGTCCTGCACTGGAGGACGCCTTTGTTTTGGGATTCAGTTTATAGCATTATTTTACCTACTTTCGTTTACATATGGAGCTTCAAAAGTTCCCCTGACCAACTTCCTTTACGCCATTGCGGTTGAAAGCGAATTGCAATTCTCAAAAACCTTGGCAACGACTCTAGTTACCACCAACGGCATCGCTTATACCGCTGGAAAGTTTCTCCCGGCTATGCTCTCACTTTGCTTGCCGACCAAATTTATTCTGATAGGCGAACCTTTACTTGTATTTTTATCTTTTATCTTTTTGGCTCTGTTCGGTGTGCACAGCCAATCGGTGTTCTGGATTTGCACATGCTTTTATTCTCTCGCCCAATCAGCACTTTTCCCCACCTCCTTAGTCTGGGCCAATGCCTATATTACTGTAGGCTCAAGTATATCTGCACTATCTATAATAGGGGACTCTACGGGAGGGCTGGCTGCCACCCCGTTAGCTGGGTATGTGTACGAGGAAATGGGGATTATGGCGTTGTTATATATGGCGTGTATATGTGCGGGTGTGGCAACCGCTATGTCCATTACGATACAGATTGTTGCCTCGTGCCAGTCGGACTGTACTTGTAATGCTAATAAGACTGAAGTTGATATAGAGGATCATAGGGTTTCTGTAAATGATTCGGAGAAGTTGATGGAGTAAGAGTGATTCCTAATTTATCCCAAGCTGAACATATTGTGAAACAGTCATTATCTTCTGATATTAAATAAATCATTAAATAATAAAAGGTATGTGATGAATTTGTTTATAATACACATATTGCAATTCGCATTCGCTCTACGAAGTGGAAAATAACGTATACAATATTGCAGTGTCACATTTGAATGATAAAACAGTTATCAGTAAATTAACCCACATACATGTAGTTTTAAAAATATTTAAAATATACGGAAGTACATCTGGCGAAATATATATGTCACTATATAACTTCAAACTGTATATAAAGATTTCATGACTAAAATTAAAGCATACAATAAAACACTTCCCCTCACATGTCCCTATTTTGAAGGTAAAATAAAGCAATGTTCTAATTTCCGAACGAATAGAACAACGGCGTGTGCTCTAGCCCCAAGTATTTTTTATTAATGCTGGCCTACACTGGACATGGGACATAAGAGTTTATTGACTGGTGCAACACCTCAAATAACTAATGTTTATAAATAAGATCAAGTCAATCCAGAAAATAATACCATGAGTGTCAGAGCAACGTAAAACCTAGCTTGTTAAATATACCTTTTCGATGGGGTCGCTTTTACTAGCTCTGACGAACAGCGACAATCTGAGGGCGTTCTTTCTTAAAATTTTGCCTGGGGTGCTTCCATATTTGGAAGTCACACGTCACAGCTGTGTCCGCCTGGATCCATATTTGGAAATCATAAGTCTCGTACGTCACGCGTTTAGCCGCCTGTAGCTGCCTTTCCCGCCTTGCGCTGAAGTTATCTCGTGCAGACGAGACAAGAAACATTTAGTGCCTGACGCGGAGTTAAAAGTTTGAATTGAAAATATTTTGCAGTCGAAGGTCAGTGTCACAATAAAAGCAACACTCTGCTTCAAATACTGATTTTGGTGTAGCCATTGCGCAGCCCTTATAGTGGTATCGGGCATACAGTGTAGCTGTCAAATTTGGCACACGGCAAGCACGTGTATTATGCAAGTGTATATCTCAGGACTAAATGTTCTTTGATAAGCAAAAAATACAAAAACATTGGATAAATCTTTTCTTTTCGAAGAATATATTTTTATTTTTTCACTTTACATCTCAAATACAGCAAATAAAATTAAATAAAGCAGAATTAAATCTGTTTTACGTTTCATTTTGGCCTGATGACATTCAACTGCAGATTCACTGAGGAGCGGTTCTATTTGATTGACGGAAGTGTAACATGGCTGCTGTTCACTAGAGCACAAAAAAGTGCCAATGTATCCTCCATTTTACATACTACAAGATCACAGTCATATGCTCAAAATAAAATAAGATATATGAAGTTTTGTGGAGGGGGAGTCAAATTTTCATGGGGGAGTCAGATTTTTATTATGTGCACATTTTTAAATTTCTTATTTTTTTCATGAAAATTTTCACCTGAAAAATAAAAAAAAAGTGCCAATGTATCCTCCGTTATGCATACTACAATATCATAGTCATTTACTCAAATAAAATGAGATTAAGGAATGATTTTTTTTGGGGGGGGGGGGGATTCAAAATTTCATTGTGGGAGCCACATTTTCATTTTGAAAATCTGACTGGGGAGTCACATTTTCATAATGAAAATCTGACTGGGGAGTCACATTTTAGGGGAGTCAGATTTTCATGGTACACCGGTATTGTTGATATGGGTTATATATGAAATCAAGATCGAGCTGGCAATACCGGGATCTAGAACCAAGGGTAGAAAATAACTGAAGTAAAGTCAAATAAGACTGGGATCTATTCAGACTCGTGTTTATCTTTATTGGGAAAAACGTAAAGACTAACTCCATCATCCATTTCCTTAGCTCCTTTCTGAGCTGTCTGTCTCTCAGAAGTAGCCTCCTTTTCGATCGAAGCAGATTTGAAGCATGTTTGCAGTATGATTGCAGTAGTCTACTGCGCGTTGGAATATCTACCCGCACGAAAACGAAGTGGATGCTCCAGCGCAGTAGACTACTGCAATCATACTGCAAACATGCTTCAAATCTACTTCGATATGGGAGCTAATTAGCATATTTGAAACATGCTTCATTCATGCTGCTAATCTACTGCATTAATGCTCCTCCTCTGTACAACCCTATGTAATTTTTGAAGTAGAATTGCAGTAGGCTATAATGCATTTCTACTGCAAATATGCTCCACACCACTACTGCGTTAATGCTTCTTTGCTACTTCGATACTACTGCATTTTCGTGTGGGATGTTTCAAATATCCTAATCAGCTCCCAAATCGAAGCAGATTTGAAGCATGTTTGCAGTATGATTGCAGTAGTCTACTGCGCAGGAATATCTACTGCGTTTTCTTGCGGGTATTTACGTACGGTGTTCTGGATCACATATCACCATTAATATCCTATTTTTTTCACGTTACCCAATTTTGACTTATTCTGAAAACTTCATAAACAATCCATCCATGACTGTTTTAATTATAATGTTGACTAACAAACAGACCACTTTACCGCTTTGGCAGAAGTAGGCCTAACATGAAGTAGAGTAGGAATATATAATTGCTGCCGAGTGTACATTATAAATACATTGAATTTTTAGGTGCACATTTTCTTTATTTTACATAACCTTTTTCGTGTGAAATTTCTTTTTGAACCATATTTCCATCCTCACGCATATTTCTCAAATTTAAATAAAAATAAAGAATATTATATTATATTATATTATATTATATTATATTATATTATATTATATTATATTATATTCCACGTCATAATATTACAATAACTCACCAGCAAAAGGACAGACGTACTGCAGAACAAGAGGTGCTATCAGTTTTACATCATCTTCAGCAAAAGGAAGTTCTCCTTCATATTCCGTGGAATTCCAATCTTTAAAAATTCAATCATCACACAATTAATAAGCAGCTATTTTTCACAGCCACTTTGATTTTTCATCCTAGTTGTCCCTAAAATTCTCTGTCATTTATTTAAATTCCAAAACCAAATATAATAATAGGCTCTTAAAATATTAAATTCTTGCAATTGTTCATAGGCCTAAAAATCGATTTAATTATTGCCTGTGTGATTCAATTAGTTTTGACATGTATTCATTTTAGTCCTGTATATCTGTTCTCCCACCACATCATTAATGAAATAAATAATAAAAAATTAAATATATATATATATATATATATATATATATATATATATATATATATATATATATATATATATATATATATATCAATCTTTCATCAATAGCCAAACATATCCCTAAAATATAATTATATCAATTATAAATCAAATCATCAAATTATTTTTCAATGAACGCCTACGATCGACGATCGCGTTGAAATTAAAAAGAAAATTACCGACAGACACTGCAGTCATCCCAATGAGAAGTGGGGGAATGGTACATAAAATACCCCCAAATGCGCCTGCGTACATGGTCACTTTCGCCACCTTCACTGACTTCACCGCCAGGGCGCGCTGCCACAGGACCTGCGCGTGCGACGATGGAAATATTATAAATTGATGAAATGTATATATGAATGAAAAGAAGACTGCTTTCTGTAAAGTAACAGGATTTTAAACAGATGAGAAGACCATTTGCATCCAAAAAGTATAGATAAGAGAGATAAATTGAACTAATGCCGACCATATATACATACCATACAGTTTTGAAACAAATTGCGTTTCTATCAAGCAAGAGGACTGGGGTTTCATATCACAAAAATCGATGTAAAATATTTCTAAAATAATAGAAAACATTCCTGCCACGGTATCCCTCCTAGTACTAACTGTAACGTCACATCTACGTAAGTGCTGACGTCACGGCTATGGATGGTTCCAATCCAGTTCTGTGACGTCTCTGATAGTGACGTCATATATGGACTTGTCATAGCAAATGGAATGGTTATCCACTGAAAAAAAATGGTACTTACAACCCTCTGGTTTCAATAACATTTCATTATATTGTAAGTGCTCAAAATTGAATGGAAGTATTTATAAAACATAAAATGTAAACAGACGTTCTTGACCAAATGTATTTCGTCATACAATGGAAGGAGCAAAAATGGCGTATACTATCTTCCTCAGAATGTCGGTGGATGATTCACTCAGTGGCTCATAGGAGCAGTGGCATTATTGAAAGGTTGCATCACTTTGTACTAGGTTCTTAGATATACCGCGGGTATAATCTAGACGCTATATAGGGCTCTAATCCACCGTTGAAGGATTCTAGGTTCGGTACGCGATTCCCGACTTGGGTTATGCCCGGAGAGAAGAGTAACGCAACACCACTGTTTAGTTACAAAAATCAAAACTCGTTTATTGCAAGAGCTATAAACTTCTATTGACACGTATTACGAGGAGCGCGCTCAAGCCCGCGACTAAAATTGAATAAATTACTAGTCTGAACAACTTGTTAGAACTGGTTAAAAACACAAAAAGCGAAGGGTGATAGAGACAAACTTTTCCGCTCTAAAACGAGAAATGTGTTGCATGCTTGTTCTCAGAACAGCATCCTTCAGACATAGGGCCTATATGTCCAATCCTATCCCTGTCTTATACCCGAAACATATACCTGTACTACATAAACTACCTACCAAGCCGAGGAATATGAATATCATCTGCATGACGTCGGTGTAGGAGACCGAGTAGAGCCCCCCAAACAACGTGTATATCAGGACCACAGCTGCCGACACCGTGATGGCGATCCAGTGGTCTAGCCCAACCACTACTGTTAAGGTGGTACCTGATTATATGCAATTAACATTCTTTGAAACTTAACTGTAGACTATAAAAATGGGCAAAATATTATATTCCGATATACATGTATAAATCTAGTATTCCCATAATAACCAAAAGCATATACCGTAGTATTTAAAGTATGGGCGTGTAGGCACGTGTGTGTACCTGTATCCAAATATGAATGTCTATTTGAAAATCAATTATGAAAGCTTTAATTAAACTCTACAATGAATGGCCAGAAATAGACCAGTCAAAATACGGGAATTATACTATATATAATTCCTCTCTTGATATGAGTGCAAATGCCGCAAGCATGCATTCACAACAGCGGATCACACTTAAAAGCTTGCCGTCCCTTCCCCTGATAAACACTGAATAGATTCTTCGCGGGGATCATATTTGATCCGCGGAATGATTAGTTAGCTGTTCTGAATCCGCCCTTACTCACCTAATGACGACAAGGTTGCTGCGCACCAAAACATATCTCCTGAGAGCGCTGGCAGAAACAGGAACCCGGTCATAATTTTACCAAACTTCCGTTCCAATGGGTCCAGCATAGTGACGGTGCCGTCCTGACGTATCCTCTTCACAAAGAATAATGCAGCTTGGGAGAATATATGATGGAACTATATTCGTAGAAGTGGTCGATTTTCAACAAAACGTGTATTTTTTTACTGTAAAGTATGACTTTGTGTGTATTTGTATGGTACTTTTTGAGAACAAGGCGTTTCCCCCTTTTTTTTTTTTGGGGGGGGGGAATCCTTAAAGAAACATCGGGACTAACACGTCATAATTTCACTGGTTTAGATACATTAATGTGAAAGTAAGCCACAGTGACCAACGAATGTGTAATACATTGGATTAGTCTGCGATTAATGAGATACTACTTGTCCACGTGTCGTGCCCAAAATACACACGTTAGCAAATAAGGCACGTCACTTATTTTTCATCTACTGACAATTCCAAATCGAATCAAACTAAGCTTATTCTTAATTTCATAGGGGGCACACAATTTTAAATCGATGTCCAAACACTTTGGCATTGTGACTTACAGGAGTAAATGTTGTTGCTATTTGTGTCACCGCGTTTTAACCGAGCGTTTCATTTAAACCATCCTCATACCAACACCTCATTTTACTGCCCAATATGACGTTTCTCAAAACAATTATTTAATTCAAATATGTTTTAAGATAAGAAACGTCTCTGGGCATTATCAAAACGTTTTTTTTTTTTGTACTGTTTTGAGTACCCATAATGACAAACGTTACAATTTTGGCGTGTCACTTTAAAGAGTCATATCAAATCAAATACATATTTCAAGAAGTAAATAAGTTATTATACCGATGCATCTATGAAAAAATCACCATTTTGAGATAGGCCTAGGGCCCAAAAATTTGGATAAGATATTACATCTTTAAAAGATGTCTTTATAGTTGCATCAGTAACTTATTATTTATATTACTCATTATACTCATAATAACTTATTTATTTTGATGTGCCACATGTAGCGCTACAGTACCTACGACCGTGCTCATGGAATACCCTAGTGGCATTTGGAGAGCAGCCAGACCGGAAGTATAGACACCCTCGGCAACACCACTGATGAGAGAGCCGTCTACCCAGGTAGCTGGAAACGATAAATGATGAATTTGAGGTAGGGACAACAATAGCCATCACTATACCAGTAGTAACAGCATTGGCATCCATGGCAACAATAACGATCAGTCACCCAGTACTTACATATAATGGCATCAATAGTATAATGTCCTTGCAATTAATTTTTGGTAAATGATATTTGTATTCCGTCATCTAGGCATTACTTTTATTTCTAATGTATTACAACCATGGAGCTGTGTCTGTTGTTTCATTTACACCACTAAATTACCATACATGTGTTCAAACTGTGGAATTTAACTTTGTGTACTTAATTACCATACGATTTGTGCGTGCTGGGCGATTCTCAATTAACTGTTGTTTTAAATTCGATAAGGCGAAATGGAATGTTTTTACTGAAATAGTAATGTAATGTTTTAAAGTTAAAAGTTACAATTAAATCGTTTTTCCCTTTTTTCCTCCGCTCCAATTTGTCCAACCCTGCACCATAAAAGTACAGTACTACATGTGGTATCTCGGACCTTACATTTATCTGTTAGAGTACAAATGCCAAGATACGGTCCAATGTTTCTCCCTGCCAACAAGATGTCCTCACTTGTGGTTTCTTTCCCTCGTTTCTTATTCCTCCTGGCCGCCCAGATACCCAAGATAAAGATGAGGACGTAGAAGATGATGATGACTACTAGGCCCCAGACGTGCACGGCCATGCTGCGTAAAGAGTGTCTCAATTTCTATGTAATTCCTCAACGAATATGCTCAAATTGTGTTTTGTAAGTTTCCCTGCTGCAAACAGCTGAGCAGGTTGACAAGTTGCACGTTTAATAGTCTTCTTTTTCTTCTTATGGTTTTCTTTGATGTTGCCCCACACCTTATAACCTTACAAAGTTGAGCATAAGGGTGTCATGTACACAATGTCTTGAGGGCAGATGCCGCTAGTGGATTAATGTAAACGACGAAAACCATCAGCGATCTGAAACATCTCCTTACACACGCGCTCTCGTAATGCAAAGCAGATACCGTCAGATGAAGGACGTGTGTGTGTTACCCCTCTAGCATATATATTAAGATTATAGGCACAAAAGCTTTACTGTTATCCATATCAAGTGAGGACAGACTCGAGTGATGACTTGCATTTTGTGCAAATAGATATCTAAGGATCACTGCATCCGTGTATGATTCAGGTGTACTGTGTATATAAATATTAAGCTACGGTAGGTAAATGATACATACGAATATCTAATAAGCAAACAGGTGCAATGTATGACCGATTGGATTTGACCGGGGGGGGGGGGTATTTAAATAGTAGGTCTAAAATAATCAGGAAACGTTCTCGCCGCGATATTTTTTTATGAAGGGTGGGGATAATTGGAATTACGATCTTCTTTCCATTGTACTGTAATAGTATTTGTTGGAACGGGAAAGAGGGTTCCTTTGCTGAGGGGTCCAATTTGCCCCCCCCCCCCCTCCCACCATCACTACCACTGGACACATATCTGGCCCGATGACCGTGGATCTCATAATAATGGACGGCGAGTGGTGTCATATCTCCTTACCGCGTTCTTTTATCCCAGTTTCAAAATATCCCCCTCCATCCCATCTCTCAAGTTTTTCCCATATTTCGTAAGCCCCGCCGCAACCTCTAAAGTTGTCGGTACATACAACATTGGTCAAAAAGGTTGTCCCACCTTCACTGTCATGTGCTTTTATTTATAAATGATCACATCACAGGAAAATATTATTTTAAATAGTGATTTTCATTCCAGATACCATAACTAACATGATTAGTGATACAGAAAATACAAACTAGCGGTGAAGATATAAAGATTTAATACCATTAAATCACATTTATTACATGCACCCCCTAAAATCCGACGTTTGACTGTGATTTTCACAGAGGCAAAGAAATGCCCATTAAATTGAAATGACACCACCAAATGTCACCAAATTTTCACTCATTTAGAATTCTCTTTGTGTAATAGCGTTTGTGTTTACTGCGTATTGTAATTATCTCCTGTAGGTGGCGCGGACTGCCTTCAACAAGGGTAACAATTCTGTTTTATGGAATATTGTCCCATTTTCCGAAAGAGCTTGGGGGAGTTGGTCCTGATTATTAGGAGTTACGTTTTCCTTTGCATCGCACACTTCAATTGATGCCACAGATGTTTAGTATGGTTAATAATAGGGCTCAAAGATGGTTGCTCCATCCTCTGAACATTGGGTTTTTGCAACAAATCACTCAGCAGACGAAAGTTGTGGGCAAGTGCATTTCCATGATGACGCCTGCAGTATCCCTGAAGTTACCTCTTGCAATAGTGTGAGATATTTTTTGAGAATGTTTCAGTGAATTGCCCAAGTATCGTTCTTTTCCGGAAAGAACAATGCACTAAAACCATGGGCTTGGAATTCTCTCCAAACGTGGACTGACCTGACACCTCAGGCAATATTATCCTGCACAAAACTACCAAAAAGCATTCTGCAACATGTCTACGACTCCTAATTTGACCATCAAAGGCATACAAGAAATACCCTGATTCTTCAGCAAAACCAAATTGTTCCTAGTGATGGGTGACCAAGTTCTGGTAGTTCTGGGATCACTGAACCCAGCATTCTCAACTGATACCTCATTCCATCTGCAAGAGAGGACTTCGGGGGTGATCCAGGCTTCATCTTGACAGTACACTTGCAAACAGTTATCATGTGGTGAATGATTTGTTGCAGAATCCCAATGTTCTGAGGCTGGAGAAACCATCTTTAAATCCAGATAATAAACCTACTGAGCACCCGTGGCATGAATTGAAGAGTGCAATCCAGAAGAGAACCAAATTCCATATAGTCCGGACCAATTTCGCTAAGCTTTCTGGGAAACAAAGGGCAATATTCCACAAAACAGAATTGTTACCCTTGTTGAAGGCAATGGCATGACTGTCTACTTGAGATGATTACAGTACGCGGTAAACACACACGCTATAGACAAGTGACCTTAACGAACACACCCTAATGCTAAATGTGTGCAAATTCGGTGACATTTGGTGGTGTCAATTCAATTTAATTTAATGGACATTTCTTTACCTCCGTTGAAATGACAGTGGAACATCGGATTTTAGGGGGTACATGTAATAAATGTGAATTAATGGTATTAAATTTTGATATCTTCATCGTTAGTTTGTGTTTTCTGTATCACTAATCATGTAAGTTATGGTATCTGGCATAAAAATCCCCATTCATAGCAATTAACACCTGTGGTGTGATCATTTATAAATAAAAGCACATGAAACTGGGGGTGGGACAACCTTTTTGACCAATGTTGTATGCCGCCATACGTGTAGCCAGGCTTTTTGCTGCCCTTATAATAATTAAAATTCCTTAATTTGCTTGCTCGATCTGCTGTGTATAATATTTTGTTGGTATGCCCGTGTCATTGAACCACAACACTTGCTCCATGAATAATGAAATAANGCCGTTTATCCATAATGACGTCGGCCCAGCGTCGGTGCGACGTTGGCAAAAGGGTGGCAGACCACCGGTGGGCCGACGGCGGGCCGCCGGACACGCCGACTTCGAACCGACGTCGTCTGCCAACGTTGGCCCGACGGAGGCAAAGTCGTCGGGCCGACGTTGGCGCGACCACTCTTTGCTATCTGGGAAGTAACTCTACCCTTTTGCTTTGCAAGGGATGCGTAATGATGTAAACTTGTACTCCAATTTCAACAGCAAATAAATTACAGAGGGCAATTTATGGTTAAATTATGTCAAGATGTATGTTTATATATGTTTAAATGATGTCAAGATATCTTATAGGTACCAGGTGATTTCCAGATTATGGTTAATAAATATGCCGAAACTCTTATAGATCTATAATATCATTCTAGGCTGAGGGGGGTCGGGCTCTTTCTGACACACCAGGGAGCGTTATCTTTCTGAAATCTCAACTTAAATCTCCCACCAAGACAGATGTAAATGAAGCGAGTTCCCGCGACGAAAGTTCGCAATGCGGCGGGCTCTGGCTAGAAAAGGGCGTTTAAAATTTGAAAGACACAGTCAACCCAGTGTCCTGCACTGGAGGACGCCTTTATTTTGGAATTCAGCTTATAGCATTATTTTATTTACTTTATTTTACATATGCAGCTTCAAAAGTGCCATTGACCAATTCCCTTTATACCATTGCAGTTGAGAGTGAATTGCAATTCTCAGAAACTCCTCTTGTTACCATCAAGTTTCTCCCGGCTCTGCTCTCACTCTGCTTGCCGACCAAATTTATTCTGATAGGCGAACCTTTACTTGTATTTTTATCTTTTATCTTTTTGGCTCTGTTTGGTGTGCACAGCCAATCGGTGTTCTGGATTTGCACGTGCTTTTATTCTCTCGCCCAATCAGCTCTTTTCCCAACCTCTTTAGTCAGGGACAGTGACTACATTACAGTAGACTCGAGTATATCTGCACTCTCTATAATATGGGACTCTACGGTAGGACTGGCAGCCACCCCGTTACCTGGGTATGCAAAAGAGGAAATGGGGATTACGGCGATCATAGGGTCCATAAATGATTCGGAGAAGTTGGTGGAGTAAGACTGATTCCTAATTTATTCCAAACTGAACATATTGTGAAACAGTCATTATATTCTGACAATAAATGTACCGTTATATAATAAAAACTTATGTGATGCATGTGTTTATTATACACATACTGCAATTCGCATTGGCTCTACGAAGTGGAACATTACGTATTCACTACCGCAGTGTTACATTTTAATGATTAAACAGTTACAAGTAAACCCACTTGAAACAGTTACAAGTAAACCCACTTGAAGAAGATCTGTCGAAATATATGTGTTAATATATAACTCTAAACTGTCCCAGAGATTTAGATCGATCCAGGGATTAAGATTTTGATCGACTTAACTCCCTGGGGGTTCACGCTTAATTGCAGTCAGCCGAGCGCGCACCATAGATAATAACCCCCTTATAGCTTTCAGTAGGCGGGACAGACGCTTAAGCCGGCTAAGATGACAGTAATCAAGTGAGACTCCCCACAGGGATAGATCGATCTAAAATCTATGGAAATGGGGTTTAACTAAAGACTGACTGAAATTAAAGCATCCAATAAAATACTTCCCCTCACATGTCCCTATTTTGAAGGTAAAATAAAGCAATTTTCTAATTTCCGGACGAATAGAACAACGGCGTTTGCTCTAGTCCCAGGTACTTTTATTAATGTTGGCCTACACTGGACGTGGGACATAAGAGTTTATTAACTGGTGCAACACCTCAAATAACTAATGTTTATAAATAAGATCAAGTCAATCCAGAAAATACCTAAATTAAAGTCAAATAAGATAAAAATCTATTCGGACTCTTGTTTATCTTTATTGGGAAAAACGTCAAGACTAACTCCATCATCCATTTCCTTAGCTCCTTTCTGAGCAGTCTGTGTCTCAGACGTAGCCTCCTTTTCGATCTGGCCCCCCAAGACGCCATGGAAAACATCGCATCTCCTTGGCAACCAACCAGCACGGAAAGCGACGTTTGTGACGTGTGACACGAGCAGAATAGTTATCAAGCTGAGCAGCATACAACCCGTCCTATAGGGGAACGGCTGGAAATCCGTCTCAGCTTCATACCAAGGCCACCGCAGAACTGCTCGAAGACCTAACAACGGCTCTCCGCTAAGTACCCGGATGATCAATCCCAAGACGTACCCAGCAATGGACCCGTAGATGTTGACTGCGTCTACGAACAGGGCTGCCGTCAATTGAGGGAACAGGATGACGTAGATCAGGTCGGAACTCAAGATGGAAAGAGCGAAGATGCTGGTGATCTCGATGGCCAACACCGTGGTCAGAATGGCCATAAGTGTCATAAATACTCGCATAGCCCAAATAATCTCACGTTCGCTGGCCTAGAGAGAAAAGGCATGCACGTACGTTCATGTACATGTATGGCATTGTGTTATTAGGTCTTGCAAATTATGTACGTTTGTTGTGTTAATAGGAAACTTTTGTTTCAAAAATCGTCTGTTATATATGCTGTTGCTAATTCCCCCTCTTTTCCGCGTCAATTAGTGCTATTATCCCAGTAATTGTCTTTTTTGTAGCATGATTTATTCAGCATATTTCCTTACGTGTATTACTTTCACTCGCGGTTATACTTGATCATACCTTTCCCATTCGGGCGGGTTTGTAAACATTGATAGCAAACATGGAGCTGGACGAAAGCAAGATGGAGTCCGCAGACGACATCACTGCAGCGGAAATGGCACCAAGACCAATCAGAGAAACTATAAAACAACGAAGAAACACAAATTCAGAAAAAAGCAAGGAAAAAAAACTCAGCAAAGACCTACGCCTAGTATTACAGCCTAATACGTTGTGGTTGTTGAGAGCACACATATTGCATAAAATAAAGACTATTGGTCCTATCCCGTAACGGTAACAATCTTATTTTCGGACGGTGTTCTGAATCACAGATCACCACTAATATCGAATGTCTTCTTACGTAGGCCCATTCCGACCTATCCTGAAAAATTCATGAAGATCCATCTATAAACGTTTTTCAGCTATGCTGTTGAAAAGCAACACAGACCATTTTACCATTTTGGCAGAAATAGGCCTAACATGAAGAGGAGTAAGTATATAAAATTACTGTCGAGTGCACATTATACATATATTATATTCTTTGTTTTCATTATTTTACCTGATCCCTTTCATATGAAATTTAATTTTGATTCTTATTTCCTTACAAACTTGTCAAATTTAGATCACAGTGAAGCTTATTATAAGCCATTTAATTATATCCCATATAACACCATAATATTACATGGACTCACCAGCAAAAGGACAGACGTACTGCAGAACAAGAGGTGCGATCAGTTTTACATCATCTTCCGCAAAAGGAAGTTCTCCTTCATATTCTGTGGAATTCCAATCTTTAAAAATCCAATCATTACACAATTAATAAGCAGCTATTTTCACAGCACCTTTGATATTTCATCCTAGTTGTTGCAGCTACTAAAATTCACTGCCAATTATTCAAATTCCAAAAAAAAAAAAAAAAAAAAAAAAAAAAATATATATATATATATATATATATATATATATATATATATATATATATATATATATATATATATAATAATTAAATTCTTGTTCAGAGACCTTCATGTAAGAAAATCGATTTATATGATAACTGTGTGATTCAATTAATTTTGACATATATTCATTTTATTCATATTTATCTATCTCTATATATATATATATAATTTCTTTAAACCGTGCTATACAAATATTTTAGCACTGTTTACTTTTTATTGTAACATGTAAAAACCCTTTAATCAATAACCAAACATATTCCTATAAATATAATCATATCAATTATAAATCAAATCATCAAATTATTTTTCAAAATTGTTACTTCACTCTAACTTCATGAATACCCACGTTCGCGTTGAAATTAAAAAGAAAACAATTACCGACAGACACTGCAGTCATCCCAATGAGAAGTGGGGGAATGGTACATACAATACTTCCAAATGCGCCTGCGTACATGGTCACTTTCGCCACCTTAACTGATTTCACCGCCAGGGCACGCTGCCACAGGACCTGCACGGTGGGACTTCATAATATTATAATGTTAATGTTTTCTTTTTTTCTTATTTTAATTTGTCAAAAAGGTAACAATGCCCACCCAGCAAATGTTTATTTTAAAGAGAAATAAAAGATGTGCGACGATGGAAATGTTATTAATTTATAAAATGTATATATGAATGAAAAGAAGATTGCTTCCTGTAAAATAACATGACTTTACACATATTTGAAAACCATTTGCATCCAAAACGTACAGATAAGAAAAAAAATACAAGTAAATTGAACTAATGCGTGTATATTACAAATAACAAATAACGGTTATAACAAGTAAGCGGATTGGGGTTTCATATCGCAAACATTGATGTGAAATGTTTATCAAATAAAAAAGAAATATACCTGCCACGGTATCCCTCCTAGTACTAACTGTAACGTCACATCGACGTAAGTGCTGACGTCACGGCTATGGATGGTTCCAACCCAGTTCTGTGATGTCTCTGATAGTGACGTCATATATGGACTTGTCATAGCAAATGGAATGGTTATCCACTGGAAAAACGGTACTTACAACCCTCTGTCTGGTTTCAACAACATGTAATTATATTGTAAGTAAATTGTAAATTGTATGGAACTAATTATAAAACATAAAAATGTAAACAAGCCTTCTGGACCAAATATATCAGGTCCTACAAAGGAAGGAACCATATTCGTCAAAATGGCGGATAATGATTCATTTTGAGCAGTGACATGACTGTCATGTAAATCTGGTTAAAAACACCAAAAGCGAAGGGCGATAGAGACGCATAAATTTGTCCGTTCTAGGGCAAGAATTCTGTTTCATGTTGTTTCTCAGAACAGCATCATTTAGACATATATAGCCAATCCGATCCCTGCCATATACCAGAAACATACATCTTTATCTGTACTGCATAAACTACATTCGTTGTACCTACCAAGCCGAGGAATATGAAAACCATCTGCATGACGTCGGTGTAGGAGACCGAGTAAAGGCCCCCAAACAACGTGTATATCAGGACCACAGCAGCCGACACCGTGATGGCGATCCAGTGGTCTAGTCCAACCACTACGGTCAAGGTGGTACCTGATTATATATAAATTACATTCTATGGAACTTAACTATAGGCTATTAGTAAAGGAAAACTATTATAATATTCTGATAAACATGTATGTCTATATATTGTTCCCGTAAAAATCAAGAGCATTTACCGTAGTATTGCAATTCTGGACATGTGTTCGTACGTGTGTATGTTTCCAAATATGAATATGTAGGCGAAAAGCTATGAAGTAAGGTTTTAACTCAATACTAGATGAATGGCCAGAAATTAGGAAATGAGCCAGATGGAATACGAGCAGCATGAAGACAAAGGCCACATTCACAACAGTGGATTAACTAGTCTGCGGATCATATTTGGCGACCCACTGAAACGCTTGCAGTTTTATTCGTTGTATCCCCTAATAAACACTGAATAGATCCCGAGAAGCATCATAGCAAGGCAACACGCAACACTCATTTAAGTGAGGCGGTCTCATTAGATCGCCGGACTGATTAGTCCGTTTTTGGAATGCGTCCTTACTCACCTAATGACGACAAGGTTCCTGCGCACCAAAACATATCTCCTGACAGCGCTGGCAGAAACAGAAACCCGGTCATAATTTTACCAAACTTCCGTTCCAAGGGGTCCAGCATAGTGACTGTGCCATCCTGGCGTATCCTCTTCACAAAGAATAATGCAGCTGGGGAGAATATGTGATGGAACTGTATTTGTGGAAGCGATCGATTTTCAACAAAAATATATGTTTATATAATGTCTTTATGTTTATAATATTTTTATAAATTTTATAAAAACAAAGTGTTTTTTTTTTTGCAACTCTTTAAGAAACAACGGGTTTAGCACGTCATGATTTCACGTCATGATTTCTGAGTCATCCACATTGACCACCGAAATTGCAATTCATTAAATAATTTTGCAGTGAACGAGATGCTACATGCCCACGTGTCCTGCCAAAATATATACGTTACCAAACAAGGTGTGTTTCATTTATGACTGAAATATAATGAAACTAACTTTATTCAAAGGAGACACAAAATCATTAATAGACGGTCAAAATACACTTTGGAAGTATGACTTACAGGATTACATGTTGATGTTATTTGTACTACCGCATTTTGCCGAGCATTAAATTTAAACCAATATCTAACCAACACCTCGTTTTGACTGCCCATTGTGGCAATTTTTAAAAACAATTATGTAATTTAGACATATTCTGAAAAAGGAAATGCCCCATAAACATATCGAAAGATGTCTTTTTGGTACTGCTTGCACACCTATACTGGCAAACGTAACTATTCAGCGTGTCTCATGTAGCGCTACAGTACCTACGACCGTGCTCATGGAATACCCTAGCGGCATTTGGAGAGCAGCCAGACCGGAAGTGTAGACACCCTCGGCAACACCACTGATCATAGAGCCGTCCACCCAGGTAGCTAGAAACAAAGAAAGATAAAATTGAGGAGGGGGGTGGGGGCAATAACGATCACTACACCAGTAGTAACAACATGCATGGCAACGATAACGATCAGTTAACCAGTACTAACAAAATATGGCATTCATGGCAACAATAGCGATCAATTAACCAGTAGTAACAAAAATTGGCATCAGTGGAATAATGGCCTTGCAATAAAGCTACTTCCAACACCTATCTCACTTGGGTAGTTTTGTTGTTGTTGGTTGATGGTTGTAGCGCATGCTTTGGCACTTATATATATTTTTTTTTGGTAAATACTATTTTTATTCTGTCAACTAGGCATTAGATTTTTTAGTGTATTACATATACAACCATGGAGCTATGACCATTGTTTCATATACGCCACTAAATGACTATACGTTTGTTCAAACTGTGGGATTTAACTATGTCTACACATCAAGACATAGTTTTTCTTTGATTAAACAGTCAATTAAGAATCAATTTGTCCCCTTGATTACCAAACGATTTTAGAGTGCTGGGCGATTCTCAGTCACTTATTGTTTTAAATTCGATAAGGCGAAATGCAATGTCTTCACTAAAATAGTATATAATGCGATGATTTAAAGTCAAAGTTTACAATAAAATTATTTTCCCCTTACCTTTTTTTTCCTTCTGGCCTTTAAATCTAGAATATTAGTATTTCGGACCTAACGTTTACCTGTCAGAGTACAAATGCCAAGGTACGGCCCAATATTTCTCCCTGCTAACAAGATGTCCTCACTCTTCTCCTCCTTCCCTCGTTTCTTATTCCTCCTTGCCGCCCAGATACCCAAGATGAAGATGAGGATGTAGAAGATGATGATGGCTACTAGGCCCCAGACGTGCAAGGCCATGCTGCGTATAGTGTGTCGCAATTTCTGAGTAATTCGTCAACGAAGATGCTCAAATTGTGTATTGTTAGTTTTCCTGCGGCGTAGGCGAGCAGGTAGACAAGAATCACATTTAATATTCATCTTTTTTATGTTTTATCTTTGATGTTGCCCCACACTTTATAACCTTACAAAGTTGTGCATAAGGGTATCGTGTACAGAATACCTTGAAGCAGATGGCCCTAGTAAAATGTAAACGACGAAATCCACCGGCGATATTTAACATCTTCTTACAAAAGTGCTCTAGTAATGCAAAGCAGTAATCTTCAGATGTGTGTGTTACCCCACTAGCCTACATATTAAGATTATAGGCACAAAAGCTTTATTGTTATCCATATCAAATCAGGACACACCTGAGAGATGGCTTACATGTTCTGCATATAGGGAACTAAGGATCGCTGCTTTTATTTATGGTACATGTGTACTGTATATATAAATATTAGGCTACGTTAGGTAAATGAGACATACGAATATCTGATAATCAAACAGGTGCAATGTATGACAGATTGGATTTGACCAGGGGGAGGTATTTAGAAAGTAGGTCTAAAAAATCAGGAGACATTCTCGCTGTGTATAATATTTTGTTGGTATGCCCGTGTCATTGAACCACAACACTTGCTTCATGAATAATGAAATAAGTGACTCTACCCTTTGGCTTTGCATTTACATAAAGATGCAAGGAATGCGTAATGATGTAAACTTGTACTCCGATTTTAATAGCAAATAAATTGCAGAGGGCAATATATATTCTGAAGCATATTTCTAAATGATGTCAAGATATCTTATAGGGATCAAGTGGTTTCCAACACAGATCATGGTTTATAAATGTAATGCCTTTACGCTTTATTTCCTTGCCGAAACTATCAAAGGTCTAGGATATCATAACAGGCTAGAGGGGGGGGGGGGGGGAGGAGGTCGTGCTATTTTGACACACCAGGGAGCGCTATATTCTGCACTCTATACTAAAATCTTCCACCAAGACAGATGTAAAGGAAGCGAGTTCCCGTGACGAGATTATTGCGAGATTTGTCAATGTCCGATCGAACAGAACAACAGCGTGTGCTCTAGCCCAAGGTACTTTTATTAATGTTGGCCTACACTGGATACGGGGCAGGAGAGCATAGTTACGGGTGCAACACCTCAAATAACTAATGTTTAAAAGTGATAGGCCTATTAAGCTAATTCAGAAAATACCAATAGTTTGAGTCAGCCGTGACTGCATTGGCTCCCGATGCTGTAGCTTTTTAAACCACAGGACGATGCTACATGTACGTCTCCGTTATGCCGTGGTATGTAAACCCTGCATTTTCCTGGAACTGGAGACCATTTAAATTTACAAAACTGTAAAACGTTCGCCTTATATGTAGCATAATCCAAACTGTTCTTTCAATATATATCCTTGGAAAAAACTTCAAACTGCTCAAAAGAACAACGAGTAAAGTGAGATCCAAAATTATTGCGTATATAGAGTGCAAAGAAAAAAAAAAGACAAATGAAATAAAGACAAATAAAATAAAAATCTAGTCGGACTCTTATTTATCTTAAATGGGAAAACGTTAACATTACCCCATCATCCGTTTCCTTCGTTCCTTTCTGAGCAGTCTGTATCTCACACGCAGCCTCCCTTTCGATCTGCCCCCCCACGACGCCGTGGAGCACATCACATCTCCTTGGCAACCAACCAGCACGGAAAGCGACGTTTGTGACGTGTGACACGAGCAGAATAGTTATCAAGCTGAGGAGCATACTAGTTGTCCTATAGGGGAACGGCTGGAAATCAGTTTCTTCCTCATACCAAGGCCACTGCAGAACTGCTCGCAGACCTAGCAACGGCTCCCCGCTAAGTACCCGGATGATCAATCCTGCAATATACCCAGCAATTGATCCGTAGATGTTGGCTGCGTCTACAAACAGAGCTGCCGTCAATTGAGGGAACAGGATGACGTAGATCAGGTCGGAAGTCAAGATAGAAAGAGCGAAGATGCTGGTGATCTCAATGGCCAACACCGTCGTCAGAATGGCCATAAGTGTCATAAATACTCGAATGGCCCAAATGATCTCACGTTCGCTTGCCTGGAAAGAAAAGACAGACACGTGTGTACATGGACATGTATAGCAATATGCTATCAGGTCTTACAAATTATGATCTGTTTTTGTTGTGTTGATAGTGACCTCTTGCCACGTTTACAAAATCAGCAGCGTTACATTAGCTGATGTCAAATTTATAATCCTCCCTCTTTTAAGCAGCCTCTAATATTGTTCTTATAGCACATATTATTGTTTTGTGCCGTATGATATATTCAATAAAATGCCGTGTGTTATCATTTCACGCACGGTTATATATATATACCTTTCCCATTCGGGCAGGTTTGTAGACATTGTTGGCGAACATGGAGCTAGACGAAAGCAAGATGGAGTCCGCAGACGACATCACTGCAGCAGAAACGGCACCAAGACCAATCAGAGAAACTATAAAGGCAAGAAACATTCAAATACAGACAAAACAAGAAAACAACTCAGCGAAGATCTCCGCCTAGGATTACACCATAATAGGGACATTGTTGTTGTTGTTGAGAGCACATTACTTGCTGTGAAGACTATTGGTCCTTTCCCGTAAGGGTAGGAATCTTATTAACGGAGGGCGTTCTGGATCTCAGATCACCACTGATATCCTATTTCTTTTCGCGTTACCAAATCCCAACTTATACTGAAAACGTCATGAAAATCCATCCATGACTTTTTTAGTTATGCTGTTGACTAAAAAAAAAAAAAAAAAAACACTTTGTCACTTTGTCAGTAAGGGGCCTAACATGAAGTAGAGTAGGAATATGTAATTGCTGACGAGTGTACATTATACATACATTGTATTTTTTAGTACACATCTTCTTTATTTTACATAACCTTTTTCATGTTAAATTTCGTTTTGAATCATATTTTCATTCTCACGCATACTTCTCAAATTTATAGGGATAATAACTCTTCGTATGAAATCTGTATTTCACAATAAAAACATTGTGAGTGACTCATAAAAATATAATATATTCTGTTTTCCCACAAAAACCGCTGTAAAAGCTATTATTCTGATATCTGAGCTTGTCTTTAGACCACGTGGCCTCCATTGATGGCTATACTCTGTTAAAATCTCTTAAGAGATTTTAAGAAAGAACCAAACTTTTTAGAAAAAAACCAGGGACTAACTTTGAATGTAAAAATGGATTCATTAACCATTGGTAAGTATGGGAAAATTGTTGTTTACTCCAGGAAAATTTATTTTTTGGCCGAAACGAAGAGTTATTATCACTTTAAATAATATTATATTATATTACATTATTTATATTATATTATATTCCACGTCATAATATTACATGAACTCACCAGCAAAAGGGCAGACGTACTGCAGAACAAGAGGTGCGATCAGTTTTACATCATCTTCAGCAAAAGGAAGTTCTCCTTCATATTCTGTGGAATTCCAATCTTTAAAAATCCAATCATCACACAATTAAACAGCTTATTTCCACAGCCCCTTTGATTTTTTTATGGTAGTAGTTCCAGCAACTAAAATGCACTGTCATCTATTCAAATTCCAAGAATCAAATATAAAATCAAGTTCGTAAATGATTGCTCAGAGACCTAAAAAGATTCGATTTACGAATTGGCTGTTTGATTCAATTAGTTTTGAAATATATTCACTTTATTCCTTTATACCTTTACACCTGTTCTTCCGTCACATACTACATGTAGTATTATTGATGATGTATAGTTTCTTAAAACAGTTCTTGGAAAATGTTTAAGCACTGTGCACGTTTATTGTAACATGTTAAAACTTTCGTCAATAATCAAACATTTTCCCTTAAATATTATTACAGCAATTAGAAATCATTTCATCAAAATATTTTTCAAACTTATTTTTGTCATTGTAACTTCATGAACACTCAGGATCGCGTTGAAATTAAAAAGAAACTAATTACCGACAGACACTGCAGTCATCCCAATGAGAAGTGGGGGAACGGTACATAAAATAAATCCAAATGCGCATGCGTACATGGTTACTTTCGCGATCTTCGCTGACTTCACCGCCAAGGCGCGCTGCCACAGCGCCTGAGTCGTGGAAACTTCATAATGTTATATAACCTTGATTTTTTTTAAATATAATTTGTCACAGTACAAGCATTATTCAACCGGCAAATGTTTTTAAGAGAAGTTAAAGATGTGTGACGGAAATATGATAAATTGGTGAAATTTAAATATGATTGAAAAGAAGATTGCTATCTGTAAAGTAACAGGACTTTAAACAGCTGTGAAATCCATTTGCAACCAAGACATACAGATAAGAAAAATAAATTGAACAAATGCCTACCATACAAACAGTTTTGAAACAAATATTGCTTATATCAAAGGGTATCATATCACTAACATTTATTAAAATGTTTCTAAAAATAAAAGCAAACATACCTGCCATGGTATCCCTCCTAGTACCAACTGTAACGTCACATCTACGTAAGTGCTGACGTCACGGCTATGGATGGTACCAACCCAGTTCTGTGACGTTTCTGATAATGACGTCATATATGGACTTGACATAGCAAACGGTATGGCTATCCACTGAAAAAAATGGTCTTTACAACCCTCTGGTTTCATCATCAATTTATTATATTGTTAGTGATCATAAATTATATGGAACTAATTATAAAACATAATCATGTCCTACAATGAAAAGAGCAAAATTGGTGTAGTAACAACTTAGCCAGAATGGCGGGTGATGATTCACTGTGAGTAGTGATATGACGGACATGTTGCATTACTTGTTAAACGTGGTACTCTGAAAAAAAAAACAAAAACGCNAACGAAGGGCGATAGAGACAAATAAACTTTTCCGTTCTAAAACGAGAATACTGTTCCTTGTTGGGTCTCAGAACAGCAACCTTTAGACCCAAATAACCAGTCCCATCCCTGTCTTATACCCCAAACAAAAATCGTACATGTACTTTATAAACTACCTACCAAGCCGAGGAATAAGAATATCATCTGCAATACGTCGGTGTAGGAGACCGAGTAGAGTCCCCCAAACAAAGTGTATATCAGCACGACAGCTGCCGACACCGTAATGGCGATCCAGTGGTCTAGTCCGACCACTACGGTCAAGGTGGTACCTGGTTATATACAGTTTACATTCTATGGAACTTAATTATAGGCTATTGATAAAGGGAGACTTTAATAATATTCTGATAAACATGCATGTCTAGATGAAAATCAATCATGAAAGCTTTAATTCAACAGTACAACGAATGACTACAAACAGGCCAGTCAAAACACAGGCATGTAAAAGCAAATACGGCATCCACAACGGCGGATCAATTGTGGCGACACACTTAGAAGCTTGCCGTCCTACCCCCTGATAAACACAGGATAAATTCCTCGAGGGGGGGGGGGGCGGACATATTTGATCCGCGGACTGATAAGTCCACTGTTCTGAATGTGTCTTTACTCACCTAATGATGACAAGGTTGCTGCGCACCAAAACATATCTCCTGACAGCGCTGGCAGAAACAGAAACCCGGTCATAATTTTACCAAACTTTCGTTCCAAAGGATCCAGCATAGTGACGGTGCCGTCCCGACGCATTCTTTTCACAAAGAATGCTGCAGCTGGGGAGAATATATCATGGAACTGTATTCGAAAAATGCGTTCTTTTATGGTAATTATGAAAGCAATGCATTTCATTTTTTTTTTTTTTTTTTTGGCAATCATTAAAGAAACGACGTAATTTCATTGGTTTAGATACATTGTTTTGTGAGTCAGTCACATTGACCACCGAAATTGTAATTCAATAAATAAGATCCTACGATGTTCATGCGTCCTGCCAAAAAAATATACACTTTACCAAACTAGGTGTGTTTCATACATGACTGAAATACACTGACTTTATTAAAATTAACGTTAAAATGTATTAAAGCTAACTTTATTAAAAGGGCACACAAAACCATTAATAGACGTCCAAAATACACTTTAGAAGTGTGACTTTCAGTTGATGTTATTTGCACAACCACATATTGACTGCCCATTGTGACAATTTTTTAAAACAATAAGACATGAAATGGGAAATGTCACATGAAACATCGAAATGTCTTTTTGGCACTGCTTGTACAACTATACTGGCAAACATAATTATTTCAGCGCGTCTCATGTAGCGCTACAGTACCTACGATCGTGCCCATGGCATACCCTATCGGAACTTGGAGAGCAGCCAGACCGGAAGTGTAGACACCCTCGGCAACACCACTGATCAGAGGGCCGTCCACCCAGGTTGCTGGAAACGATGAAAGATAAAACTGATCGCGATCTCTATACCAGCAGTAACAAGATAAATTGGCATTAATGGCAACAATAGCGATCACTATACCAGAACTAACAACATTGGCATCCATGGCAACAATAACGATCACAATATAAGTAGTAACGACATTGACGTCCATGGCAACAATAACGACCACAACACCAGAAATAACAACATGGGCATCCATGGCAACAACAGCGATCACTATTCCTTTGTAACATCATGAAGTTTAACGATGTATACATAGTAAGACATAGATGTACTTTGGTTGGACACTCAATTAAGAGTGCGTCCATGAGAAAACCAAGGAAATCGATCAGAAATAATTAAATTTGGGGTAAAGAGGTGTGAATATTTTCTGCTGTGGTAAACTATCAATATTAAAAAAAAGAAAAAAAAAACATTGGCAGCCACTGGCTTTCTTATTTATGATAGTTAGAGATATTGGACAAATACTTTTTATAAAGCATTTAAGCTCTTAAAAATTAAGCAATACTTTCAAATATTCTTTTAAAAATCATATACATCATAATAATTTATTTAGATAAACCATATTATGGATTTAGGAAAAAGCTTTAATACCCAGTTCAAATTTATCAAAATGGCACTGTCAGACCCAATATCTTTCCACCAGAAGTAAAAACTTGGGGATCAATCAGTCATAAGAATAAAATCTCTTGAAAACTACCCACAACTGTTGTGTGGGAAAAAAACTGATTTTAATTAGATCCTTGGAGATCCTTAACTTGCTTTCACTCTTGTGAAAAAAATTGTTTTGTTTTTTGTATTATCCAATTGATAATATGATAATACAATACTCTATTGTAATTCATTTTCCACATGGACAACCACACTTGCAATGATGTCCGTAAATTCAAGGATCTGATTGAATCAATGGGACTCACTCAGCATATAAATACAGCAACCCACTCAAAAGGTCATATTTTAAATCTGGTTCTTACTCGCGCCGATTCATGCTTGCGGAGTTTTACCATCGACAACAGCCTCCCATCGGACCACGCCGCCGTTCACTTTGTAGCTGACTTTATTCGTCCACCGCCTATCAAAAAAGTGACCCATCGTAGGGACTTATCAAGACTTGATCCAGCAATACTTATTGATAAACTGAAATGTGTTTTTGAAAATACCGACCAGATCACGGACCCATGTATCTTTGCAGACTACTACAACACATCTATATCTAATGTCATGGATGAGGTTGCACCAGTTCTAACTAAAATAAAAATAGAGAAAACGCGGGCTGAGTGGTTTACACCGGAGCTGTGTGAAGAAAGGAAACATGTCAGGAAACTGGAAAGGAAACGGTGTCACTCTCACTTAGAAATTCATCGACAATTGTTCATATCTGCGCGATCTCACTATCACTCTCTTCTGGTGGCACACAAGAAAGAATATCACCGCTCCCGTATTGAATCTGCTGATCAGAAAACACTTTTCAAGATCGTGGACCAAATATCGGAATCAAAATCATCTCAATTAAATGTCCTCCCAGACATGGACATCTCAGAGCTCCCTCAACGTTTTTCAAATTACTTTACAGATAAGATCAAGAGCATTCGAAATGATCTCGTTTCTTATTCTTCTGTAGAAATCTCAGAAACCCCAGTTACCTGTACTCATGCAGTATTGACTGAATTTTCACCTGTATGAGAAGAAGATGCTTTAGCATTAATGAAAAGCATGAATTCTAAATCTTCTGCCTTAGATCCTGTGCCAACACATATTATCAAAGAGTGCATTACTGTTCTGGCCCCAGTTATTTTAAAGATAGTGAATCTCTCTTTTACAACAGGCATCTTCCCATCCAACTGCAAAGCAGCAATTGTTAGACCCTTGTTAAAAAAACAAGGCCTGTGCAAACAAGTGTTTAAAATTATCGACCAATATCAAACTTGCCCTTCTTAGGGAAGTTTCTTGAGAAAATGGCATGTTTACAACTGAATAACTATCTAGCTAAAAACAGTCTATATGGCAAGTTTCAATCAGCTTATAGAGAAGGACATAGCACAGAAACAGCTCTCCTAAGGGTTCATAATGACATCATGCTTTCTTTAGACAAACAAAAAGATGTTATTTTAGTCCTTTTAGATCTGTCTGCTGCATTCGACACCATTGACCACAACATACTTCTGCACAGACTACAGTACCGATTTGGAGTAAAAGATTTAGCATTTAATTGGTTAACCTCATATCTAAAAGATCGAACACAAAAGGTGGCAATTGAGTCGTTGCTATCAGAGCCCACTATTTTAGAATATGGTGTCCCTCAGGGGTCTGTGCTAGGTCCATTGCTCTTTTCATTGTATATGCTACCAGTAGAAGACATTATAGTTAAACATGGTCTCAACACTGTCATTTTTGCTGATGACACTCAAATTTATGTCACAAGTGAAAGTAATCGCTCCATGGCTATCACCTCAATAGAAACTTGTCTAGCTGAGATCCGAAATTGGATGAAAACAAACATGCTAGCACTAAATGATGGAAAAACTGAACTTATATGGTTTACATCAAGGTCCAAGTCAGACAGGGGAAATGCAATGAAATCTGATATTTGTATCGGTGGTGTCAACATCAATCCATCTAGCTATGTGAAAGATTAAGATGTCACCTTCGATCAGTATGCAACTATGGATAGACGGATCTCTGAAATTTGCAAATCGGCATCATACTCACTTTGGCGAATTAGTAAGATACGTGACTTACTGGACAAAACTTCAACTGAGAAACATGCTTTCATTACTTCTAAGCTTGATTATTGCAACAGTCTCTTATATGGTTTAGGCAAAAATAATCTGAACAAACTTCAATTAATTCAAAATTCTGCAGCTAGGCTGGTAACTTAAATGGGATGGAACAGCCGAGAGCATATAACACCTGTTTTGATGGAACTTCACTGGCTTCCAGTAAGAGAGAGGATTTTATTTAAAATTTTATGTGTCATTTTTAAAGCAGTCACTGAGAATAAACCACTTTATATCTCAGAACTTGTGAAGCAACATCAGCATGGAAGAGTTACCAGGTCTTCAACTTTTAGTCATTTACTTTTAGAACACAGTGTCTTAGAGAAAAAAGCTGGTAAATTTTACGGTGAAAGGGCATTTATGATATATGCACCCAAAGTTTGGAACACCTTACCCTCTGAAATACGAGCAGCAAGTGACATAGATACTTTTAAAAAGCTTTTGAAAACTCATACTTTTAGAATAGCCTATCAGTAACTATCATATAGTTAATTTTAGTTACTGTAATTTTATGATTAATTTTAAATGTTGTCACTTTAGGTTCTTATCATTTTAGAATATGAATAATTGGTTCTTTAAATTAGTTCTTAGTGCTTTAAAATTGTAATGTGTTCTTATATTAGTATTGTGTTATTTAGCTCTTTTAAGTGAATGTTGTAAGGCGCATTGAGATTTTTAATGGAATGCGCCATAGAAAAATAAATTATTATTATTATTATTATTATTATTAACTCTATGTTACTGACTCCGTTTTCATTTTCTCTACAGGAAAGGAAAATAAATATCAATATATCACATGCATCTACAAGGACTATAAATTATTTGAAAGGCAGGAAAAAGAAAAGTAAAAAAAAACTAATATATAAATCATTACAAGTGGATTAAATTAGGCTTACACTTGAGGAAACTGATCGAATGAAACAGTCATTCCCTTTTACCTTTAGAACACTTCATTTGTAATTTTTAAAACCTGTATTACACAATAAAAATAAGGTATACACAATGCTGATTACATTGGATATTCTGAGTAATAACTCATTAAAAAAGGGGGGATGGAGACTTGTCACTATAATAATTAAAAATTATTCAGAAGTTGTATGGCTCTGTTTGAAAAGTACATTGTGTGATCAATCCTGTATTATAGATCTCAAAATAAAAGTCTTGCAAAAAGGGAACTCTTGATTAGTTTAAGTTATTATGATAACTTTAGTTATTTTTTATTATTATTGTTATTATTTCTTTTAGAATTGATAGATGCCATATTGTGCTTATGAAAAAAGACGGATAGATTTGCCCTTATCAAAGCATTGATTGAATTCCTAAATACGTTTGAATTCCTCTTGCATTGTTCTTTCCGGAAAATAACGTTATTGGAGCAATTCACTAAAAGATTCTCAACACATATTTCATTCATTTGCAAAGGGGACTTCGAGGGAGATCCAGGCTTCATCATGACAGCACACTTGCACACAGTTTTTTCTGGTGAGTGATTTGTGCAGAAATTTAATGTTTAAAGGTTGGAGAAATCATCACTGAGTCCTGAAAATAAACGTACTGAGCACCCGTGGTATGAATTGAAGTGTGCAATCCAGAGGAGAAGTAAACTCCAAAAAATGTGGACCAATTCCGCCAAGCTTTTAGGTAACATGAGACAAAATGCCACAAAACAAAATGTTACCATTGTTGAAGGCATCGATGCTGTCTACATGATGTAATCACAGTATACGCGGTAAACACACGTGTTAATAGACACGTGACCTTTAACGAACACGCCCTAATGCTAAATGTATGTAAATTTGGTGACTTATGGCGGTGGCTTTTCAATTTAATGGGCATTTCTTTACCTGTGTTGAAATGACAGTGGAACATGGGATACATGTAATTAAGGTGAAAAAATGTCATTGGAATTGGTATTTTTACCGCTAGCTTGTATTTTCTGTTCTACTATTAATGTTACTGCAGTTATGATATCTGGAATATAATTACTATTAATAACAACTTTCACATGTGGTGTGATCATTGATAAATAAAAGAACATGAAACTGGGGAATGGGCAACTTTTTGACCAATGTTGTATTTGCTCATGAAATGGCTTTATTGACTCAAGCTGAAAATCAAACCAGAAATGTCCTAATGTCATATTTCAATTATATCCAATGATTGTTGCCTTCAATGTTAATATCTGCTATGTGTGCAACAACAGTTTGAATTTAGTTGAAATCTGTTGACCCACACCTTGCCACACTCTGACTGGTCCTATCACGGACACACACCTAAGTATCAATTTGTCACTTTACCATACGATTCGAGAGTGCTGGGTGATTCTCGCTTAATTTGCTTGAAATTAGATAAGGCGAAATCGAATGTCCTTCGGAAATAATGATATAATTATTTAAAGTCAAATGTTAGAATGAAATCATATTCCCCTTGCTTTTTTCCCTTCGCACCATTAAAGCTATAGTACTAGTATCTAGGACCTAAGATATACCTGTTAAAGTACAAATGCCAAGGAACGGCCCAATATTTCTCCCTGCTAATAAAATATCCTCACTCGTCGTCTCCTTTCCTCGTTTCTTATTTCTCCAGGCCGCCCAGATACCCAAGATGAAGATGAGGACGTAGAAAATGATGATGGCTACAAGGCCCCAGACGTGCACGGTCATGCTGCGTAAAGTGTGTGGCAATTTCTGTGTAATTCGTCTACAAAGATGCTCAAATTGTATATTGCAAGTTTTCCCCACGGCGTAGACGTGCGGGTACGTTGACAAGATGCACGTTTTATTATCTCCTTCTTCTTTTTATGTTTTACTTTAATGTTGCTCCACATCTTAAATCTTTACGAAGTTGTGCACAGAATACGTTGAGTGCCAATGACACGTGTGGATTAAATCAAGCGACGAAAACCACAAAAATGTCTCCTTATACACGCGCTTTGGTAATGTAAAGCAGATATCGTCAGGCAAAGGACACGTGCGTTACTCCTCTAGCATATACAATAAGATTATAAACACAAAATCTTCACTGTTGCTAAAATTAATTGGAAACCTGTCAGATGTCAAGGTACGTTTTCATTGTTAATGTATTAACTTGAAAAAGATAACAGTGCCCAAGTCTGCTAATAGCGTAGAGTATAAATCATGTATGTATGGAGTTAACACCCGATGAAAGGTGGCATCTTGTAAAATATATGTTTCTAGCAAATGCCACATTCCTTGTACATGTTAGGTAAAGCCGCTCACAGACATCGGATCCCGCAAGAAAACGCAGTAGATACTCCAGCGCAATGGACTACTGCAATCATACTGCAAAACGCAGTAGACTACTGCAATCATACTGCAAACATGATTCAAATCTGCTTCGATTTGGGAACTAATTAGCATATTTGAAACATGCTTCTATCATGCTGCTAATCTACTGCATTACTGCTCCTCTCTGTACAAACCTATGTAATTTTTGGAGTAGAATTGCAGTAGGCTATGCTCCATTTCTACTGCAAATATGCTCCACACCACTACTGCGTTAATGCTTCTTTGCTACTTCGAAACTACTGCATTTTCGTGCGGGAATATTATCAGATATTTTGTATTCATTAGTGTCACCCCGTCGTGTCTGTTCAGTATTTACATTTAAATAATCTTAAAGAGACACTTTAGGTGAGCTTTGAAACACGTGTTCTTAGGCTCTGTTCTCACAACTTTTAGATCGATCTATCACCGCGGGGAGTCTCACTAGATTACTGTCAGATAATCCCCCTTAAGTGTCCGTCCCCGCCTACTACAAGCTATAAGGGGTAATTAACTTTCGTGTCCGCCCGGCTGACAGCTATTTAGCGTGAACCCCCAGGGAGTTAGGTCGATCTAAAGTAGGTCGATCTAATCTATGAGAATGGGGTGTAAAACTCTAATGTATTGGTAAGGTGCAACAAGCACAATCGCCTCCGTAGCATTAGTTTTTACCTGTTAAGTATTAAAGTACGTACATTGTTTTATTTTTATTTTATTTATTTATGTTTAATTACAGGCAAGGAACTTTGGTTGTAGTCCAGCGTCAAGTTTAAGGGTTCAAAGAGGACAAACGTTCATGTACGTTTAATCAACAGAACCTATGTTATTACTAATGTATAATGTTATTTTACAGTTATGATAAGGTTAAAAGTTCCGTTTGGCATTTAGTAAGAAGTGTACAGAAAGAAGTGTATGTAATTAAGTAGTTACTGTTTCACTTACGTTTTATTGTTTATTTACTGCAACGACAATTGCAGCAACAACACTTGTAGCAATAAGTCAAAGAAAATAAAGATGGTTTATGCTGTTACAACCCACATGTCATGAGTTCCGACTGCAACCTGTCTATTTGCCCGAGTACATGTGCCGCCATACGAGTAGAACAGACTTTTTTGCTGCCTTTATTGAAATTATGATTCCTTAATTTGCTTGGTCGATCTGCTGTGTATGATTTTTTTTTTTTTTATGCCTGTGTCGTTGAGTTACAACACTTGATTCAAGAGTAATGAAATAAGTGATTTTACCCTTTGACTTTGCAATTTACATAAAAATGTGTAATGATGTAAACCCGTACTCCGATTTAGCAAAAAAATTAAACTACAGATGGCAATATTCTGAAGCATATGTCTAAATGATGCCAAGATATCTTATAGGTACCAAGTCATTTTAAACACAGATTATATTTTATAAATGTATGGCCTTTACGCTTGATTTCCTTGCCGAAACTATCATAGGTCTATGATATCATAGACCTATGTTGGTTGAGGGTGTTGGTTGAGGGGGTGAGGGGGTGTCAGGGAGCGTTAGCCTGTCATATTTTTACTGCCCATTCCCTGATGAAGTTCGCCTGCAAACAGACGACATGCCGACGCATAAAGGACAGCTCTATTCCCAAGCTATGGCTTCCACAACTTTTTTTTCGAGAAAATATCTGTGTTCTTTTCTGTTTGAAGAGCAGAGTATGGAAATATGTGATTTGACCAAATATATAACCTTAATATTGATGGTGGGGAGACTTCCAAAAGGAAGAAAAATATTTATATAGTTTTATAGATTCGCAGTCATACATTTACGTTAATGTCGCGTAATACAAATAGCTGTCCGGTTTTCCTGACGATTAATCAAATGTTACCATATTCTGTTGGTGTTTGGTTGTGTTTGGGATAAGATTTTGCATGATCTTTTCACTTTTACACACTTAGGCGATTACAAGCAGGCCTACCTGTATATGGTGATCAATAAGAATAGAACTTCGACATCACTTCAATAATTCACCGAGTCCTTTTATTATTAATTTACTTTTCATGTGAACAATATCATGCATGCGCATTTTGTAAATTGGATTAATTGTGTAATAAAACCAGTACCCTGTGAAAACATAATCGTTAAATGCAAAGCATGCGGTTTGTCGTTCAGTGGTAGCGTCTGGTACTTGTTTTTAAAAACCTGTGGTCTAAAATGGTCATTTGACTGTAATACTCAGACCATATAGAAGGTCAGTTTGACGTCAGCGGTTCTTGTTCCAACCTGGAAACTTCTTCTGAGCCATCGTCTTCAGCTTCGTTCACCTCCATTTTTCGTCTGGGTAGAATCTCTAAATCAACAAACTCATTCTTTTCATTCTGTGCCGACCAATTTTCATCGGAGGGTTCTTTCGGTTTACTCTCTGAATACCACACAATGCCGTTGAGTACGTCATACCGCCTTGGCAGCCATCCTGTCAGAAACGCCACGTTTGTGACGTAGGACACGAGTAGGATGGTTAAGAAGCTGAGCAGCATACAGCCCGTCCTATAAGGGAACGGCTGGAAATCCGTTTCTGCTTCATACCAAGGCCACCTCAGAACTGCTCGCAGACCTAACAACGGTTCCCCGCTAAGTACCCGGATGATCAGTCCCAAGACGTACCCAGCAATGGATCCGTAGATGTTTGCACCGTCCACAAACAAGACCGAGGTGAACTGAGGGAACAGGATGACGTAGACCAGATCGGAGCACAAAATGGCCAGAGCAAAGATGCTGGTGATCTCGATGGCCAACACCGTGGTCAGAATGGCCATAAGAGTCATAAATACTCGCATGGCCCAGATAAGTTCACGTTCACTGGCCTGGAAAAATATGGTAGGGCAAAATATACGCTTGTCACCAAATTTCCGTGGGGCATTTTTTTTTTTTTAATTAAAAAATAATATTTTTATGTTGTTTTTCAATATGACAAATACCAATGAGGTAGAAAGCAACTGGCTAGCCATTGATGAACGCTGTTTAGCCTATGTAATTTGCGCATAGTAATTTCTGTAACAAATTTATCAAAATAACCTGCAGCATTATACAGCTGTTTCTATATTTTCTCCTTAAAAAAAGATGAAACTGCCTAGCAAATACCTTTCCCATCCTTGCAGGTTTATAGATATTGTTGGAAAACATGGAGCTCGAGGAAAGCAAAATGGAGTCTGCAGACGACATTACTGCAGCGGAAATGGCACCAAGACCAATTAGAGAAACTAAAGTAAAAATAAAAAACGACTTAAAGTTATTTGCACTTTAACATAAACCATATACTTTCATATTTAGTCAAACTCTCTTATATTATATTATATTATATTATATTATATTATATTATATTATATTATATTATATTATATTATATTATATACAGTTACTGTTTAACTTAACGTTAATACATTACCTAAAGTTTGTCATATTAAATATATTGTGGTTCATACTTTAAATGATATTACCTACAAAAGGGCACACATACTGCAAGACAAGCGGTGCAATCAGTTTTAGGTCATCTGCTGGAAACGGGAGTTCTCCGTCGTACGCTGTGGCGTTCCAATCTGACACCAAATAAAAGTAGTAAGAATAGAAAAGAAAAAGGTATCCGAATCTAGTTGCATCATTCTCCCATTTGTTGGAGAGACAATGTATTGGGACGCAGTGCAGATTATTAGAGATACAGGAATCGTTCCAAATGCAGGACCATCCAAATTGCTTATTAAAACGCGTTACAATGAACATCTGACCAAAAAGTCAGTTTCAGGGCTATATTTGTAACTTCTTTGTAAACCAGATATAACAGCACTGATAGTAATAATAATAATAATAATGGTAAACAGTAACTTAAAATGATAAAAAAGTCAAAAGTATACCGAAATGAATATTAATGTCCAATACAAAGTTTTTGATCCAGATCAATTACCAACAGACACTGCCACCATCCCTATGAGCAGAGGCGGTATTGTGCAGACTACAAATCCTAGTGCGCCTGCGTAAAGCATCACTTCCGCCAACCTTGATGACTTCATCGCTAGGGCCCGCTGCCACAGAACCTGTACAGCAGTTAATGACAAACACAATTAATTACAAAAACGCAACTGATGGAACATTTAGCTCAGTGGCTACCGATATACTCATATCTGTGTACAAAATCAGCAGTTACCCTTCTTCACTCCAAAAGTATTTTGAAAAACTGCATTTTAATTTCTATATGAATTGAAACCACTAAATAACTACTCTCAACACCTAGACAAATACCACGTGTTAGAAATAATCAGCTTGTTGTTAAAGGGAGCCATCGAAGGCCTACAGCAGCCACTCCCTTCTCGAAGCGTTTTCTCTCAGCCTTGATTATAAAGAAACGAGCGTTTTTACCTGCCAAGGTATTCCTCCAAACATCAGTTGTAGCAGTATGTCTATGTAGGTGCTGATATCATGGTTTGGAAGCGTCCCTACCCACTTCTCTGTCGTCTCTGATAGTGACGTCATCAAGGGGTTGGACAGAGCAAAGGGAATGGCCAGCCACTAGAGAAGAAATTAAATTGCCGTAATGATTTGGTATAAGGCAAAACGTCTTATGGAAGATTTCAATTGTGAGAATTAACACAAGTTACATCTGTGTGTGTGCTACATGTTGAAAATAGCAATTGTGTTGGAGTACATGGTGACATTGCCATCTGTGTCCATTGTCTACCAGCGGTCATATAACCTAAGCTGTTACAAATGTATATGTATATGTATATCTGCACGCCTTGCATCTTTGTACAGTGTAACACACAAAAGAGAGTAAAACTTACCAAGCCTACAAAGATGAACAGCATCTGCATGACGTCGGTATAGGAGACGGAGTAGAGTCCCCCAAACAACGTGTATATCAGGACCACGGCTGCCGACACCGTGATGGCAATCCAGTGATCTAGCCCAACCACCACCGTTAGAGTTGTACCTATTTCGACAAACACTATAATGCATCTGTTTTCATCCTGACATTGAGGTCAAACTGTGTGTTTTATAAATGTATGTATGTAGGCCTATGTATGTATATGCGTGCAAGCATGTATGTAGCCATCTATATACATGGAGAGAATTGGTCTTGGTATAACATCATTTTTCACACTTAAGTGTGTTTCTGAATAAAAAAAAATTATATATCTTATTTATAAGTACAACCCAGACCTAATGACGACAAGGTTGCAGCACACCAGAACATGTCCCCGGAGAGAGCCGGCAGGAACAGGAACCCTGTCATGATTTTACCAAACTTCCGGTCGAAGGGGTCCAGCATTGTGACATTGTTGCCTTCGCGCATCTTTTTGACAAAGAAGAACGCAGCTGGAATGGAATTTGTCGGTAACATCAATAATCATGTCAGTCCGTACAGGCACATTATATAGTTTGTACAGTGTACTCTGTTGCAAAAGTAATCTGCAATTTTCTTCCACAATCATCTTTAAAAACCATGAAATCAAACATAACTTGGATGTAACAGTTTTAATGCTAAAATTACTGAATTCTGATTGAAACAAATCTGAAAATGATCTACATTGTGCGACATTGCTGATTACCTAAAATAGTCGACATACAGTACCCTAGCGGCATGCTGAGCGAGGACAAACCGGAAGTGTAGATACCCTCGGCAACGCCGCTGATCAGAGCGCCATCTACCCACGTGGCTGGAAGTTAAATTGATAAAGTTGACGGCATGCAGCCACAATGGGCCATCTGGGAAAAAATAAAATTGCACATGTGCGCATCGATTTTAATTTCTGGGTCACCAAGATTCTGATAAGTGTTCTGTCCTGTTTCAGTTACACTATATCATTGTGATAATACCTTTCGATATATTTAACACACAATCATGTCTTTTCGCGGAATTGTAAATAAAACACCAAAAGTATAAGTTTTAATAGTCAAAGAAGAGCCCGGAAGATCTCCTAGGCAGATTATGAACTGAAATAACTTCAATATTACCTGTTGACTGATCACAATCAAATAAATATGATTTTTTTTTTTTTTTTTTTTTTTTTTTTTTTTTTTTTTTTAAATAAAATCTTGTTTTTTGTGTGGGTTTTTTGGTGTGTTTCAAAAAAAAAAAAAGGGAAAAAAGAAAAAAAAATTGATGATTTTTTTTAACTGCTTTGAAAAAGGGGNGCTGTTAGTGTGGATCTTTGGTGTGAATACAAATAAATCAAGCGATAAGACGAAAGAATAATTGATGATCTATTTGAACTGCATTGAAAAAGCAGGAATGCTTTGTGTGAGGCAGATACGGCAATAAGGCAAAAAAGAAATAACAATTAAACAAATAAATGGATAGGCAATCAAGAAAATCGCATATTCAATATTTGCTGACGACAAACTCTCTATCTTATCCTTTGTCCTCAACTCAAAACCCAAAATCATATGGCATATTTATGCAAGTCACTGGTATTTTATATTGTTTAAAAGCACTATAAAATAAACTGACCTGTCAATGTAAATATCCCAAGATACGTCCCGATATTTCGCCCGGCTAGCAAGATGTCCTCACTCGTCGCTTCCTTCCCTTTCTTTTTATTTTTCCTCGCCGCCCAGATGCCAAGGATGAAAATAAGCAAGTAGAACACAATAATTGCGACAAGTCCCCATACGTGAACAGCCATATTTCAGGAGTTTTTTACCCGATAAAGATAAACTGTACGATGATTAAGGATTTCTGTCCGGATTGTTTCTCCGTTATTACTGGCTTCGTACCGAGTGTTCAGTCGATGGAGTCAAATACGCCACCAGTGGGTGCCTCATTAAATGTCGCTAATGCATATGGTACAAAGAACTTCTATCATATAACTTCTCAACACCAAAGTCTCACATAGTCAGTTAATCTACGTCAAACTGAAATGACTTCAGTCCTCCTAATCATATCGAAATTGACATCTCATCCTATCACGTTCAAATTAAATATTTGCCGGAGAATGCCGCCATATGTCGCTCATCTCAAGTCTGGGCTATGCCCTGATACCATTTGATATCTTTATCTAAGCAAACAGGTGCGAGGTCGTCTGAATTTATCAAGTGATGATCGAGGAAAGTGTAAAAAAATGGGTCACTTTCTCCCACCCTTGGTGTCTGCATGGAAAACTTAATTAAGGACTCAGTGATGCTTCACTCCCACGATATTCAACGGGATAACAATATGTGGATGACACGGTGGGATGTATGATGTCACCGTTTTACCCCTAAAAACTGTCATCATTCATTTGATATATACGTGTATTTACCTTTTTTACATTTTGTGGTTTAAAGGATGGTCCGATCAAGTATGGTGACGAAACATGAAAACATCTGAATATTTCACCGAAAACAAGCCGTCGCCGTTAGCCACAGACATAGATGCAGACATAGATGACTTGGTCTATATAAAATATTATCACGTCAATAGTATACAGCACTAACACAAACTTTATTTACAACACAAACTTAATTTTTTTTGCTTCCCAATGTCGTAACCGTTTTTATCTAATGTTGATTCACAGTGGTTAAATGTGTAATATAAAACATTTAAGGCATTTGTATTCACCACAAAATCTAAGGGTGTTTTCCCAGAGATTTAGATCGATCCAGGGATTAAGATTTAGATCGACCTTACTCACTGGGGGTTCACGCTAAATTGCAGTCAGCCAAGCGAGCACCATAGTTAATTACCCCCTTACAGCTTTCAGTAGGCGGGACAGACGCTTAAGCCGGCTAATCTGACAGTAATCTAGTGAGACTCTCCACAGCGATAGATCGATCTAAAATCTATGGAAATAGGGTCTAACATTACCTGATAAAGCTATTAAGTTGTGTATAGACGCGCCTGTATATGACGTTAATTGATTAAGCGGGGGCATCGAGAGAGACAGAGAGATTGTTACGATGCTGGAGGCTTCACATCATTTAGCTACCGGGTGCGCGACTGCTAAAACTGGTCATAAGGCATACTTGTCTTGCCTCTACTTCAAACATTGGTGGTCGAATCATGTAATCTTCTGTACCCGTTTCATTTCAAGTTAAAACATAATGCCTTATTTCGAGCCCTAATGTTTAATTATCATCAATTTTAAGGAGTTCAAAATATAAGCCCAAATGCTGTAGAGACGCATTTTGCAACCAAATGCTTTTGCAACAAAGTTTTATCTTTTCGTATTGTAAGTCACTGAAACAGTTTTCAGTGCTGTAGAAATATGACTGGCATGGCAAGAAGAATGCATCTGTAGAGAAGGAACGTTTGTTCATATTCCCTAGGACATTTATTTACTCTCCTGTATCATACTAAAGGGGGGGGGGGGGGCTGAAATCCGCCCGAAAATGCTTTTTTTTTGGATAACTTAAATAAGATACAAAGTAAAATTAGTTTGTCTAATAAAAATAAAATCGGTAAAATTGATATAACGTCGGTGTAATGTGAAATTTCCATTCCTCAAATTAATTTCCCCACTTTCCTACTAAACAACTAAATAAAAAAGTTGACAGATTGCTACCAGATCGCCATTTTCAATGTAACCGTTGTTAGCATTGTAACTTATTCCGTACTGGATATGGGCGTTAGACGCAAATTTTACACATAACATTAATTATGCACAGCCAAATGTAAAGTTAGAAAAATAGGCCACGGTAGAAAAAAAAAAAAAAAAAAAAAAAAAAAAAAAAAGATCCCTGAAGTAAAATTTATCTGGACGGTTGGTAGTTCATAAGAATAACGGTTTGACAGGAATGGTAGTCCCTAGGAACCGTAGTCATTCCCCATTACTAAATGTACCGGTGACATTCGGATCGTTCTATATACTAACCCAATGTTCTGACTATCTCTAGCCCGTATAAGTCATATGGGACCCCGGTGTAACGTGACAGAGAGTCCGCTTCCCATTCATTTGCACAAGAAAGCCTTGCCCTTTGACCCGCTTATGTTAACCATTGTAACTAAATGGAGGGCTGACTTTCTGTTACACGAACCCACGAACCGTTACACCGAGCTTCCATTTCTGTCGCATCGGTCGATTTCAGCGTCAGATTGCCCCCCTCTCCCCTGTGAAAAGTTCTTGACCTTATATATGGAATTTTTTTCCAAATCTTTTTTCACCATTTATGTCCCTATGTTGCAGACTGATAAATAAAAATAAGGATTAAAATCTTGTTTTAATAACTTTTAATAATCTCTTTGATATCACTTTAACACCAGCTCATTATTCGAATTCGCCAGTGAAGCAAATAAAAAATACATTGCCTATTCTAAGTCAAACGACAACCATTAAGAACGATATTTTGGATCTCCATATTTTCCAAATCATCATCTGTTAAATAGTTACATGGCCCACAGATGACTCTCATGTCAGTGTCTAGTCACAGCAACGGTAGCTGTTACGACTGACCTCATCTGGCTGCTACCAGGGCTCTCAAGCGGCAAAACATTTCTTGGGATAAGTTTTTAAAATTAAATCTTGGATAGAATTCCAGGCATCTAAAATAATTACCTATGGACCATTTATGCGTTTTCGCTACTAGACTTTGTTATCTTTTGTACCTTTAAGTGATTCTATATGGCAAATGATTTAGATGTATGTTTTCAAGATTGATAATACAGAAAAGGTTGGTTTTTCATTGTTTACTATATATGTTTTACTTCAAGATACAATGCTGGTATGATTTCGTTGTGAAAACTGCTGGTTATGAACACACTTATGTTAATTTTTTCTTCTTCTACTTAATGTATGGAATAAATGTACGAGACTATTACGTTCCATATTTGAGGAGCATATCTTTGTAGGAAACATTTCACTTGTGTTTCGCGAAATAAGTTGCATTTTGCAATTGATTAAACCACAGGGCTTAAATCTGTTTCGTGCAATTGGCTTTACAGTTAAAAACATTTCCCCCTGTTTTGCAAAGATTTCGCGAAATTAGTTGGTACTCAGAGCCCCATTTCCATAGAAATAAGCATCCCCTGCATTCGACACGTATTTTACACCAATATGCAAATCATGTCAAAAAATACCTACTGAAGCCGAACACGGTATTTCTGCAAAAACGTGAACGTGACTTTAAGGATAGGCTGATCGTCTTATTATCATGATAAACACCTGCATGCGATTTCATATTGCACATAATTTGTCTTATATTCTTGTGCTGATCAACAGCGTGGGAGAACAGGACCATTAGGTAAAACATTACATTTGGTAAGTAGGCAGCATATATTTAGAGTATACAGTTGGGTGAATGCGTAAGTTTCTGATGTAATCGGGATTGAAAGACTACCATATTCTAATACCCATTTAATGAATAAATAGGGTTGGTTAAACAATTGGCAGTCACATTAACAGCATATAATTATCACACCAATAACACGATAAAATCCACGGATATGACCCCATGACGCCCCTGCAGCGTGAGGTGGTCATCATTTCACTCTAAATGGACACCAGCCATTATATAAACACGTTACCCCAGGTCGTTGTGATTTCTCGATTGATCACCGAGATGAATGTGACTCTCAGTCTAATTTTCTTTTCAGGTGTTAAATAATTTCAAACAGTAGTGACAACCAAGCTAAACCTGAACTTGGGCCCATGTGACCCCGAATAAATAACAAAATAAATATAGTAACACACATTTCTAGGTTTATGTACTGAAGGCAAAGGCGTGGAAATTCGACATCACTTATTTTGGCAACGCACTGCTAGGAGTTCACATTTTGGCACGGCAAATTTGTGACGGCGACTTTGGGAATATGGCTGTCCATGTGTGGGGACTCGTCGCCATCATTGTGTTCTACTTGCTTATTTTCATCCTTGGCATCTGGGCGGCAAGGAAAAATAAAAAGAAAGGGAAGGAGGCGACGAGTGAGGACATCTTGTTAGCAGGGAGAAATATTGGGGTATTTCTTGGTATCTTTACCGCGACAGGTGATATTGTTTTTTTATATTGTTCATGACTTTTAATCAATAAATAATCATTTAAGTAACATAAACGGTTTTAGGTATTGTGTTGGAGGGGAAACGGAACATATTCTGCCGTATATATGACTAAATTACATTACTTCATTTCTAAATTATCCGTTTGCTTGCTTTTTACTTATGTATTTTTATAACCACACATGTCTTATATTGACAAAAAAATGTTTCAAATATTCTGTCACATGGGTTCACACTTTAACAACATCCTTCATTCAGAATCTCCCAATTTTCATTTTGAATGTTAATACATGTAATTAACGTTAAACCACAAAATTGCGTGCTGTTGCTACTGTATTTTGCTACATCAATGAACTATTTGAATGATAACTAAATCATAAGGGAACACTAATCACAACCAAGTTGATTCACGCACATTTTCAAATTAATTATTTCTCAATGATAGCAGATGCCAACTAAATGTTTTTAATTTCTAGCCACATGGGTAGATGGCCCACTAATTTGCGGGGTTGCCGAGGGTATCTACACTTCCGGTTTGTCCGCGCTCAGTTTGCCACTCGGGTACACCGCGAGTACTGTTTTAGGTAACACTGAATGCGCACCGGTGTGACAGAATGTATGCTATGCAAGACATAAATTCCACTCATCATTAAGCATAACTTTGAGGTTGCAAATTATAAAAAAATGAAATCATAAATACTCATTTACTTTATCCATTTACAATTGTCTTGAATGTCGTTTATACTGTAGATGTGCATCTTTCAGAATTTGAGAATGTTTAGTATTTTAACTGTAATATCAATTTTTGTTGCAAGAAATCTAATCTTATCGTTTCATAATTTTGCACGTATCTTTAAGGAACATTTGGCATGGTAATTGCATAGCTTACACATTTTACACATAAGTCCTTATGATATTTGTTTTGATTGACTAAATTCCTTTTTAGCTGCGTTCTTCTTTGTCAAAAAGATGCGTGAAAGCAATTGTATCACTATGCTGGACCCCTTCGACCGGAAGTTTGGTAAAATCATGACAGGGTTCCTGTTCTTGCCGGCTTTTTCCGGGGACATATTTTGGTGTGCTGCAACTTTGTCTGCATTGGGTAAGGGGTCTCCTTGAAGGCAATAATATTTAATTAGTTTTGACATAGATTTTTGTGCAGGTGTAAAATAAGTGAATTATTTGCTCTCGTGGTATCGCAACAATCAAGTGGCGTAATTTTAAGGCGGCTAAGAATACATTCAGGTAAGGGTGCATTGCTCACTTCGACTCTAAAGTAGCAAGAAGTACATGTGATTTAAAATCGATAGAGAACATCGGTGCGTTGTTTGCACCCGAAGGCAGTGTGGACAATGATGACAGTGAATAGTCCGCGAGAAAAAAAATGAATAAACTTCTGACTTTATGCCATTCAGCCGACTAAATGATCTCATTAAAATCCTTAGTTGACTAAGCTTAGCTAGCTTAGCAAGCTAAGCTTTACTATGTTACCCCGTTTTTTTGATTACCTGTCTATGTGATTGCCTGTCTGTGTATACGACATTGCAATCACAGAGATATGATCTCCTAGAATGACGTCACCGGAAACTAACCCACCAGAATTTCCTTATTAGAGTGCCATTTTTTTTTCATTATCAAAATTTAATAATGTTATCTTTAATTTATGCATATAGTGAAAAATGTTGTTTTTCGCTTATACATAACAGTTAACATTTTATTTTTTATGTATGTATTATTTAAACAGAAAATATGTAAAATGTGTTGATAAAAAGTAACTTTGCATGTTATACACAATCAGTGTAACATCTCTCTCTTTCCTCTCTCTCTCTGACACACTGACACCCGAGCTTATTAACCACAATTTTACTAATACATGGAAATGCACGTGCTAACAAGAGTGCGTCAATGAAATACAGAGGTTGACTTACTTTTCAGACTTTTAAAAAATAGGTACATTGTGGTGTTCGTTGAATTAGGTACAACTTTGACAGTGGTTGTCGGGCTCGACCACTGGATCGCCATCACGGTGTCGGCAGCTGTGGTCCTTATATACACGTTGTTCGGTGGCCTTTACTCGGTCTCCTACACTGACGTCATGCAGATGTTGTTCATCTTTGTAGCCCTGGTAAGTTATGTCCTTATCAGCATAACTTATGTCAATAGCCCTATTGAGCTAGATGACAAAATGTTGTCAAAAGAATTCGGGACATCTGATAATCTAGCTGCAGAAGGCCTATTGATGGTTGCGTCACTCCCGGCTTAGATTGACCGGAGTTTGAATCAATATCGTCAAAACAATCTATTTTATCACCTTCTCAAATACAACTCCGCGCGTCAACAATCAGTTTTGAAATCAGTGTTCGAACTGATGGCGGAGTTTGAAAAAAACCTTCGCGAGTTTCAGGAAAGGAGGATCTAAGTTTGTCAGTCAGAATAAAATACCGTTTTTTTTTTTCAGTTTACCCCAAGTTTTGGTGGGAAATTCTTGCACTTGGAGTCTTTGAACATTTAGCAATCCACAGAATTATCTATAACCATGAGCATAAAATTTCAGGAATCCAATTATTATTGAATAATTTTATATTCTTTATTATTTTCGCCTCCAAGTGGTTGACCATTCCATTTGCTTTGTCTAACCCCTTGATGACGTCACTATCAGAGACGTCAGAGAAGTGGGTAGGGACGGTCCCCGGCCGTGACGTCAGCACCTACATAGACATACTGCTACAACTGATGTTGGGAGGAATACCTTGGCAGGTAACACCGCTCATTTATTTTATATTATGGACCATAGGCTGAGAAAATGCTTGGAGGTGGGGGATTTTTTTTTCAGATAGCCTCCAAAACAACGCCTAAATGCGCTGTCATACCTAGCTTATGACACTAACATGCGGCAACAATTGCCCATGCGCAGAAAAACGCAAGGGACATTCATTAGACTTACCTTGTTTTCGAGTCCAGTTGGCAGGCAAACGTTCCCATACCAGGTGAGAGAAAATGTTTTGAGCATGTTCAAAAAATATTTCATCCGCTGACCATATCTTGAAATATGCTGGAAATATAAGTTTCTTTTTACGTAACGTATGGCAGAACTTTAACGGCAGGCAAGCTATTTGTAAAATCTGCGGTAATCATTTCAGCGCTCAGTTTAGGGAAAGTCACGGACTTATTCTTAAATAAAGACTTCAATATTTTTTTCAAAAATCTGCAGAAGGGGAAGGGTGGATGCCCCCGCAACTACATTTATTACCACGATATTATGCAGTTACTTCCATGCACAGATCCAGATTTACATCAACTCTCAAATAGGCATCTTTTTGTCATTTTTTTTTACAAAAGATAGCCGCTGCACAATAAAATCATATATTATGTTATGGTAGCACTCATATTTCTGACATATGCATTTTTTATATGTTGCGAATCTCATAATTTTATTTTGACACAAATAACCATCTAATTTCCTTAGAAAATTATGGGTGCTATCTTAATTGTAAATTCCCTTGCATGAACACATAATATTTATATTTGCTTTTCTTTTTTTATTATTACTATTTTATTTTTACAATATTTTAGTTGTCTGCTTTGTGTATGCATATGCAAATAGGACTAATTTGTGCTTGTTTCACGGTTTGTTTTCAATAATAATCAACTCTGAAAATACTGGTAATTGTTACTTTTGTCGTTCACATACAGGCTTTGTGGCAGCGCGTCCTGGCCATGAAATCGGCGAGGTTGGCGCAGTGGATGTTGTACGGAGGCGCCGTAGGGACTCTTGTCTGCATGATCCCACCATTGCTCATAGGGATGGTGGCAGTATCAGTTGGTAATTTATATCAGTCAAATAGGACGGTTATACACGTGGATGTCAGTTTTAAAATACCTTATTATTATTATTATTATTATTATTATTATTATTATTATTATTGAGCGAAAATTGCAAGCGTTTTACCGTATTTATAAAGCAGAAGGAAAATGTTCACCAGTTATAATGCTCAAGGCGCCAGTCTCTGCAGCACAAAGGTCCTGGTTTTGATAAAAACGATATTTAAATGGTCAATGGGCGGTCTAGTCTTTTAAGAGGTAAACGTATATATATCAATTTAATAGTCGTTTTCAGGTAGTATACTTTTAGTACCGCCAAGGTAATAAAAACTGTTTTGATTTTAGATTGGAACGCCACAGCCTACGACGGAGAACTTCCGTTTCCGGCAGATGACTTAAAACTTATCGCGCCGCTTGTCTTGCAATACGTGTGTCCATTCGTAGGTAATATTATGATAAAATGTAACTTTACAATCGCTTTTAATATCACTCAATTCAATGAAATGTATTAACGTTCAGGTACACAGCCACAGTAGCGCCGCTAATATAATATAATATAATATAATATAATATAATATAATATAATATAATATAATAATATAATATAATATAATATAATATAATATAATATAATATGAATTTATGTCTTCAGTTTCTCTGATTGGCCTTGGCGCCATCTCCGCTGCAGTGATGTCGTCTACGGACTCCATTTTGCTTTCCTCGAGCTCAATGTTTGCCATCAACATCTATAAACCTGCTAGACTAGGGAAGGTAACTTTTAAAAATAATATTTTTTAAAGAAATAATAGTATACAAATTACTATTCAGGTTCACACATCGTACTAGCTGGTTTGGTCCAATTCTGCGGGGAATTCCCGCTAAAGTGCAGTCCGCTCAAATGTCTGACACGCTTCCTTGAGCCGGGGTACTTATATCGTGTGCTGATCAGGCTGCTTCTGATAATTGTACTTTAGTTCCCCCCCCCCCCCAGAGTTGGATCGATTCAGCTAATGCGTTGTGTGAATCTAATTGCGCCATAAGATGTTAAGTATTTTTACTTTATATGTTACAGAAGTATTTATACCAACCGTATTTTTCAAAATTATTTTGCAATGTCTGCCAACGCCCAGGTAGTTTACTTTGCACTAATGTACCATTTGTTTTTGATTTAGAAGTAGTATAAAATACTCACAGCACACAATTTATTTTAGTCTTTGGTTTTGCAGATATGCCAAACACAAAAGTGATTAAGCTGGACACAGCGTAAACTTGTTCCCATGCGGTTCCTTTTAGACCTAATAAATTACGCGCGTTAAGGTCATTGTTTCCAAAGGCTCTTTTTATTTTATTTTACTTTTTTATTATATTTATTTATATTTTTTATTCATTTTTAACAAAATCTGAGAAAATTATGCATGTTTATATTGTGGCACTTGTATGTTTTGCGCTTGAGTGATGAATCTGTAACTTATTTTTTTCCAGGCCAGTGAACGTGAGGTTATCTGGGCCATGCGAGTATTTATGATTCTCATGGCCATTCTGACCACGGTGTTGGCCATCGAGATCACCAGCATCTTCAATCTGGCCGTTTTGGGCTCCGATCTAGTTTATGTCATTCTGTTCCCTCAGATGATCTCGGCCTTGTTCGTGGACGATGCAAACATCTACGGATCCATTGCTGGGTATATTGTGGGATTGATCATCCGGGTACTTAGCGGGGAGCCGTTGCTAGGTTTGCAAGCAGTTCTGCGGTGGCCTTGGTATGAAGCGGAAACGAATTCCCAGCCGTTCCCCTATAGGACGGCTAGTATGCTCCTCGGCTTGTTAACTATCCTGCTCGTGTCACACGTCACAAACGTGGCGTTTCTGGCAGGATGGCTGCCAAGGCGGTATGACGTACTCAAAGGCATTACTTGGTATTCAGAGAGTAAATCAAAAGACCCCGCGGTTGATCAACGATCAGTTGAGATAGAAGAGCATTTACTTCCGGACAATACTAAGGATAATATTGCTTTGGAGATACGTCCCAGACAAAAGGTAGAAACAAGTGAAGCTCAAAACGAAGATCACACATGTTATGAGCAGATGACGCCTTCATGTTGGAGCCAGTCTAACAAGAATGCAAGTCCTAGGAATGGAAGTCCGGATTCCCAAATGATTTGTACACGTTAGGTTTAGTTGGTCAGTATATGGGACGAAGGCTGCCAGTACAAAGTAATAAGAAACTGCACCTGTTACACCGGGGCCAGTTACGTCTCACTGATATTTCATGCAGTTTGCAAAGAACATAGATCAAATATGACCATTTACAAATAATCAACTCACAGGTGTAATTGTTATAAACAGTGCATTTCATTCCAGATGTCATTATAATATAATTAGTATGATTAATGGCACAGGGAATACAAAATGGCAGTGAAAATATCCATAGTTTGTATCATTTATTAAAATTCATAACCTGTAACTCCGCAATCCAATGTTTCGCTGTGATTTCCACAAGTCATTATAGTGTGCTCATTGAAGGTCATATGTCTAATAGCCTGTGTACCAGCCGCCTATCTCCGGTAGGCGGCGCGGCTCAGAAAATTGCTGTTGTTGAAATGATCAGCAATTCCGCCAGACATCCGGAAGCAATGAAAAACATTAAATGTCATTTAATAGTCATTGATGCGATCTAAATAATTAGATGACTTACTGAATAAGGAATGTATACCCTAATACTGGTAAGGAAGCCATCCTACTCAAAACACATTCAATCATCCTATGTTACTACCACATCTCTCTCTCTCTCTCTCTCTCTCTCTCTCTCTATATATATATATATATATATATATATATGCATGAAACACATGCATGTGACACTTTCCTGTCAGTGTTGTATAGCAATACATTTGAATAAAATGTAAAAACCAATATTTTAAAATCAATGCTTCTCTTGGGGGTCATAAATGACACCACAAGAGTTTGTGATGTATACGCCACACTAATTGGTTGAAAAAAAATTGTGAAAGTGTGTAGGATTAGTAGACTGAAACTCATGCAAGGAAAGAAAATTCGGATAAAAAATAAAGAGATGACACAGTTTATCATAGGGGTGGGGTCGTAAATGACCCCACAAGGTCACTTGAAGGTTAATGAAACCTCAAAGCATTCAATAACGACACACGATATTCTATAACGAGGAAATGGGCACCATAACAGTCACACGCTGTTTTTGGTGTCCATTGGAGCTATTCTAAAATCAATACCTTAGGACTATATATGAAATTTTCATTACTAAATTTTATTATCTTAATGTACCTTTCAGTAATTCTGTAGTGCAAATTATGTAGATGTAGACATATGTTATCAGGTTTTGATAATGAGAATATGCCGGTGTTTCATTGTTTACTTTATACGTTTTACTTCAAGATACAATGCTGGTATGATTTTGTTGTGAAAACTGCTGGTTATGAAGACACTTGTGTTTAAGTCTCCTTCTTCAGCTGTTCGAATGTCTGGATTAAATTTACGAGACTATAACGTCCCGTACTCATATATTTGTAGATACCGTTTCTCTTGTGTTTCGCAAAATTAAATGCATTTTGCAATTGACTGAGGATATTGTATCACTTGATTATCATCCAGATAGTGAAATTAAGGGTTTCCTGCTTCTAATCATTCAGTAATGCATCTGTCTTTGCGTGGATTTAAAACAATACAATGCAATTTTAGTTTCATTGTGTTTTTTTTTTTTATTATTATTATTATTTTTTTTTTTTTTTTGTTATGGAGTTATGTGCCCCTCATTACAGATTTTCATTAAAAAAGGCAACAATTTGTCTAATTATTAAAGAAATCTGAACTAAGATTTTGAAGTAACATTGCTAGCAGGGTTTTGGAGTACTAAATTGTGTCAATAAATCGGTGTTGAAACGGTGTTCGTTGGGTGCTTAGTTAAAAAAAAAAAAGAGGAATCAAAACCGATGTTTCAGATTTTACCCCAAAATGACAATTATGTCGTTACCCGTAAGATGGCATTTTCGTGAATATTCATGGGCGTAACTAGGCATACGCACGGATGCACTGTGCGTACAATTTGTTGGCCAACTATGATATTATTTTATATAAATTTAGTGTATTTTTCACGGAATATAAAAGAAAATCCTCTGCTTATTAAAATCCTTTGCATTAATTGTATATATATAAGGGTGATGGGTGACAATATCCTTACACCACAGGTATCACATCTATATCCCACGACGATTTACTTCACAGATAAAAAGGTTGCCCCATGTTTTCCAAAGATCTACCTACTTAATGCCCAAAGCCCCATAGAAAAAAAAAACAATATAAAAAAATGTTAAAAATAAATACTTAGGACAAACACGGTATGTCTGCCAAAACGTGAATGTGACTTTAAGGATAGGCTGATCTTCTTATTATCATGATAAACACCTGCATGCGATGACAACACTGTGCTACCATTACATATTACATATTGCATATAATTTGTCTAATATTCTTGTGTTGATCAACAGCGTGGAAGAACAGGTCCCTTAGGTATATACATTTCTAGGTTTATGCACTGAAAGCAAAGGCGCGGCAATTCGACTTTGTGTTTTGGCAACGCAGGGATTCACACTTTGGCACGGCAAGTCTGTAACAGCGACTTTGGGGATATGGCTGTTCATGTATGGGGACTCGTCGCCATTATTGTGTTCTACTTGCTTATTTTTATCCTTGGTATCTGGGCGGCGAGGAAAAATAAAAAGAAGGGGAAGGAGGCGACGAGTGAGGATATCTTGCTAGCAGGGAGAAATATTGGGACGTATCTAGGGATATTTACTTTGACAGGTCAGTTTGTTTTTAAATTGTTCATAATAATAATAATAATAATAATAATAATAATAATAATAATAATGAGTTCAACAGATTTCGGTATTGAGTTGGAAGCAGAAAAAAGAACATATTATGTCTTATTTATACTGTAACTAATTACTTAATTCCAATATTTAATTATTCATTATTATGAAGTATGGATCTCATGCGAATAGTTGATATCCCTTTAATTTCCAGCCACGTGGGTAGATGGCTCTCTGATCAGCGGGGTTGCTGAGGGTATCTACACTTCTGGTTTGTCCGCGCTCAGTATGCCGCTCGGGTACTGTGCAAGTACTGTTTTAGGTAACACTAAATGTGTGTCTGTGTGACAGTCACACGAGTGCAACAAAATATATTTGATTTTGTACAAGAAATAAACTATCCTCATTAATAAGGATTTTGAGCCTGTCACAATTATAAAAAATGTAATCGTAATTTTGCAACTTCAGTTATAAAGAACATTTTGAACTTTGAATTCCAGTTTAATGCCGATGTGCATATTTCAGTATTTGAGAATTGTAACATTTTCACTGTAATATCCAACTTCATTTCATAATTTTTAGGTAGGTTTTGTATGAAAATTTCCGTTGTTTCGCATAAAAATTAAGATATTTATTTTCATCATTTCAGCTTCATTCTTCTTTGTCAAAAAGATGCGTGAAAGCAATTATATCACAATGCTGGACCCCTTCGACCGGAAGTTTGGAAAAATCATGACAGGGTTCCTGTTCTTGCCGGCTTTGACAGGCGACATATTTTGGTTCGCTGCCACATTGTCTTCATTAGGTAAGGGATTATGTTTAAAGCCATGCTGAAAAAAGTATATTATTCAAGTACCCAAAAAGTCGTTATTTATCATATTCTTTTAAAAATGCATTGAACAGATGTAAATGTAGTGTACGATACGTCCGCGTGGTGGCGCAACAGTCAGGTGGCGCTATTCTAAGGTGGTGTGAACCCATTCAGGTTATGCTGCAGGGCTCATTTCCTCTCTAAGGTAGCTGGAAATTAAAGGTAATCTGAAATGAAAAAAAAAGAATATTGGTCTTTTGTTTGGGCCAGAATGCAGTGTGGACGATTCTGAGAGTGAATAGTCCGCGTGAAAAATGAAGAAATTCTGAGTTTTTAGCAGTCAGCCGTCTAAATAACCTCTCTAAAATTCTTTGTCGACTTCACTTGGCCACAGTAGTTGACTTACCAAAGCTGGATACAATGCCGCCCACTAGCGGATTCCAAGAGGACAAAAGTGTAAACAAATACGGCAATGTTGCATTCTATTTTTACGTAAAAATTTAACAAATAATCAGCATCATTCAAATATATTATAACATAATATCTTGAAGATGTGTACTCAGGACATTCTGACTATGCTCTCAATTCCCAAGTAGAAGGTGACGTTTGCTGACTAACTTAGGCTTAGAAGGCTAGGATTAGAAGTCTACATGCTGCAGTGAAACGCTGCTCTTACCTTATTTTTTATAGTATATATAGCTTTGTTCATTGTAACGTATGCATCTACATGGATATATGAAAATGTACAAAAGGAATGCAAAAATAAATAAATATGAATTATGTTAAATAGTGATATTGTACGACTCCTTGTATGAAAAATACAAAACATATTTGGTAGAGCCATTTGGGCATCACTACTCAAGTGGTAATGGGTGTAACACAGTCCCTTTTTTGAAAGGCTAAGCATAGTTATTTGGCAGCCATTAGTGTTTTAAATTTATCCATTCTGGTAAGATGCTCAAAGTTACTATGTTCTTTTTTGTATACTGAATAAAGATCATATCGGAGGTCTGTATAAAAGGGGCATGACACTTGGAAACGGATTTCATCTTCTATTTCGCCAGAATGGCACTTTTTACAAATTCTGTCTGCTTGGGGAATTTTTCCATGTCTAGCTGTTTCAATACCTAGGTTGTGTGCACTTATGCGGAATCTGGTTAAAGTGGTGCATTTATCTCTATCTTTAATTGTATCTAAGTATCTTTCCTTCACACATTTGTTCTTGTATTGACAAAAAACGTGCAATTTGGACTTGGTGTTGGTTATGTCTCTCTGCCATTCTTGTGTTATTCTGTCCCTTTATATTCGACGTTTTATTATCTCCAAAGCTAAAGGAAAATAACTGATTTCCTTCTTATGTGCCTATATCCGATATTATGCCACATAATTTTGTCATAATGTTTTTTTTTCTTCGTGACCTCGATATTTTACTGTATACCCTGTATGTGTTTTCGAGGCGACATTACAACCACAGGAAGATAATCACCTACACTGGCGTCATTAGAAACTTACATATCAAATATTTCTTATTAAGGTGCCTCTTTTTTTACTATCAAATTTAAAAAAAGGATTGTCGTTCATTTATATTTATAGTGTTTACATTGCATCAAAAAAGTTAACATCTTGTTTATATGATTTTTCAGTTTTCCTCTAAACTGAAAGAAATTGGTTAATGTGTTGATAAAAATAAAGTTTGGATCTTACGGTACACACAACCACTGGCTCTCTTGTAGGCACGCACATACACACACACACACACACACACGCACATTAACTACAGTTTTACTATTTCATAAAAATGCACTTACACACGCGCAAGTCTATGAAAAAAAAAAAAGGTTGACTTCACTTTCAGAATTTCACATTTTGAAAAAGAGGTACATTGTGGTGTCCATCGATTTAGGTACAACTTTAACAGTGGTTGTCGGCCTGGACCACTGGATCACCATCACGGTGTCGGCAGCTGTGGCCTTGATATACACGTTGTTTGGAGGACTCTACTCGGTCTCCTACACTGACGTCATGCAGATGTTGTTCATCTTTTTAGGTCTGGTAAGTTTTAATCTCCTGTAGGTGTTACAAAAAATGTATGAAGATCACATGCATGTATACATAAAAAAAATGTATCTGTAGCAGCTAACGTTGTAGGCAATACAAATATGGGAATATCCCAGCGGGCACTCAACGTTGATTCAACATTGAGGATAGGTTGAGATGATGTTGATNATTACAAATAAATCAAGCGATAAGACGAAAGAATAATTGATGATCTATTTGAACTGCATTGAAAAAGCAGGAATGCTTTGTGTGAGGCAGATACGGCAATAAGGCAAAAAAGAAATAACAATTAAACAAATAAATGGATAGGCAATCAAGAAAATCGCATATTCAATATTTGCTGACGACAAACTCTCTATCTTATCCTTTGCCCTCAACTCAAAACCCAAAATCACATGGCATATTTATGCAAGTCACTGGTATTTTATATTGTTTAAAAGCACTATAAAATAAACTGACCTGTCAATGTAAATATCCCAAGATACGTCCCGATATTTCGCCCGGCTAGCAAGATGTCCTCACTCGTCGCCTCCTTCCCTTTCTTTTTATTTTTCCTCGCCGCCCAGATGCCAAGGATGAAAATAAGCAAGTAGAACACAATAATGGCGACGAGTCCCCATACGTGAACAGCCATATTTCAGGAGTTTTTTACCCGATAAAGATAAACTATACGATGATTAAGGATTTCTGTCCGGATTGTTTCTCCGTTATTACTGGCTTCGTACCGAGTGTTCAGTCGATGGAGTCAAATACGCCACCAGTGGGTGCCTCATTAAATGTCGCTAATGCATATGGTACAAAGAACTTCTATCATATAACTTCTCAACACTAAACGTCTCACAGAGTCAGTTAATCTACGTCAAACTGAAATGACTTCAGTGCGCCTAATCATATCGAAATTGACATCTCATCCTATCACGTTCAAATTAAATATTTGCCGGAGAATGCCGTCATATGTCGCTCATCGCAAGTCTGGGCTATGCCCTGATACCATTTGATATCTTTATCTAAGCAAGCAGGTGCGAGGTCGTCTGAATTTACCAAGTGATGATCGAGGAAAGTGTAAAAAAATGGGTCACTTTCTCCCACCCTTGGTGTCTGCATGGAAAACTTAATTAAGGACTCAGTGATGCTTCACTCCCACGATATTCAACGGGATAACAATATGTGGATGACACGGTGGGATGTATGATGCCACCGTTTTACCCTTAAAAACTGTCATCATTCATTTGATATATACGTCTATTTACCTTTTTTTACATTCTGTGGTTTAAAGGATGGTCCGATCAAGTATGGTGACGAAAGAAACCTGTGCTTTATATATAATGCATGAAAACATCTGGGCCCAGTTTTATAAAGGACGTTTAGCACTAACCAGTGTTTAACTCTAACCAGACCTAAATAGTCTGTTAGTAAAATGACCTTTAAATTATTATTTAATCCAGTTAAACACTGGCCAGTTAACTAATTGGCTGTTTTCCGTCAGAAGACTGTATATAAAACACAATTTAACCATTTTTTAGTTAATGGGTGTTAAGGGAATTTATCCACTGGTTAGGCTTATACACTTGTTAGTGCTAAACGTCTTTATAAAACTAGACCCAGAATATTTCACCGAAAACATGCCGTCGCCGTTAGCCCTGCAGACATAGATACCGTGCCTTTATAAAAAATGTTATAACGTCAATACTATACATCCCCAAATATGCATTTTGCTTCCCAAAGTCGCAGCCGTCCTTATCTAATGCAGATTTGCAGTGGTTAAATGTGTAATTTAAAGTAATTGAGATTTTTGTATGCACCACAAAATCTAACTTTACGTGATAAAGCTATTAAGTTGTGTATGCATGGGCCAGTATATACGACGGTAATTAATTCAGTTGGAGTGTCGAGAGAGACGGAAAGATTGTTACGGTGTATGTAGCTACTGGGCGATCGACTACTACTACTGTTCATAAGACATTCTAAGTTTCCTCTACGTCAAGCCGTGATCGAACCATGAAATTTTTGGTTCCCGTTTGACTCCAAGTTAAAACATTAAGTCCTAATCAGAGCCCTAATTTAAGCTTTTCTAAATTAAGAGAAATTCAGGATATTATCCCAACCGTTTTAAATGGTGTAGATATATACTCTAAGTGGGATGGGAATGGGGTAACTTTGATATTGTTTGCCGAATCTGGCGGGGTTGAGTCATGAACTTGAAAGACAATTGCTAGATTTTTCCAGGGAAATAAGCAATTTTTCTCGTACACACGAATCATTAATCTGTGTCTAACTGTTCTTGGTATTTGATTTTAAACTATATTTGTAAAGGTGTACCTTAAAAAGACTGGGCATTCATTTACCATCGAGCATCTTCCTAAAACTCATGAGGTTCATGGACCCTCTTGAATTAAATTGGTTTGAATGAGGGTCTTATATGTACCGTCTCTGGGGTAGATGACACCATTTTTTGCACACTGTAATTTCCGCTATCTCCTTCTAGACCAACGTGTGACGTGCGTGCCCTAATATAAATCCCAAAGTTTTAAATTTATTAATTTTGACGGTTTAAGAAGAGTTGCGGGAATTACAATGTGTGACAATAGATCCATCCACCCCCGGGAACAGCCAGACGCATGTATCTTTCCGAAGGACCACTAAACTACTTTGGTGATATGTTTATCAGTCTACAAAGTCCTAGGCATCTTACTTCACCCCACCTGATTTGTCGTACGGCTAAAATGTACTGAAAACTCATATCCCTCCTACGTCTCTAGCTCTCTAATGTATTTGGTATTTACAGTAACTTAACAATATTGGCAAAACGTTTTTCTGTGACTAAAATGCGGCTCTACAGCTGTTTTATGTGTACATGTATAAATACCAGTACACTATACACAGTGAAATGCACCACACGTCATCTTTCGGCACTTTTTATCTTGGCCTTGACCCCAAAGGCCTTGACTGCATGGTGCTGCGTGATTAGTGCTTCCAATGATTAGCCCCATTCAGATCGAGGAGAACCGAGTGCTAGCTAGGCCGCGACCTAAATATGGCGGACAGGAACCTAGGAACCGAAGTTCATTCTTTATTACTTTGTACAGGTGGCCTTCGCCCTACCTGTATCTACTAACCCAATATTCTGACTATCCCTAGCCTGCACTATTCATATGGGACCTCGGTGTAACATGACACGGAGTCCCCCATGATAGAGAATCTGCTTCCCATTCATTTGTACAGGTGCGCCTCGACCTAGATTTTGATCCACTTAGGTCAGGGTAACCCTATCCATCGTATCTAAATGGAGGGCGGACCCTCAGTTTCGTTGCATCGGGCTTCCATGTCTGCTGCAGCGTCTAACCGCCACTTGTGGCAATGTTGTTCCGACACCTACTTTTGGTCGTCTGCTTTATCGTCTTATAAGAAAACACCTACTAGATAAAATCTCATCGAAAATAAAACACTTAAGTTAAGACACACGTGAGCCAATAAACCGCAATCCCCAAGGGTCATTTATGAAGTTTTCATTACTAGATTTTGTTATTTTTTTTACCTTTAAATGATTCTGTATTGCAAAGGCTGTAGATGTATGTTTTCAGGTCTTGATATAGATGTTTTTGCATTGTTTACGATTTATGTTTTACTGCACGATACAATGCGGGTAGCATTTCGTTGTGAAAACTGCTGGTTATGAACACACTTATGTTAAAATTTTCTTCTTCAAAAGTAATGTCTGGATTAAATGTGCGAGACTTTAACGTTCCTTACTTGAGGAGCATATCTTTGTAGGTAACGTTTTTCTGTTCCTCAAAATTAATTTCACTTTTAAAGTGCTTTAACTGCAGGGCTCACAGCTGTATCCTGCTATTGACTTTGCAGTTAAAAGATTTACTAACGTTTTACTTAAGGCCCCAGTTCCACAGAAATAAGCACTCCCCATTTTATACGTATTTACCGCAATACACAAAACAAGACAAAACATATGTATTGAAGACAAACACAGTGTTTTTGCAGAAACGTGTACGCCACTTTACGGATAGGCTGATCGTCTTATTATCATGATAAAAACCTGCATGTGATGACAACACTCTGCTACCATTACATATTGCATATCATTTGTCTTATATTCTTGTGTTGATCAACAGCGTGGAAGAACAGGACCCACCAGGTATAGCACTGCGATTTGTAAGTATTCAGCATATATTTAGAGTACACTTGGGTACATTTCTGATGTAATCTGGATTGAGAATAACTACTTTTTTTTTAATACCAAATTAGTGAATAGATAGGGTTGGATTAACAACGGACAGTCATATTAATGCCACAGACTTATCATAACAATGATACCATAAAATCCAAGGATATGATCCCATGACACCATGCAGTGTCTACGCTGCAGCTTGAGGTAATCATCCATCCATTCTAACTGGACACCAGCTAGTACCCCCCCCCCTCCACCCCCTATACTGGACGGCGTCCTTTTGCAACTTCTGTGCGACAGCGCTGTGATCGTAATAAGGAGGGACGAGTATCGCTTTGGTTGAAAAACGAATGTTCAGAGTGATCGAGTAGTAGTTGGCACGTAAAGCATTATTATTTTTTTTCTTTTTCTTTTTTTTTTACTCTCAAACGGGGCCGTAAAAAGGGACTCGGAAAGGACGCCGTCCAGAATAACAAGGTAACTCCCGGATGTTTCGGAGGCAGAGGGATTTTTTAAGTGACTGGACCAAACTGAAATGCGCAACTACACTTATTTTCCATAATCTTACTATTATCATTGTTGTCGTATACTATCGACAAGGTATTGAAATACCATATTGACTTCTCGCTTGAACACTGCACCGAGATATACGTGGCGTCCACCCTTATCTTGTTTTCACGTGTTTAGTAATTTCAAAGCAGTGAACCATGGCTATGTGTTTTTAAAGCTAAATTTCCTAAATCCAAATTGTTGAAGAAAACGTAACTATATCTCTTTATTTGAAATTTTGCATGCAAGTGATCGCAAAATGGGTTAAGCACCATCATGCCCAGACTGATGTACCTACAAAGAGGCCATGGCACACCCAATGTTTAGAATTCTGACCACTAGGTACTTCCGGATATGGTGCTGCATCTAACAAGAAACCCCGAATAGATAAATAATGGTAATAAGCTTTATAGGTACGCATAGTTCTAGGTTTTTGTATTAAAGGCAAAGGCGTGGTCATTCAACTTTACTTATTTTGGTAACGCAGGAGTTCAAACCTTGGCACGACAAGTTTTAACGGAGATATGGCTGTTCACGTATGGGGACTCGTAGCCATTGTTGTGTTCTATTTGCTTATATTCATCCTTGGCATCTGGGCAGCGAGGAAAAATAAAAAGAAAGGGAAGGAGGCGACAAGTGAGGATATCTTGTTAGCAGGGAGGAATATCGGGGTATTTCTTGGCATCTTTACCGCGGCAGGTCAGTTTGCTTTTATATTGTTTGTGATTGTTAATCAATAAATAATCAATCAAATTACATAACAGTTTTAGGTATTGTGTTGGAGGCGAAAAGGAACACATCCTGCCGTATATATAACTAAATTTCATTATTTCATTTTTAAGCTATCAGTTTGGCTTTTGTTCTTATGCATTTTTATAGTCACACATGCCTTTTCTCTTATATTGACCAATATGTTTCATATATTATATAATATGGGTTCACACATTAAGAATATCCTTCGTTCAAATTTCCCAATTTTCCTTTGGAATGTTAACAAATGTAGTTAACGTTAACTCATAAAATTGCGTGCTCTTGCTACTGCAGCATTTTGTTACATAATGAAATTTTAGATTGATAACTAAATCAAAAGAGAACAATAATCACAAACAAGTTGATTCATGCACATATTCAAATGATATTTTGCCAATGCTAGCAGCTGTCAACATAAAGATTTTAATTTCCAGCTACGTGGGTAGATGGCCCACTAATTTGCGGGGTTGCCGAGGGTATCTACACTTCCGGTTTGTCCTCGCTCAATATGCCGCTCGGGTACACTGCGGGTACTGTGTTAGGTAACAATGAATGTGTACCGGTGCAACAAAATGTATGATATGCAAAACATTAATCCTCCCCATTATTAAGCATAACTCCGAGACTGCACAACTATAAAAATGGAATCATATATACTCAGTCTTTACTATTCTATATAGCGTACACAAAGCAAAGGCAAATGCAAATTTCCCGACTTGCCCGGCTGTTAGAAATTGTATTATTAATATTATTATTACCATGAAGCATAACTCCGAGACTGCACAACTTAAAAAATGGAATCATAAATACTCATTCACTTATACAATTACATTTGTCTTAAATGTTGTTTATAGAATTTAAGTATTTTAACTATGATATGAAAATTATGTTGCAAAAAATATAAACTTAACATTCCATTATCTTGCACGTATTTTTAAGGTAAAAATTCGGGATGGTAATTGCATAGCTTACACATTTTATGCTTTGTTTACACATATATCCATGTTTTGATTGATTCACTTCTTTTTAGCTGCGTTCTTCTTTGTCGAAAAGATGCGTGAAAGCAATTATATCACAATGCTGGACCCCTTCGACCGGAAGTTTGGTAAAATCATGACAGGGTTCCTGTTCTTGCCGGCCTTTTCTGGGGACATATTTTGGTGTGCTGCAACTTTGTCTTCATTAGGTAAGGGGCTGTTTTGAAAAAAAAAAGAATAAACTTCTCAGTTCATGGCAGTCAGCCGACTAAATGAACCCATTAAAATCCTTAGTTGATTATAAGCTTAGCTAGCTTTCAATATTTAGTCTGCTTGCAGTCAGACTTCATCAGGGAATGAGATTGTGACAGGTGTGACAACCTATCACCCCCTCCGGTGTGCTATTTGGACAGACCCCCCCTTGCCTGCCCCTCCTTTAGGGGTGGTAGGTAGAGGTTGGGTAGCTCAGTCCTATCATTCCAGTTCAGCTTGGCCCCTTGTAAGCTAATGTTAATCGCTTCAAGATCTTTCCGGTGTAGGTCCAAGTAGTACACCAGAGGGGATGATAGGTCAAAAGAAGATAATATGGACAAAATAATTTTCACAAATCTATTACAATAATTTAGCTAGCTTTACTTTGTTAGCCCGTTCTTTGATTACCTGTCTATGTGATTACTTGTCTATGCGCGTCAATGGAATGCAGAGGTTGACATAATTTTCACACTTTTAAAAAAGAGGTACATAGTGGTGTTCGTCGAATTAGGTACAACTTTGACAGTAGTGGTAGGACTAGATCACTGGATCGCCATCACGGTGTCGACAGCTGTGGCCCTGATATACACGTTGTTTGGAGGCCTCTACTCAGTCTCCTACACTGACGTCATGCAGATAGCATTTATCTTTGTAGCCTTGGTAAGTTATGCCCTTATAAGCAAAACTTATGACAATATAGCCCTTTTGCAGCTAGATGACAAAATGTTGCCAAAGAGTTCAGGAGAGCAAGCTATTCAGCAAACTAAAGAAATCAACATCTAGTAATCTACATGTAGCAGCAAAATACCTATTGATGTAAGATGGTTGCTCTTGCGTCACTCTCGACTTAGATTGGTCGGACTCAGGAACAGATTGTAATATATTGAACAATGCTCATGGGATGTCAAAACTGGGGGGAAAGAGCATTAAATATTAAATGGAAGCTCCGAATTCACGCTTTTTAATGCCATTAAACACTTTGATCACGAGAACATATGCAATAGTATACCTACGGTATATATTGCATGAATTAGTTACCCTAATATTGCATGAATTAGTCACCCATCAGCGACAGAATGGGGCATTTCTACATTTACATACCGTAGGGCATTTCTACATTTACATACCGTAGGATTTGTTTAGGAATTTGTTTAGGAATTTCTAAAAGTATATCATTTATATTTTCTTAAGGCGATAAGTATAGGATTTCAGTAACATTTTTATTTAAAATACCTCTCGTTGAACTTTGGATAATTTTCTTTCATATTCTAACAGTTAAAAATGCTTTGAATCAATGTAAGCAAATTCTATTTTATCACCTTCTGAAATACAACTCCCTGCGGCAACAATCTTGACACAGTTTTGAATCGCACTCAACCCAGAAATCGGTGCTCGAACTGATGGCGGATTAAAAAAAAAAAAAAAAAAGAAACTTTGCGCGTTTCATGAAAGGACAGCCAAAGGTTGGTTAGTCAGATTAAAACACTGTTTATCCCAGTTTAACCCGTTTTATTTATTTATTTATTTATTTATTTATTTATTTATTTATTTATTATTATTATTATTTTATTATTTTTTTTTTTTGGGGGGGGGGTATCATCATGAAAGGACAACCCAGGGTGGTAAGTCAGATTAAAACACCGTTGTTTATCCCAGTTTAACCCAAGTTTAAGAGGGGAAAACTTGCACTTGGTGTCTTGATAGAAATAGCTATCCACGAGCATATCTATAGCCATGAACATAACATTCCATGAATCCTCTTATTATTGAACAATTTATTTTATCTCCTTTATTCCTTTCTTCTCCAAGTGGTTGACTATTCCATTTGCTTTGTCCAACCCCTTGATGACGTCACTATCAGAGACGTCAAAAAAGTGGCTAGGGACGGTCCCCGGCCGTGACGTCAGCACCTATATAGACGTACTGCTACAACTGACACTGGGAGGAATACCTTGGCAGGTAATACGGCTCATTTCTTTGATATTATTGACCGTGGTGAATGCCCCTGCAGCCTACATTTATCTCCCCGATATTACGCACTAATATTTCTATACGGAACAAAATTTACATTACATCATCTCTCATATAGACATCCTTAGCATATGTCATTTTTATCACGAAATAAAGCTGCTACAAAATGAAAACAATGGGTCTTAATTGTGAAGTCCCTTGCAAGAACACATCATCTTTATATGTGCTTTCGTTAAGTTGTCTGTTTTGTGTGTGCAAATGTAAATAGTGTTGCTGCGTATCTGATTCAGGGTTTCTTTTCAGTAATAAACAACAGTGAGAACATTTGTTTTTTTGTTCACATACAGGCTGTGTGGCAGCGCGTCCTGGCGATGAAATCGGCGAGGTTGGCGCAGTGGATGTTGTACGGAGGCGCCGTAGGTGCTGTGGTCTGCATGATCCCACCTCTGCTCATAGGGATGGTGGCAGTATCAGTTGGTAATTTATCTCAGTCAGAAAGGTGGTTATACATGTTGATGTCAGTATTAAAATGTCTAATATTATTATCACCATTATTATTATTATTATTATTATTATTATTATTATTTTGCTCAAGGCGCCAGTTTCTGCTACACAAATGTCCTGGTTTTGATATAGTGGCATTTACATAGTAAATGAGCGGTCTAGTCTTTTCATGGGTAAAAATATGCATTTCTTTATATGGTCTTTGCAAGGTTATGTACTTTACTCGTGCCGCCAAAGTTATAAAAAAAATGATTTTCTTTTAGATTGGAATGCCACAGCCTACGACGGAGAACTTCCGTTTCCGGCAGATGATCTTAAACTGATTGCACCGCTTGTCTTGCAATACGTGTGTCCATTCGTAGGTAATATTGTGATAAAAATAATTTTACAATATTTTTTTATATCACTTAATTCAGAGTAATGTATAAACGTTAAGTTAAACAACCGCAGTGTCGCCGCTAATATAATATAATATAATATAATATAATATAATATAATATAATATAATATAATATAATATGTTCACCAGTTATAATATAGTATGTTTTTCTGGCTTTAGTTTCTCTGATTGGTCTTGGCGCCATTTCCGCTGCAGTGATGTCGTCTACGGACTCCATCTTGCTTTCCTCGAGCTCAATGTTTGCTAACAACATCTATAAACCTGCTAGACAAGGAAAGGTAATTTCTAAAAATAATATAAATAATAATATTTCTAAAAATAATTATGCCAACCTTAAAATGTATTTAACAATGTCTGCCAACGCCTAGGCAGTTTAATTTGCACTTATGTATTATTTGCTTTTGATTTAGAATAAAATATAAAAATACTCACAGCACACAATTTATTTTGGTCTTCGGTTTTGCAGATATACCAAACACAAAAGTGACTTAATTGGTCACAGAGTAAAATTGTTCCCATGCAATTTTTTTTTATGCCTGATAAGTTACTGAGGTCATTGTTTGCAAGACCTCTTTAAATTATTGTTTTTTAATTTTATTTATTATTATTTTTTTAACAAAATCTGAGAAAATGATGCATGTTTTTATTGTGGCACGTGTATGTTCTGCGCCTCAGTGAGGGATAATAAAAGGGATACTAACTCTTCGTACGATAAAAACATTGTGAACAGCTCATAGAAATATTTTATATTGTGTTGTACCACAAAAACGGTAGTTATAGCTATTGTTCTGATATCTGAGCTTGTATTTAGACCACTTGACCTCCATTAATGGCTATACTCCTTTATAATGTCTTAAGAGATTATAATAATAAAACAAATAAATAAATAAACAGTGACTAACTTTGAATGTAAAAATAGATTCATTTACCATTGGTAATGGGAAATTGCTGTTTACTCCAACTTCATTTTTTGGCCAAAAAGAAGAGTTATAATCATTTTAATTTTTCCAGGCTAGTGAACGTGAGATTATCTGGGCCATGCGAATATTTATGATCCTCATGGCCATTCTGACCACGGTGTTGGCCATCGAGATCACCAGCATCTTCAATCTGGCCCTTTTGTGCTCCGATCTGGTCTACGTCATCCTGTTCCCTCAGCTGACCTCGGTCTTGTATGTAGACGGTGCAAACATCTATGGATCAATTGCTGGGTATGTAGTGGGACTGATTATCCGGGTACTTAGCGGGGAGCCGTTGTTAGGTCTACGAGCAGTTCTGTGGTGGCCTTGGTATGAGGCGGAGACGGATTTCCAGCCGTTCCCTTATAGAACAACCAGTATGCTGCTCAGCTTGATAAGTATCTTACTCGTGTCACACGTCACAAATGTCGCGTTCCGTGCTGGTTGGTTGCCAAGGCGATATGACGTACTCAACGGCATTGTTTGGCATTCAGAGAGTAAACCTAAAGATGAACAGAGATCGGTTGAGATAGAAAAGCATTTACTTCCGGACGATACTAAGGATAATATTGCTTTGGAGATACTCCCCAGACAAATGGTAGAGATAAGTGAAGCTAGAAACGATGATACATTTATGTGAGCAGATGACGCCTTCATGTTGGAGCCCGTGTAACAGGAATGGAAGTCCTAGGAATTGAAGTCCGGACTCCATAATGATTTGTAGGGGTTAGGTTTAGTTGGAGTAATGGGGTTAGTATATGGGACGCTCGTCACCTGTACAAAGTAATATGAAGCGTACTTCGGTTCCCAGCGGACTTGTATTCTTGTTACACCGGACTAATTACATGCAATTTTATGCTGTCTGCAGACAACATAGATCAAAAATGACCATTTGGAAATGACCACCTCACAGGTGTAATCGTTATTAACAGTGCCGCTTTGTATTCCAGATATCATTATTATATAACTTGTACGATTAATGGTACAGAAAATACAAAATAGAGGTGAAAACATCCATATTATGTACCATTCATTTAAATTCACAACCTGTACTTCCTCAAATCCAATGTTTCAATGTGATTCCCACAGCATTTGGGTGTGCTCATAAAAGTTCAAGGGCCTAATAGTGTGAGCACGAACCCATTATTGCAATAAGGCCTATCTCCGGTAGGTTGTGTTGCTCGGGCAATTGCTGTTGTTGAGATTACCAGCACAAAAATGCAGTAGTATCGAAGTAGCAAAAAAGCATTAACGCAGTAGTGGTGTGGAGCATATTTGCAGTAGAAATGCAGTATAGTCTACTGCAATTCTACTCCAAAAAGTAAATAGGTTTGTACAGAGAGGAGCATTAATGCAGTAGATTAGCAGCATGATAGAAGCATGTTTCAAATATGCTAATTAGTTCCCAAATCGAAGCAGATTTGAAGCATGTTTGCAGTATGATTGCAGCAGTCTACTGCAGTTTGCAGTATGATTGCAGTAGTCTACTGCGCTGGAGTTTCTACTGCGTTTTCTTGTGGGATATATAACAGCTATTCCGCCAGACAACCGAAAGCAATGAATAACATTAAATGTGATGACTAATAGTAACTGGGGCTTTTGTAAACGTATCAGCGTATTGAATAAAAAAAAAATTGAACAAGTTAAACAATGAACAAAAGGTCTCATTATCGAAGAATTTGTTATTCGAAATGTAAATTGATCACCCCCCACCCCCCCTCCCCGCGCCTCCGCACTCCTCTTAGCCCCGTCACGCACGCGTATATGAAAACATTAAAAAACCGATTGGACAAAGCTCGAAAATGTCTTGCTCATATTTAATTTTCCCTCGAAACTAAGAATTTTAAGTAATTGTGTGGTCTAATGTTTAATGAAACACAAAGTATTTTATAACGGCACAAATATTATATAACAGACAGACGCTGTTTTTGTTGTCCATTGGAAGTATATTATAAAATCATTACCTTAAGACCATTTATAAAGTTTAATTACTAAATTTTGTTATCTTCATGTACCTTTTAGTAATTCTGTACTGCAAATTATGTAATACATTTGTTATCAGGTTTTGACAAAGAGAATATATCAGATTTTCATTGTATACTATATGTTTTACTGCACGATAAAATGCGGGTAGGATTTCGTTGTGAAAACTGCTGGTTATGAACACACTTATGCTTAATTCTCCTTCTTCAGCTTAATGTCTGGAATAAACGTACAAGACTATAACGTCCCATACTCGAAGGCATATCTTTGTAGATACAGTTTCACTACTGAAAATAGGGTTTCCTGCATCTTATTATTCAATAAGGTATCTGTCTTTGCGTGAGTTTAAAACAATATAAGCCCGTGCCGTCATTTTAGTTTAATTGTTTTTGTTGTGGAGCTTTGAGCCCCTTATAACATATTTTCATTAAAAAGGCAACAGTTTGCCTTATTATTGATGAAATCTGATATAAGATTTTGAAGAAAAATCGCTGACAGGGTTTGGGAGTTCTAAACTGTGTCAATAAATCGGTATTGAAACGGTGATCATGGGTGCTCAGGTAAAAAAAAAATGAGAAATCAAAACCGATTTTTCAGATTTTACCCAAAAATGACAATTATGGCGTCACCTGTAAAATGACATTTGCCTTAATATTATTTAATATAGTTACTGAATACTGAACATTTATGTATTACCCAAAAGGATATATATTAGACAGTATATAAGGGTGAAGGGTGACAATATCCTTAACATCTGTATCCTACGATTGACTTTACAGATATAAGGGCCACCCGTGTTTTCCAAAGATATACTAACGTAATACCCAAAACCCCATAAAAAATAAATAAATAAATAACCTTCCCCGCATTCTTCACGTTTTTTACACCAATATACACAACATGGCAAAAATACGCACTAAAGACAAACACGTTATGTCTGCCAAAACGTGAACGTGACTTTAAGGATAGGCTGATCGTTTTATTATAATGATAAACACCTGCATGCGATGACAACACTCTGCTACCATTACATATTGCATATCATTTGTCTCATATTCTTGTGTTGATCAACAACGTGGAAGAACAGGTCCCTTAGGTATACACATTTCTATATCTATGTACTGAAGGCAAAGGCACGACAATTCGACTTGTTTTGGCAACGCTGGGATTCACACTTTGGCACGACAAGTCTGTAACAGCTACTTTGGGAACATGGCTGTTCATGTGTGGGGACTCGTCGCCATAATTGTGTTCTACTTGCTTATCTTCATCCTTGGGATCTGGGCGGCGTGGAAAAATAAAAAGAAGGGGAAGGATGCGACGAGTGAGGATGTCTTGCTAGCAGGGAGAAATATTGGGGTATTTATAGGTATATTTACTATGACAGGTCAGTTTGTTTCTATATTGTATATAAATAATAATTAAGAAATTGATAACAACAATAATAATTTTAAATATTTCAACAGTTTTTGCTTTTGAGTTGAAGGCAACAAAAAACATATTCTATCTTATCTTTCACAAATAGTGTTTCATCGTTATTTTTTTAATATTATTTTATTATTTTATCTTTGTAACAATCCCTTTAGAGTTTTTATCCAACTTGAGATATTATTACAGTGGGCAGCCATCCACAGAAGCCACGTGGTTCGATGGCAAGCACAGTTGTCAGAATAATTGTGATAACAGTTTATTATATTTATACGGTATATGTTGTTTTCAATGCAATTATTATGAAATATGGATCTCATTCAAAGAGTTGTTATCCCTGATTTCTAGCCACGTGGGTAGATGGCACTCTGATCAGCGGGGTTGCAGAGGGTATCTACACTTTCGGTTTGTCCTCTCTCAGTATGCCGCTAGGGTACTGTATGGGTATTATTTTAGGTAACAAACAATGGTCGTGTACTGGTGCAACAAAATTTACCATATGTTACGCAAGAAGTAAAGTCTCCTCACTGATACGTATACCTTTGAGAATGACACAATGGTAAATTTTGGAATTGTGAATACTCTGTAATACTCTTCTGAACAACACTTGAATGTCGTTAATACTGTAGATATGCATCTTTCAGAATTTGAAAAATTAAGCATTTTAACTTTAATATCCAACTTTTTGTTGCAAAAAATCTGATGTGATCATTTAATGATTTCTGGATAGATTTCGCATAAACATTGCACAATTTACCACTGTTTTGCATAGATTTTAAGATATTTATTTTCAAACTTTCAGCTGCATTCTTTGTCAAAAAGATGCGCAAAGGCAATAATGTCACTATGCTGGATCCCTTCAACCGGAGGTTTGGTAAAATCATGACGGGGTTTTTGTTCTTGCCAGCTTTTACAGGGGACATATTTTGGTGTGCTGCAACTTTATCTTCATTAGGTAAGGTGTTGTATTTAAAGGTATACTGAAAAAAATTATTCAAGTACCAAAAGTCGTTATTTATCATTATCTAAAATATAATCTATTCTGTTAGTTTTGACAAAGATTTTGTACAGATGTAAATCTAGGATAAGATATATGGTGGCGCAACAGTCAGGTGACGCAATTCTAAGGTGGTGTGAACCCATTCAGGTTATGTTGCAGGGTTCACTTTCACTCTAAGTTAGCAAGAAGCAATCTGAAAGAGCAGGGAGCAGCGGCGTTTTGTTTAGGCCAGAATGCAGTGTGGAGAGATTCGGAGAGTGAATAGTTCGCGAGAGCTTTTGGCTGTCAGCCGTCTAAATGATCTCGCTAAAATTATTTGTTGACGAAACTTAGCCGCAGTAGTTGAATTACCAAAGCTGAACACATTGCCGCCAACATGGAGACCTCACCTTGTGCAACAACTGGAGAGGGATTATGCTACTTTCTATACCTGGAAAAGCACTGCTAAAAATTATCTTAAAAAGTCTTAAGACTGCCCTCGACAAGACCCTGCGAGGCTTCCGCCAAGATAGAGCCTGTACATACCACATCGCCACAATGAGAATCATCATAGAGCAGCCATTGGATTGACAGACACCACTGCACAGCGTTTTTGTAGACTTCCATAAGACGTTTAACAGCGTGGACAGGGAGGTCAAATGGAAACTGATGCGGCACTATGGCTTTCCCCCAAAGTACATCACCATCATTCAGCAGCTGTATGAAGATGCAACCTGCTAAGTCATCCACGAGGGAAAGCTAACTGACCCCTTCCAGATACAGACCGGCGTACGTAAGGGATGCATGTTGTCACCAGTAATTTTTCTGATGGTGGTGGACTGGATTATACGGCAATCCATTTCAGGCCATAAGACCGTCATCAAGTGGACATTCACCATTGGAAGACCTCGATTTTGCTAATGTCATGAGGAAAACGAAAGTGTGCAATCTTTCGTCAAAAGGTGCTTGCGTAACATCTTGAAACTCAGGTGACGAGAAGTTATTTCATACGAAGACCTCTGGGATAAAACAAAACATTCACCAATAGAAATAGACATCAGAAGGAGGAAATGGAGGTGGATAGGCCATACGTTACGCAAACCAACATCAAACGTTACTCGCCAGTCACTAGACTGGGAACCCCAGGGAAAGCAGAAAGACCCAGGCAAACTTGGCGAAGGAGCACGGACACTGAAATGAAGACAGCCAGAATGACATGGGCCGATCTGAAGAGGATCTCCCAGAATCATGTCCGTTGGAGGAGTGTTGTTGCGGCCCTTTGCTTCTCCGAGGAGATAGAGGCATAATGTAAAGGGATGCATTCTATTTTATTTAAAAATTCAAAAAAAATTCAGTAACATTCAAGAATATAATATAATATAATATAATATAATATAATATAATATAATATAATATAATATATTGAAGATACGTACTTTGGACATTTTTATTATGCTCTCAATTTCCAAATAGAAGTTTAGCTTTGCTAAACTTATGTCTAAGGAAACTGCCAAGAAGGCTAGGACTTGGGAGTGTACATGCTGCAGTGAAACACTGCTCTTTTCATATGTTACGTTTATTACCTCCAAATTTAAAGGAAAACAACTGATGTCCTTCTTATTGTCCGATATCATAGAATCCAAGTGCACACAATTTTGCCTCAGTGTTTTTGATTTACCTTTGTCACCTCGGCGTTTGATTACCTATGCGTTGTAATTACGACATAACAGTCGCAGGAAGATGTTGTCCCACAATGGCGTCACTTGAAACTTACCAACCAGACTTTGCTCATAAAGGTGTCCTTTTCTTCACTATCAAAATTAAAAAAGGTTGTCGATCATTTATACATATAGAATTTATATTGTAAAAAATAATTAACTTTTTATTTATTTGTTTATATAAGTAGCCCTTTAAACTAAAATAAATTGGTTAAAATGTGTTGATAAAATAAAAATTCGATCTTATACACAACCACTGGCGCTGGTGTACTCTCACACATACACACATGAACTACAGTTCTGCTATTTCATAAAAATGCACTTATACACACGCGAAAGTCTATGAAAAAAGAGGCTGACTTCATTTTCAGAATTTCACATTTTGAAAAAGAGGTATATTGTGGTGTCCTCGATCTAGGTACAACTCTGACCGTGGTTGTCGGATTCGACCACTGGATCGCCATCACGCTGTCGACAGCAGTGGTCCTGATATACACGTTGTTTGGAGGACTCTACTCGGTCTCCTACACTGACGTCATGCAGATGTTGTTCATCTTTGTAGGCCTGGTAAGTTTTACTCGCTTTTGTTTGTAATAGCTAACGTTGTAGGTAATACAAAGATAACAATATCACCATGCATTCCCACAAGTGGTAATGTGTCCCTGTACCCACACACATATGTACAGTAACTTTTGTTAATTCCCTGAACAGCAGCCTAAGTACAGTAAGAAACAACCGATTTAAGGTGGCTGCACTCCTGTTTACCAGTAGATTTGTCGAACTCGAGATCATTGAGAAGTGTTTTCTCTGGTTGTAACATCCTTTTTTTCCTTTCTTTCCTAGTGGCTGGCCATTCCGTTCGCAATGTCCAACCCCCTGATGACGTCACTATCAGAGACAACAGAGAAGTGGGTAAGGACAGTCCCTAACCACGATATCAGCACTTACATAGACATACTGCTACAAATCATGATGGGAGGAATACCTTGGCAGGTAAAAGCGCTCGTTTCTTTTATACCCTAGTAGGCATAGGCTTAGAGAAGATGTTTCGAGGAGGGGATGGCTATTTTAGGACTTCAATGTTTTCAAAATCATGTTGCGGTGGGGAGGAGTAACTGGATTTGTATGTGTAAGCTGGAAGCCACATGATAAAATGATTCATTACTTATGTTTCGAAATAGTATTTATGTTTGTCATTATACAGGCTCTGTGGCAGCGAGCATTGGCGATGAAGTCATCGAGGTTGGCTGAGATGATGTTGTACGCAGGCGCAGCAGGATTTGCAGTGTGCACAATCCCGCCTCTACTCATAGGGATGGTGGCAGTGTCTGTTGGTAATTTATCATGACCAAAACATGTTTTGGGCATTGGTGGACATAATAATGTACTTTAGACATTCATAATGTACTTCTTGGTCAGATGTCCAATGTACCGAGTCTTTTAAACAATGTTATGCTTCTACGGTATATTTAGAACGACTCTTATACCTCTAGTAACCTGCTCTGCAGCGCAAAGAACTCATTACAGCAAATCATGAAAAGTCCTCAACAGCGAGTGTGTTCTCCAGCAGCCGCTTGCAGCGCCCTCATCCTACATGGCATACCCTGTGACAAGTTTTTAAGAGTTTGGATGGGAATATCATTCCACGCAGTGATATTTGCCTGTCGCAGTTAATCACTATTTACCGACCGATGACCATAGCTACTAATTCTGTGAGTTACTTTCGCCCACCAGGTTTTCAATTGGGTTCATATCTGGGGAGTTTGCAGGCCAGGGCAGTTGCTGAACCCATTGGTTTCGAATAAAATCAGTGATTCTGCGAGCTCGATGAGGGGTTGCGCAGTCGTCTTGGTACACAAAGTTGTTCCTGAAGTTGACTCTTACAAATCGAAGCATTGTTTGCTGTAGAATGTCTCTGTAGGAACCCTGGTTGAGGTTGCCTCCCAGACAAACCAACTGGTTCTGGGCACCGACATGAAATGCTCCCCAAACAGAGACGTTACGACCCCCTGATTACACCCTAGGCAGTACACAATCATCGTTTTATACCCCTCGTACACGTCGGCGGACATGGATTCGACCGTCAACCCTAAAAACTCCATATCTGGCCTCATCACCGAAAACGACGTGATTCCAGTGTTTTGGCTGCAAACGCACGTGGTCCCCAGCCCATTGCAGACGTCGCTGTATATGACCTGCTGCTAACAGTAGTTCCCCTACTGGTTTTCGTGGAAAATAACCGCCTTGCAGTAATCTCTTGTTCACGAGTGACCTTGAAACGGGCGTTTGAATGACATTCTGCCACTCTTTTCTGAGGACACTGGTTGTCTTTGTACGACCAGCACGGCGCATTCTAAGGAAAAGGCGATTCTGTCTTCTTGGTGTGATACGCGGACACCCTGGTCGAGGTATTGGAGTAGGTGCCTTTGTTGTAGCATTTCTTTGGAGGACTTTACTAACGGTTCCTGATAAATGTTGCATTGCCTGTCAATGGCTGTCCGTTTCTGGCCATTTTCTCTGAGAGCAAGAATCCCATAGAAAGCTGCGTTGCTTAGCAGTCGAACCATATCATCTCTAAGGTACCTGTCTAGTTTCAGAGCGATCCCTTTGTTGCTTCTCTGAATACACTCCAAAGATTGGCCAAACCTATGCGTTTTTATACACGTGCAGAAATTGCCGAAAAGACCACCCCTCACATTTCTGACCACAGAACATGCAACTGCATGCATTAATTGTTTTGAGAGTTGTGTGGTAATTAGGTAACACACCTGGCTACACATGGAGTGACACTTCAGTTTGGGATTTAAAGTAGTTAGAGAGAAAATAAATATTTTGTAGAAAATTTACTCGACAAAAAATAATATTCCATATTAAGTAGTAACCCTGTATATTTTATCTATTCTAATTTGGTGTCAGATTGGAACGCCAGCGTACGACGGATCACTTCCGTTTCCAGCAGATGATATATATCCATTTAATGATCGTTGCCAGGCAGTGTACTTTCTAGTAAGGTAATAAAAACTGTTTTGCTTTTAGATTGGAATGCCACAGCCTACGACGGAGAACTTCCGTTTCCGACAGATGACTTAAAACTGATCGCACCGCTTGTCTTGCAGTATGTGTGTCCATTCGTAGGTAATATTATGATAAAATATGAGTTTACAATAGATTAAAATATAGCCATTAAATGTTTAAACATTCAATTAAACCGTCACAGTCAAGAATATAATATAATATAATATGGAAGCATACACAGTGGTTATATGAAAAACAGCACATTAAAGAGCCAGACTCTGTACAATGATTTGGTATAATATATATGTATGCCAGTACATATATACGTTTTCATTTATTTATTTATTTATTTATTTTTTTAGTTTCTCTGATTGGTCTTGGCGCTATTTCCGCTGCAGTGATGTCGTCTGCAGACTCCATTTTGCTTTCCTCGAGCTCCATGTTTTCCAACAATATCTACAAACCCGCAAGAATGGGAAAGGTATTTGCTAGATAGTTTCATCCTTTTTTTAACGAGAAAGCAACTGTAAGGTGTTATGTAATATTTTGATAACATTGTTACATAAATTACTTTGCATAAAAAAGAAAAAAAAATCTGTTTAACAGGACCGTCTTGGCAGTTTGAATTGTACCTGTTTAATATTTGTTTTAATAAGAAACATATAAATACTATTCGTGCATGCAGGTATAAATCATATTTTAAACATGTGTGGTCAGAATGTATACTAATAAATCGTAAATGTAACTAAAAAAGCAGGAACTAAAAAGGAGCCCGTTTGCTTTCAGAATGATAACTCTAAGCAAACTGTCAGGCCTGATGCAAAAATGAAGGCTCATATTAGCAACAATAAACCTTTTCTTGCAAACTTGTTGCCATAGACTTTTAGTTTGCAGCAAATTTGCTGCAAATTTTCCATTTTCTACAGGTGTCAAGGGTTTTTTTTTTTACAATATTGCTTTAACGAGCTATTTTTATATGTATACATGCGACATGATTGCAAAATGTTACACATTTGGTGACTTGCGTATAGTTTGCCCTTCAGTGGAGAACTGCAACCTGCTTTACATTTTCCAGGCCAGCGAACGTGAACTTATTTGGACCATGCGAGTATTTATGACCCTCATGGCCATTCTGACTACGGTCTTGGCCATCAAGATCACCAGTATTTTCAATCTGGCCATTTTGTCCTCCGATCTTGTCTACGTCATCCTTTTCCCTCAGCTGACTTCGGTCTTGTATGTAGACGGTGCAAACATCTACGGATCAATTGCTGGGTATGTAGTGGGATTGATCATCCGGGTACTTAGCGGGGAGCCGTTGCTAGGTCTGCAAGCAGTTTTACGGTGGCCTTGGTATGAGGAAGAAACTGATTTCCAACCGTTCCCCTATAGGACGACTAGTATGCTCCTCAGCTTGTTAAGTATCTTACTCGTGTCCTACGTCACAAACGTTGCATTCCGTGCTGGTTGGTTGCCAAGGCGATATGACGTATTCAAAGGCATTGTCTGGCATTCTGGGAGTAAATCTAAAGAACCCGCGGATGAACAGAGATCGTTTGAGATAGGAAAACATTTACTTCCGGGCGATACTAAGGATAATATTGCTTTGGAGATGCGTCCCAGGCAAATAGTTGAGATAAGTGAAGACAGACACGATGATGCATTCATGTTATGAGCAGATGACACCTTCATGTTGGAGCGGGATCATTTACGTCTCACTGATATTTTATGCAGTCTGCTGACAACATTGCTCAAAATGACCGCTAACAAATGATCAGCTCACAGGTGTAATTGTTTATTCCGGATACCATTATTTTATAATTAGATATAATTAAATAAAATATAAAATGGCGATGAAAATATACATATTTTGTACCATTTATTTAATATCATAACCTGTACCTCCTCAATCCAATGTTTCGTTGTGATTTCCACAAAGAATTTTGTTTACTCATTGAAGGTCACGGGTCTAATGCCGTCTGTACCAACCCCGTATTGCAATTAGACCTATCAACGGCCTATCAACGTGCGACTCGGACAATTGCTGTAGTTGAGATGAACAGCAGTTTTGACAGACAACAGGAAGCAATGAATAACATAAAATGTGATAATTCATTGATGAAATGAAAATAATTTGTTCCATAATTAGGACCATATATGAAGTTTTCATTGCTAAATTTTGTTATCGTAATGTATCTTTCAGTGATTCTGAATTGCAAATTATGTAGATGTAGACATATGTTATCAGGTTTTGATAATGAGAAGATACCGGTTTTTCATTGTTCACTATATATGTTTTACTTCAAGATACAATGCGGGTAGGATATCGTTGTGAAAAATGCTGGTTATAAACACACTTATGCTTAATTCTCCTTCTTCAGCTTAATGTCTGGAATAAACGTACAAGACTATAACGTCCCATACTCGAAAGCATATCTTTGTTGATACAGTTTCACTACTGAAAATAAGGGTTTCCTGCATCATATTATTCAATAATGTATCTGTCTTTGCGTGAGTTTAAAACAATATAAACCCCGTGCCGTCATTTTAGTTTAATTGTGTTTGTTGTGGAGCTTTGAGTCCCTTATAACCACCCTGAGCTTCAGAGATAACTTGACACTAACCTCTTCACTATAGCCTATCTTCATCATGTCAAGTTACCTCTGACGAAAATAGTTTGACCTAGTTTATATAAGCCAATCGAATCCATGTTTCAAAATTTTTTACCAAAGTTTGGTGAAAACGCTGATTGGTTGACCGTCAATCGGCAATCCTCGGCTGATTCCGCAAGCTCCATACTAACAACAGTTATTGTCGACTGCGGAGACATCCGAGTAGTTCCGAGTGCATAACCGTACACAAAGAAAGCATGGAGTATATCGGAATTGAAACCAGAGCAGTTTGATGCCCTGCATAATTATCTACTGAGGGATGATGTATTTTGCGTGCTGCCCACAGGTTACGGCAAGTCCCTGATATTCAGCCTTATCTTTGATTGGTCCGGATTTGAACAAAGCGCGCTTTGACTCGTTCGCGTTCATTGGCTAGATCGTTCAATGAGTCATTGAGTGCGGGCTTTAAATTTGATTGGCGGGCGGCGGAGGCAATCGAATGTGGTCAGAGGTAATAACTTGACACGATGAAGATAGGCTATAGTGAAGAGGTTAGTGTCAAGTTATCTCTGAAGCTCAGGGTGCTTATAACATATTTTCATTAAAAAGGCAACAGTTTGCCTTATTATTGATGAAATCTGATTATTGATGAAATCTGATCTCGCCCGCATTCGTCACGTTTTTTACACCAATATATACAAAATGGCAAATATATATATATATATATATGCAAAAACATGAACGTGACTTTAAGTATAGGCTGGTCGTTTTATTATCATGATAAACACCTGCATGCGATGAGAACGCTCTGCTACCATTACATATTGCATAGCATTTGTCTTATATTCTTCTGTTGATCAACAGCGTGGAAGAACAGGTCCCTTAGGTATACACATGTCTATATTTATGCACTGAAGGCAAAGGCACGGCAATTCGACTTTACTTGTTTTGGCAACGCAGGGGTTCACTTTGGCACGACAAGTCTGTAACAGCGACTTTAGGAATATGGCTGTCCATGTGTGGGGACTCGTCGCCATAATTATGTTCTACTTGCTAATTTTCATCCTTGGTATCTGGGCGGCGAGGAAAAATAAAAAGAAGGGGAAAGAGGCGACGAGTGAGGATATTTTGCTAGCAGGGAGAAATATTGGGGTATATCTCGGTATATTTACTATGACAGGTCAGTTTGTTTCTATATTGTATATAAAAAATAATTAAGAAATTGATAACAACAGAGATAATTATAGTGGGCATCCATCCACAGAGGTCACGTGGATCGATGGCAAGCACATATCCCAGAATAACTGTGATTACAGCTTCTTTGGTGGTAAATTACAAGTTATTATATTTATGTTGTTTTCAATGTAATTATTATGAAATATGGATCTCATTCAAAGAGTTGTTATCCCTGATCACTAGCCACGTGGGTAGATGGCGCTCTGATCAGCGGGGTTGCAGAGGGTATCTACACTTCCGGTTTGTCCTCGCTCAGTATGCCGCTAGGGTACTGTATGTCTACTATTTTAGGTAATAAACAATGCGTAGAATGGAAGTGTACTGGTGCAACAAAATTTACCGTATGTTACGCAAGAAGAATAGTCTCCTCATTGATACGTTTAACTTTGAGAATGAAACAATGATAAAAATTGGAATCGTAAATATTCTGTAATACTCTTTTGAACATCAATTGAATGCCGTAAATACTGTAGGTAAACATCTGTCAGAATTTGAAAAATTTAGCAATTAAACTATAATATCCAACTTTTTGTTGCAAAAAAATCAGATGTGATCATTTCATGATTTAAGATTTACCACTGTTTTGCATAGATTTTAAGATATTTATTTTCAAAATTCCAGCTGCATTCTTTGTCAAAAAGATGCGCAAAGGCAATCATGTCACTATGCTGGATCCCTTCAACCGGAGGTTTGGTAAAATCATGACGGGGTTTTTGTTCTTGCCAGCTTTTACAGGGGACATATTTTGGTGTGCTGCAACTTTATCTTCATTAGGTGAGGTGTTGTATTTAAAGGTATACTGAAAAAAAAAGATTATTCAAGTACCCAAAGTCGTTATTTATCATTATCTAAAACATAATCCATTCTGTTAGTTTTGACATAGATTTTGTACAGATGTAAATCTAGGATAAGATGTATGGTGGCGCAACAGTCAATTCTAAAGTGGTTTGAACCCATTCAGGTTATGTTGCAGGGTTCACTTTCACTCTTAGTTAGCAAAAAGCAATCTGAAAAGAGCAGAGAGCAGCGGCTTTTTGTTTAGGCCAGAATGCAGTGTGGACGATTCGGAGAGTGAATAGTTCGCGAGAAAAAAAATGAAGGAAGTCTGAGTTTTTGGCTGTCAGCCGTCTAAATGATCTCGCTAAAATTATTTGTTGACGAAAGTTAGCCACGGTAGTTGAATTGCCAAAGCTTTACACATTGCCGCCAACTTGCAGATTTCTAGAGGTCAAAAGTGTTAACAGATAAGGCAATGTTGCATTCTATTTTTATTGAAAAATTCAACAAAAATTCAGTAACATTCAAGAAGATTATAATATAATATAATATAATATAATATAATATAATATAATATAATATAATATAGTATATATTGAATATATGTACTTTGGACATTTTCATTATGCTCTCAATTTCCAAATAGAAGTTTAGCTTTGCTGATTAACTTATGTTAAAGGAAACTGCCTAGAAGGCTAGGATTTCGAAGCCTACATGCTGCAGTGAAACACTGCTCTTTTCATATGTTACATTTTATTACCTCCAAATTTAAAGGAAAACAACTGATGTCCTTCTTATTGTCCGATATCACATAATCCGAGTGCCACACAATTTTGCCTCAATGTTTTTGTTTTAACTTTGTCACCTTGCTGTTTGATTACATATGCGTTATCATTACGACATTAAAGTCGCAGGAAGATGTTGTCCTACAATGGCGTCACTTGAAACTTACCAACCAGACTTTTCTCATTAAGGTGTCATTTTCTTCACTGTCAAAATTAAAAAAGGTTGTCGACCATTTATACATATAGTATTTACATTGTAAAAATTAGTTAACATTTTATTTATTGGTTTATATTAGTAGTCCTTTAAACTAAAAGAACTTGGTTAAAATAATATTAAAAATATTAAAAATAATATTTCCATCTTAGGGTGCATTTCCAGTAGTTTAGATCGATCCAGAGATTTAGATGTAGATCGACCTAACTCCCTGGGAGTTCAAGCTAAATTGCAGTCAGCCGAGCGCGCACCAAAGTTAATTACCCCCTTACAGCTTTTAGTAGGCGGGACAGACGCTTAAGCCGGCTGAGCTGGCAGTAATCTATTGAGACTCCCCACATCGAAAGATCGATCTAAAATCTATGGGAATGGGGTCTTATACACAACCACTGGCGCTGGTGTACGCACACACACACATGCATTTTAATTTTAACTACAGTTCTACTATTTCATAAAAATTCACTTATACACACTCGAAAGTCTATGAAAAAAGAGGTTGACTTCATTTTCAGAATTCCACATTTTGAAAAAGAGGTATATTGTGGTGTCCACCGATCTACAATTCCATAAACATTCACGTACAGACACGAGGTTGAGTATATTTTCACAATTTTGTATAAGAGGTACATTATGATGTGTATCGAAATAGGTACAACTCTGACCGTGGTTGTCGGGTTCGACCACTGGATCGCCATCACGCTGTCGACAGCAGTGGTCCTGATATACACGTTGTTTGGAGGACTCTACTCGGTCTCCTACACTGACGTCATGCAGATGTTGTTCATCTTTGTAGGCCTGGTAAGTTTTACTCTTGTGTGTTACAAAGGTGTATGAAGATCACATATATACATACTTTTTTCTTGTAATAGCTAACGTTGAAGGCAATACAAGGATAACAATATCACCATGCATTCCCACAAATGGTAATGTGTCCTTGTGCCCACACACATATGTACAGTAACTTTTGTTAATTCCCTGAACAGCTGCCTAAGTGCAGTAAGAAACAACCGATTTAAGGTGGCTGCACTCCTGTTTACCAGTAGATTGGTCGAACTAGATATCATTGGCCAGTATGTGCAGTTCATACACTGTAGACGAGAAATGTGAGAGAAAAGTGATTTCTCTGGTTGTAACATCCTTTTTTTATTTCTTCATTTCCTAGTGGCTAGCCATTCCGTTTGCAATGTCCAACCCCCTGATGACGCCACTATCAGAGACTACAGAGAAGTGGGTAAGGACATTCCCTAACCACGATATCAGCACTTACATAGACATACTGCTACAAATCATGATGGGAGGAATACCTTGGCAGGTAAAAGCGCTCGTTTCTTTAATATTCCAGTCGGTATAGGCTAAGAAAAGATGTTTCGAGGAGGGGATGGCTATTATAGGACTTCAGTGACTCCCTCTAAAGGCAAGCAGGTTATTTGTAACACCTGAGGTGTTTATCTGGGCGTTGAGTGTAGTTAGAGACTTGATGGACTGAAATCAATGAAAAATCTTATTATTTATGTAGATTAAAATATTTTCATAATCAGGTTGCGGTGGGGAGGGGTAACTGCTGAATTTTATGTAAACTGGAAGCCAAATGACAAAATGATTCATTACTTATGTTTATAAATAGTATTTATGTTTGTCATAAACTGCTAATCAGGTCATGTGGCAGCGAGTCTTGGGGATGAAGACAACGAGGTTGGCGGAAGTGATGGTGTACGCAGGCGCAGCAGGATTTGCAGTGTGCACAATACCGCCTCTACTCATAGGGATGGTGGCAGTGTCTGTTGGTAATTTATCTTGGTCAAAAACATATTCTGTTCATTGGTAGACATAAAAATGTACTTTAGACATTTATTTTGTACTTCTTGGTCAGATGTTCAATGTACCGCGTCCTTTAAAGGTACATGCAAACCGAGCATCGGTGGAGTGTGGATTCCCAGTAAATACATGTAAACCACTTCTACTAGTTTGTTATATAAATTAATAATAATAAATTATTTCTCAAATAAATTTGACATGCCAAGGGTTAAACGGAATAAATCACTCGATCAGCCATAAAAGGGCCTTAAACTGCTCCTTTCTTTACATTTTTGCTCGGAAACGTAACCTACTTTCGTGACCTACTTTTCTGCCAAATTGACATACAGCATAGAATGCTAGCAGAAAAATCTGTCCAAACATCATTTTCGGGTAAAATTAAACAATGCCTTTTGGTAATTCTCTAAGTTATATTACTTGAAACTATATGCTGGCAATTGGTCGGTTTTTGTGGCAAAAATAACTTTGTATGCATCTTTAAACAGGTTATGATTTTATATTTAGAACTACTCTAATATCTATAGTAATCTACTCTGCACGCAATGAATGGTCCCCCAACAAATGGTGTCAATGTGCAACTATATTTGGAAATGTCTCTTATTTTATCTATTCTTATTTGGTGTCAGATTGGAACGCCACAGGGTACGACGGAGTACTCCCGTTTCCGGCAGATGACCTAAAACTGATCGCGCCGCTTGTCTTGCAGTATGTGTGTCCATTCGTAGGTAATATCATTATAAAATATCAGTTTACAAAAGATTAAAATATAGCCATTTTTATGTTTAAATATTCAGTTAAACAGTCACAGTCAAGAATATAATATAATGTAATATAATTAATATTATATTATAAAAATATAATTTTTTTCTTAAATAGCACATTAATGAGCCAGACTCTGTTCAATGGTTTAGTATAATATATATGTATTCCAGTACATGTATACGTTTTCATTTATTTATTATTATTATTTTTTAGTTTCTCTGATTGGTCTTGGCGCCATTTCCGCAGCAGTGATGTCGTCTGCGGATTCCATCTTTCTTTCTTCTAGCTCAATGTTTTCCAACAATATCTATAAACCCGCAAGGATGGGAAAGGTATTTGCTAAACAGTTTCATATTTTGTAAGGAGAAAGCATAAGAACAGCTGTAAGATGTTATGCATTATGTTGATAACATTGTTACATTAATTACTTTAGGTAAAAAAAGCTGTTTAACAGGACTGCCTTGGCAGTTTGAATTGTACCTGAGTAATATTTGTTTTGATAAGAAACATATAAATACTATTTATGCACGCAGGTATAAATCATATTGCAAACACAGGTAGTACGGATATAAATTAATAAATCGTAAATGTAAGTAAAATGGCAGAACGTAAAATGTTTGCTTTCAGAATGATAACTCTAAGCAAAATTTCAGGCCTAATGGAAACATGAAGGCTCAAATTAGCAACAATAAAACTTTTGTTGCAAACTCGCTGCCGAAAATTTATAGTTTGCAGCAATAATGGTGCAATATTGCTGCAAATTTTCCATTCTCTAATGGTGTCAAGAGCTTTTTTTTTTCAATATTGCTTCAACGAGCTACTTTTATATGTATACATGCAACATGATTGCAATATGACAAGTGTTACAAATTTGGTGACAGGCGTATAGTTTGCCCTTCAGTGACGAATTGCAACCTGCTTTACATTTTTTTCAGGCCAGCGAACGTGAACTTATCTGGACCATGCGAGTATTTATGACCCTCATGGCCATTCTGACTATGGTCTTGGCCATCAAGATCACCAGTATTTTCAATCTGGCCATTTTGTCCTCTGATCTGGTCTACGTCATCCTTTTCCCTCAGCTGACTTCGGTCTTGTATGTAGACGGTGCAAACATCTACGGATCAATTGCTGGGTATGTAGTGGGATTGATCATCCGGGTAATTAGCGGAGAGCCGTTTCTAGGTCTGCGAGCAGTTTTACGGTGGCCTTGGTATGAGGAAGAAACTGATTTCCAACCGTTCCCTTATAGAACAACCAGTATGCTCCTCAGCTTGTTAAGTATCTTACTCGTGTCCTACGTCACAAACGTAGCATTCCGTGCTGGTTGGTTGCCAAGGCGATATGACGTACTCAAAGGCATTGTTTTTCATTCAGAGAGTAAATCTAAAGGACCCGCGGATGAACAGGGTTCGGTTGAGAACGAAAAACATTTACTTCCGGGCGATACTAAGGATAATATTGCTTTGGAGATACGTCCCAGACAAATAGTAGAGATAAGTGAAAACAGACACGATGATGCATTTATGTTATGAGCAGATATCGCCTTCATGTTGGAGCGGGCTCATTTACGCCTCACTGATATTTTATGCAGTCTGCTGACAAAATGACCGCTTACAAATGATCAGCTCACAGGTGTAATTGTTTATCCCAGATACCATTATTTCATAATTAAATATAATCAAATAAAATACAAAATGGCGATGAAAATATACATATTTTGTACCATTTATTTAATATCATAACCTGTACCTCCTCAATCCAATGTTTCATTGTGATTTCCACAAAGAATTTTGTATTCTCATTGAAGGTCACGTGTCTAATACCGTGTGTACCAACCGCGTATTGCAATTATAGGCCTATCAACGGTCGACCGTGCGACTCGGACAATTGCTGTAGTTGAGATGAACAGCAATTTTGCCAGACAACAGGAAGCAATGGATAACTCAATATTTAACAAATCCATATTTAAAAAATTATGCTTCTCTTTGGGGTCATAAATGACCCCACAAGAGTTTGTGATGTATACGCCTAGCTAATTGGTTGATCCCTGCAAAAAACTGTGAAAGTGTGTAGGATCAGTAGACTGAAACTCATGCAATGAAAAGAAATTTTGATAAAAATAAAGAGATGGCATATTAAATAATATGGCTGGGGTCGTAAATGATCCCACAAAATATTATGTAACGAGGAAACGGTCACCAAAACAGACACAGACTGTTTCTGGTGTCCATTGGAACTATTCTAAAATGTATACCTTAGGACCATATATGAAGTTTTCATTACTAAATTTTGTTATCGTTATGTATCTTTCAGTGATTCGGAATTGCAAATTATGTAGACATATGTTATCAGGTTTTGATAATGAGAATATGCCAGTTTTTCATTGTTTATTATATATGTTTTACTGCAATATACAATGCAGGTAGACTTTTGTTGTGGAAACTGCTGGTTATGAACACACTTATGCTTAATTTTTCTTCTTCAGCTTAATGTCTGGAATAAACGTACAAGACTATAACATCCCATGCTCGAAAGCATATCTTTGTAGATACAGTTTCACTACTGAAAATAAGGGATTCCTGCATCTTATTATTCAATAAGGTATCTGTCTTTGCGTGGGTTTAAAACAATATAACCCCGTGCCGTCATTTTAGTTTAATTGTTTTTGTTGTGGAGCTATGAGCCCCTTATAACATATTTTCATTAAAAAGGCAGTAGTTTGCCTTATTATTGATGAAATCTGATATAAGATTTTGAAGAAAAATCGCTGACAGGGTTTGGGAGTTCTAAATTGTGTCAATAAATCGGTATTGAAACGGTGATCATGGGTGCTCAGGTAAAAAAAAAAAAATTAGAAATCAAAACCGATTTTTCAGATTTTACCCAAAAATGACAATTATGGCGTCACCTGTAAAATGACATTTGCCTTAATATTATTCAATATAGTTACTGAATACTGAACATTTATGTATTACCCAAAAGGATATATATTAGACAGTATATAAGGGTGAAGGGTGACAATATCCTTAACATCTGTATCCTACGATTGACTTTACAGATATAAGGGCCACCCGTGTTTTCCAAAGATATACTAACGTAATACCCAAAACCCCATAAAAATAAATAAATAAATAAAAAAAACCTTCCCCGCATTCTTCACGTTTTTTACACCAATATACACAACATGGCAAAAATACGCACTAAAGACAAACACGTTATGTCTGCCAAAACGTGAACGTGACTTTAAGGATAGGCTGATCGTTTTATTATAATGATAAACACCTGCATGCGATGACAACACTCTGCTACCATTACATATTGCATATCATTTGTCTCATATTCTTGTGTTGATCAACAACGTGGAAGAACAGGTCCCTCAGGTATACACATTTCTATATTTATGTACTGAAGGCAAAGACACGACAATTCGACTTGTTTTGGCAACGCTGGGATTCACACTTTGGCACGACAAGTCTGTAACAGACTGTAACTAATCTCCCTCGAGTTATTAAAGGAATTCTAAAATAACTCAACGTTAAAAAATGATGATGTTTAAATCAAACATTTAAAATCTCGCCTCATCAAAATAATTCAAATTGTATAACAATATATAGTGCGTTTAGTTCGTTGAAATAGAGAACAAATTAGAATAACAGTTGTATATAGAGTAACATCGCTGCTGAGGATTCGAACCTACGTCTCTTTACGCTGTTGGTTATTCATCCAGCCGTCTTACTGATGAGCCTGTGTGGAAGCTGCTGCCAGCCGACCGAAAATTACCGATTCTTACGGCCCCGTGTTTATAATTATTGTACGGACATTAATTATGTAGGACTTGCGTTTCTGTGTATATGTGAAAGGAAATTATGTCCGACAGGAATACATGTCCTAGCTGCGTATAAATACAGCTGGGAATCTAGGTCCGGGTTGGACAGATATCCTAGGGAACCCACGTCCATAGGACATGTTTTCCCAGGAACGGAGGTCCGTAGGACCTCCGTTCCTGGGGGACATGCATTCCTTTCACACCGGCTTTTACTGGGGACATATTTTGGTGTGCTGCAACTTTATCTTCATTAGGTAAGGTTTTGTATTTAAAGGTGTACTGAAAAAAAAAAGATTATTTAAGTACCCAAAGTCGTTATTTATCATTATCTAAAAAATAATCCATTCTGTTAGTTTTGACATAGATTTTGTACAGATGTTAATCTAGGATTAGATGTATGGTGGCGCAACAGTCAGGTGACGCAATTCTAAGGTGGTGTGAACTCATTCAGGTTATGTTGCAGGGTTCACTTTCACTCTATGTTAGCAAGAAGTAATCTGAAAAGAGCAGAGAGCAGCGGCGTTTTGTTTGGGACAGAATGCAGTGTGGATGATTAGGAGAGTGAATAGTTCGCGAGAAAAAAAATGATGAAAATCTGAGTTTTTGGCTGTCAAATGATCTCGCTAAAATTATTTGTTGACGAAACTTAGCCACAGTCGTTGAATTACCAAAGCTGAACACATTGCCGCCAACTTGGAGACCTTACCTTGTGCAACAACTGGAGAGGGATTATGCTACCTTCTATACCGGGAAAAGTACTGCCAAAAATCATCTTGAAGAGACTTAAGACTGCCCTCGACAAGACCCTGCGAGACGTACCGTACAAGCACACGGGCTTCCGCCAAGATAGATCCTGTACAGACCACATCGCCACAATGAGAATCATCATAGAGCAGTCATTGGATTGACAGACACCACTGTACAGCGATTTTGTAGACTTCCCGAAGGTGTTTAACAGCGTGGGCAGGGAGGTCATCTGGAAACTGATGCAGCACTATGGCTTTCCCCCAAAGTACAACACCATCATTCAGCAGCTGTATGAAGATGCAACCTACCAAGTCATACATGAGAGAAAGCTAACTGATCCCTTCCAGATACAGACCGGTGTACGTCAGGGATGCATGTTGTCACCAGTAATTTTTCTGATGGTGGTGGACTGGATTGTGCCGCAATCCACTGCAGGCCATAAGACCGGCATCCAATGGACATTCACCACTGGAAGACCTCGACTTTGCTAATGTCACGAGGAAAACGAAAGTTTGTAATCTTTTTGTCAAAAGGTGCTTGCGTAACATCTTGAAACTCAGGTGACGGGAATTTATTTCAAACGAAGACCACTGGGATAGAACAAAACAAACAACAATAGAAATAGACATCAGAAGGAGGAAATGGCGGTGGATAGGCCATACGTTACGCAAACCAACATCAAACGTAACTCGCCATTCACTAGACTGGAACCCCCGGGGAAAGCAGAAAGTTAGAAGACCCAGGCAGTCTTGGCGAAGGAGCACGGACACTGAAATGAAGACAGCCAGAATGACATGGGCCGATCTGAAGAGGATCTCCCAGAATCATGTCCGTTGGAGGAGTGTTGTTGCGGCCCTTTGCTCCCCCCGAGGATATAGAGGCATAATGGAATGGAATGCATTCTAATTTATTTAAAAATTCAATAAAAATCCAGTAAAATTCAAGAAGATTATAATATAATATAATATAATATAATATAATATATTGAAGATATGTACTTTGGACATTTTTATTATGCTCTCAATTTCCAAATAGAAGTTTAGCTTTGCTAAACTTATGTTTAAGGAAACTGCCAAGAAGGCTAGGATTTGGGAGTCTACATGCTGCAGTGAAACACTGCTCTTTTCATATGTTACGTTTTATTACCTTCAAATTTAAAGGAAAACAACTGATGTGCTTCTTATTGTCCGATATCAGATATCACAGAATCCAAGTGCCACACAATTTTGCTTCAATGTTTTTGTTTTAACTTTGTCACCTAGGCGTTTAATTGCCGATGCTTTGTCATTACGACATTACAGTCGCAGGAAGATGTTGTCCTACAATGGCGTCACTTGAAACTTACCAACCAGACTTTTCTCATTACGGTGTCCTTTTCTTCACTATCAAAATTAAAAAAAGGTTGTCGAGCATTTATACACATAGTATTAACATTGTCAAAAATAGTCAACTTCTTTATTTATTTGTTTATATAAGTAGCCCTTTAAACTAAAAGAAATTGGTTAAAATGTGTTGATTTCGATTTCGATTTTATACACAACCACTGGCGCTGGTGTACGTTCACACATACACACATGAACTACAGTTCTGCTTTTTCATAAAAATGCACTTATACAAACGCCAAAGTCTATGAAAAAAGAGGCTGACTTCATTTTCAGAATTTCACATTTTGAAAAAGAGGTATATTGTGGTGTCCATCGATTTAGGTACAACTCTGACCGTGGTTGTCGGGTTCGACCACTGGATCGCCATCACGCTGTCGACAGCAGTGGTCCTGATATACACGTTGTTTGGGGGACTCTACTCGGTCTCCTACACTGACGTCATGCAGATTTTGTTCCTCTTTGTAGGTTTGGTAAGTTTCACTCGCTTTTGTGTGTTACAAAGGTGTATGAAGATCACACATACATATTTATAAACCTTTTAATTTGTAATAGCTAACGTTGTAGGTAATACAAAGATAACAATATCACCATGCATTACCACAAATGGTAATGTGTCCCTGCATGTGCCCACACACAGATGTACAGTAACTTTTGTTAATTCCCTGAACAGCAGCCTAAGTACAGTAAGAAACAACCGATTTAAGGTGGCTGCACTCCTGTTTACCAGTAGATTTGTCGAACTCGAGATCACTGAGAAGTGTTTTCTCTGGTTGTAACATCCTTTGGGAAAAATGGGAAAGTATTTTTCTTTCTTTCCCAGTGGCTGGCCATTCCGTTTGCAATGTCCAACCCCCTGATGACGTCACTATCAGAGACAACAGAGAAGTGGGTAAGGACAGTCCCTAACCACGATATCAGCACTTACATAGACATACTGCNTTTAGGTAATGTTAAATCTTTGTTTTGGCCAAACATGGATTGTCCTGGAGAAAACGGCAATTTTCCCGTACTTACCAATGATCAACGACCCTATTCCTGCATTTAAAGTTAGTCCAGTGTTTTTTTTTCCTAAACGTTTGGTTATTTGTTTAAATCTCTTAAAATATTTTAACTGACGGAGCCCTCTCTGACATTTCTTTGTCACGCGATATCGAGGGATATATCTGGTGACCTACTTAAAACAGGCAACAACAACACTATATAAAACAATAATATAAGGTTCATAAGATGTATTCGTCTTATTGCTCAAATGCATTTTTATCTTCAATGTGTGCAGTTCTGGGCTTATCGTTTTCCGACGCACTGTACAAAAACTCGCAACTTACATATGAGGATTGCATCATGTGTCTACTTTCATATAGCACCATAAGTTATTTTGGTCTCAAATGAACGCGAGAATCGGTGTGACATCCTAACGTCATTGGCAACGGATGCCTTGACGACCGGGAAGAAAGGCATCGAAAGCCCTATTGAATAGCACAGATTTAAGTTTCACTACAATAACAGTCGTTTTAGTGGTAAAATACAATATAATATTTTTTTCTTGCGTTGTTTACTATGTATTTCTTGCGGAATTTTGAATCTCAAAGAAAGAGTTATTATGGCTTTAAGTTAAACAGTAACTGCCGATAATATAATATAATATAATATAATATAATATAATATAATATAATATAATATAATATAATATAATTGAATTGAATTGAATTGGATTGGATTAATATTGAAGCATACACAATAGTGCTATGTGAAAGCGTTTATTAACGAGTCAGTCTTTGTGCTATAGTTTTATATAATATACATCTATACCAATACATTTGTACTTTTTTAGTTGCTCTGATTGGTCTTGGCGCCATTTCCGCTGCAGTCATGTCGTCTGCAGACTCCATCTTGCTTTCCTCGAGCTCCATGTTTTCCAACAATATCTATAAACCCGCAAGGATGGGGAAGGTATTTGCTAGACAGTTTCATCCTTTTTAAGATGTTATGCATTATTTTGATATCATTGTTACAGAAATTATTTTGCTTAAAAAAAACATCTGTTGAACAGCAGCGTCTTGGCAGTATGCAGTGTACCTGAAAAATATTTGTTTGAATAAGAAACAAATACGTTCTACTCATGTATGCATGTAAAAATAATATTTCAAGCATGGGTAGTATAGATATATACCAGTATTATTTTAAATAAAAAATGTAAGGTATACATGGAAATTCTCAATCACAAGCCTAAAAATGTCAGTATACCGTTAGCTTACGGCCAACCTGGGCTCGGAATCTCGAAAGGTTCGCTATGTTGCGCACGCGCTATAGTCCGATGAAGCGGGTAGTGTGGTCCGATATACCGGTTATTTCATGATCCTTAGGTGCCGAGTCTGGTAGTTGGTTAGGCCTGCTCTTGTAAATGTCAACATCAAGTTCACTAGAGAGCTGTAGGAAAACAATTATATTGCTTTCCTGGATTCATTAATCACACGTGATTCAAACGACAGCCACCTGAGTCTGAAAGTCTACAGAAAGGCCACACATACCAACCAATACTTAAGTCGCACCACCCCCTACATTACTGCTTCTAACAGGCCCTAGAATTTTCATGTATATCCAACAACCAAGCTAATGAACATTTTGCTCAAATGTAATGTAATTGGCAGAAATGTAAAATATGGCCGTTAGCTTTCAGAATGATGAGCCATAGCAACATTTTAGGCTTGGTGCAAATATGAAGGCGCAAATAAGCAGCAATGAACTTTTTTCTTGCACTTGCCTCTAACCTTAAGTTTGAAGCAATAATGCTGCATGTTGCTGCAATCTTTCAATTATATATCTAAGGGTGCATGTGTTCAGCGCTTTTTATTCAGCATTGCTTCAGTGCACTATTTTGCATGTATACCTGTCACATAATTGCAATATGACAAATGTTACTTGCACATTTAGTGACTCGCGTATAGTTTGCCCTTCAGTAACTAACTGCGACCTGCTTAAATTTTTCCAGGCCAGTGAACGTGAACTTATCTGGGCCATGCGAGTATTTATGACTCTCATGGCCATTCTGGCCACGGTTTTGGCTATCGAGATCACCAGCATCTTCAGCCTTACCATTCTGTGCTCCGACCTGATCTACGTCATCCTGTTCCCTCAGCTGACCTCGGTCTTGTTCGTAGACGCAGCCAACATCTATGGATCAATTGCTGGATATATTGTAGGATTGATCATCCGAATACTTAGCGGGGAGCCGTTGCTAGGTCTTCGAGCAGTTCTGCGGTGGCCTTGGTATGAGGAAGAAACTGATTTCCAGCCGTTCCCTTATAGGACAACTAGTATGCTCCTCAGCTTTTTAAGTATCTTACTCGTGTCCTACGTCACAAACGTTGCATTCCGTGCTGGTTGGTTGCCAAGGCGATATGACGTACTCAAAGGCATTGTTTGGCATTCAGAGAGTAAATCTAAAGGACCCGCGGATGAACAGAGATCGGTTGAGATAGCAAAACATTTACTTCCGGACGATACTAAGGATAATATTGCTTTGGAGATACGCCCCAGACAAATGGTAGAGATAAGTGAAGCTAGAAACGACGATACATTTATGTGAGCAGATGAGCAGATGACGCCTTCATGTTGGAGCCGGCGTAACAGGAATCAAAGTCCTAAGAACGGTAGTCCGGGCTCCCAAATGATTAGTGAAGGTTAGGTTTACTTGGTGTTTGGGGGTAAGTATAGGGGAAGAAGGCTACCTGTGCAAAGTAATGACAAGCGGACTACGGTACCTAGCGGACTTGCATTCCTTTTACACCGGGACCAATTACGTCTCACTGATATTCCCTGCGGTCTGCAAACAACATAGATCAAAAGTGACCATTTAGAAATGACCACCTCACAGCTAGGTGTTATTGTTATAAAACAGTGCATTTTATTCCAGATACCATTATTATATAACTACATGTAGTGTGATTAATGGTACAAAATAACGGTGAAAATATCCATATTTGGCACCATTTATTAGAATTCATAACCTGTACCTCCTCAATCCAAATTTTAACTGTTATTTCCACAAAGCATCAGAATGTGCTCATTAAAGGTCACGAATCTAATAGCGTGCGTACCAACCGTATTGCAATTCAGCCTATCTCCGGTAGGCGGTGAGGCTTGGATAATTGCTGTAGTTGAGATGAACAGCAATTCCGCCAGACAACCGGAAGCAATGAATAACATAAAATGTGATAATAACCATTGGTTGATGATTAATACTTACTGGGGCTTTTGCAAACGTACTAGCCTACTGGAAAACACATTGATGCAAGTAAAACGGTGAAGAATATGTCTGATTATCAATTAATTCGCTATTCGAAGTGCAAATATCTGTCCCCACCCCGCACCTTTTACATTGCCCCGTCACACACGTGTATATGTTTGACGGTTGAAGCCCTATCTTTGTTCTCTATCCGCCAACGCATAGAATAAATTCTAAACCCTAATGAAATTCCATACAATGTGCACTCCTAAACGCTAGGATACTAGGCCGAGGCGACGAAGAGCGTCTCAAAATAAAGGCTCTGTCACACCTAGCTTAAAGATATATCTACACATGTATAAGTGTTGTGTGTGACAGCGTTTACACGCACAGCTTTGAGAAATATGAAATAACCCTGTTGCCAGCGTGTTAAAGTGAAGTTGTTTCTGAACATGGTCACATCATTCTCCTGCACACATTCAACGTTTGCCAACGCATACGAGTTAACGACGAACACTTTGCATTTGTCTGCGTATAGGTTTTTTTTCGGTATCTGCTAAGTATGAGAGTGATTTAGCACAGCTTTCAGCCACCTAATGTGTTGAGTTATATAGAATCAGCCGGGTGTTACGATGGAACTCATTCACCTGTGACGCTCATGCACTAAGGACACCAAGGCGGTTATTTAACATTGTGTCAAATAAACATAAAGTATGTCCTTTTCAGATTCAAATTTCCCAGTCAAAAGGATGTATTCGTTGGGTATGAATAACGACAAACCAAACTAATCCTAAATGCATCACGGAGCCCACAGTGGAGTCTAAATACACTTTTGTGTTTGGAAGACTCTATTTATAGCCAAGTATTATATGTATGTGTAGGATATTTGGTTGATGAGTTGATTTGGAGGCGGTATTTAAGGCGACTCCCTTTGCGATCTTTGCTTAAGACCTAAGGCTTCTGCTCAATCCTACGGACGAGCAAGAGTCTTAAATTCACCGTTGAGTTGGAGGACTAACATTCTATCTGGTAGGCAAGTAGAGGCAGAGGTCAGCCTACAGTACTCTTATTTTGAGGAGGCCCAGAGACCCTACCATCTCTACTTGTCCCAAGTCATTTAACAACGCCTCGCAAAACGTGTTGCTGAATCAAGGACAAGACCAAGCACTCCAAGATGCAGATGATGAAGACATCACTCGCCGTGGTTATCGTTGGAGCGTTGCTGTGCGTTGATGACGGGTTTTCCGCCCCTCCCCCTGGAAATAGTCGAAAGTTTAAGGATTTTGATAAAGATAGGTAAGATAATGAAGTTTTTTGCTAAGACGCCTGATTTTATTTTCATCGCAATTAGTGGTGAGTTATTGACATTCACGAGGGGTGTTTCATATGTATTAACCCTTGGGCATGGACGTTTAATGCTCTTATATGTAGTGGCGTTCGCCCTGAAAGCAATATTCAAATACGTATTTTGCCTGACCTTTATAAATCTTATTTTATTTGAATGTATACCTTTTGTCTTGAAGTATGCATAATGGAGGATACATTGGCACTTTTTGAAATTTTTCATGAGGAAATGAGAAAATTAAAATATTTTTTTTCACCCAATGACTCCTATGAAAAGTCTATGCTAGTCCAAATCCTACAGTTAGTAAGATGAATACTTGTTTAAAAAATTATCAAGTTTCACCAAAATGTTCACCACCAAACTTTTAAATACTAATAAAATATACGTCACAATGCAAACCATGTGAAAAACAATGGTATGGTGACTTAATATAAAATAGTGCCTTTTCTTCATGAGAGTCCAAAATCCCATGGGTATGAATATAAAGATTTTTCATGATTATTTTTTCATTTTTTGCACCCAATATTTTGCCACCAAACTTTCAAATATTCCTAATATATTCTTCATAAATTATACTAAAGGGACAAATGTTGAAATGATCACCATGTAAATATCAAATAAAAAGCTTTTTCATATGGGAGTCATTGGGTGATAAAATACACATTTTAATTTTGTTATTTTCTCATTAAAATTTTCACCTGCAAACTAACAAAAAATGCAAATGTATTATCCATTATGCATACCACAATATAAAAGTCATATACTGAAATAAAATAATATTTATAAAAAAATTTTGGGGGAGTCAAAATTTCATGGGGGGAGTCACATTTTCATAATGAAATTTTGACTGGGGAGTCATATTTTCATAATGAAAATCTGACTGGGCAGTCACATTTTGGGGGAGTGAGATTTTCATGGTACACCGGCATCAATTGCGTCTCACTGATATTTTATGCAGTCTTCTGACAACATTGCTCAAAATGGCCGCTTATAAATGATCACCTCACAGGTGTAATTGTTACAAACAGTGCATTTTATTCCAGATGTCATGATTATATATAACTAATATGATAAATGGTACAGAAAAGACAAAATAGCCGTAAAGATTTCCATACTTGGTACTATTTATTTAGATTTATAGCTTTTCCTCAAACTGTGATTTCCACAAAGGTAAATAAGTGTCCAGTAAATTGATAAGACACCACCAAAATTAATGTCACCAAATTTACACCTGTTGAGCATTAGGATAGTAGTGAAATTACCTCCGGTAGGCGGTGCGGCTCGGACAATTGCTGTTGTTTAGATGAACACCAATTCGGTCAGACAACCGGAAGCAATGAATAACATTTTAAATGTGATAATAATCATTGGTTGATGATTAATACTTACTGGGGCTTTTGTAAACGTATCAGCATACTGAAATACAAATTAAATCAAGCTAAACGATAAATAATAGGTCTTATTATCAATGAATACGCTATTCGAATTGCAAATCGCTGCCCCCACCCCCGCACGTTTTACTTTGCCCCGTCACACACGCGTATATGTGTGACGGTTGAAGCCCTTTCTTTGTTCTCTATCCGCCGTCGCATAGAATAAATTCTAAAACCTGCTGAAAATCCATACAATGTACTCTCCTAAACGCGTTGATACTCGGCCGAGGCGACGAAAAGCGTTTCCAAATAAAGCCTCTGTTACACCTAGCGTAAAGACATACCTACACATGTATAAGTCTCGTATGTGACATTGTTTATATGTAAACTTTGAGCGTATAAAATAACCCTGTATCCAGCGTGTTAAAATGAGGATACAAGCGACGTATAAAACTGTTTTTCAACATGCTCACAGCATTCTCCTGGTATTCACACATTCAATGTTTGAACGTTTGCCTACGCATACGAGTGAACGACGAGCACATTGCATATGAGAGTGAGTTTAGCACAGATTTCAGCCACCTAATGTGTTGAGTTATATAGAACCAGCCGGGTGTTAAGATGGGACGCTCATGCACTAAGGACACCAAGGCGGTTATTCTCCATTGTGTCAAATACACATAAAGTATGTCCTTTTCAGATTCAAATTTCCCAGTCAAAAGGATGTATTCGTTGGGTATGAATAGCGACAAACTAATTCTAAATGCATCACGGAGCCCACAGTGGAGTCAAAAGACACCATTTGCGCTTGGAAGACTCTATTTATTGTCAAGTATTATATGTATGTGTAGGATGTTTGGTGTGACGACCTGAATTGGAGGCGGTATTTAAGGCGACTCCCTTTGCGATCTTTGCTTAAGGTCTACGGCTTCTGCTCAATCCTCCGGGCTAGCAAGAGTCCCAAATTCACGGTCGAGTTGGAGGACTAACATTCTATCTGGTAGGCAATTAGAGGCAGAGGTCAGTCTACAGTACTCTTATTTTGAGGAGGCCCTGAGACCCTACCGTCTCTAACTGTCCCAAGTCATTAAAGTCCTCACGAAACGTGTTCCTGAATCAAGGAGAAGACCAAGCACACCCAGATGCAGATGATGAAGACATCCATCGCCGTGGTTATCGTTGGAGCGTTGCTGTGCGTTGATGACGGGTTTTCCGCCCCTTCCACTGCAAATGATCGAAAGTTTGACGATTTTGATAAAGATAGGTAAGATAATGAAGCTCTTTGTAATAGAAGCTTAAAGCAATAATAACTCTTCGTTTTGGCCAAAAAATGAATTTTCCTGGAGTAAACAACAATTTTCCCTTACTTACCAATGGTTAATGAATCCATTTTTACATTCAAAGTTAGTCCCTGTTTTTTTTCTAAAAAGTTTGTTTTTTTTGTTAAAATCTCTTAAGAGACTATAACAGAGTATAGCTATCAATGGAGGTCACGTTATCTGAAGACAAGCTTAGATATCAGAATAATGGCTATAACTGCTGTTTTTGTCGTAAAACAGAATATATTATATTTCTATGAGTTATTCACAATATTTTGATTGTGAAATATAGATCTCCTACGAAGAGTTATTATCCCTTTAAACGCCTGATTTTATTTCTATTGCAGTTAGTGGTGAGCTATTGACGTTCCTAAGAGGTGTTACGTTTGTATTGACCCTTGGCCAGTGCGCTAAATGATCCTACATGTAGTGGTGTTCGCCCTAAAAACAATATTCAAATACGTATTTTGCCTGATTAATATGATGAAGACATCTAAAGAGAAAACAAATCCATGGGTCGGGTGTTCAGCAAGTTTAGACGGGATCCAATATGGGGCTCAATTGTTCGTAGATAGCTAGCCCCGAGACCTCACCTTTATTATGGAGTTCTTATATCAGACAGTGCTGACACAAATATTTGATTCGTGTGCATACCCATGTAAAATTGCGTCTTATATTAGAAAGCATTCTGCCGTGAGGTTGCTCTAACACTATTGTTCAACTGGGGTTACCGGTAGATAAGACACTCCCCAACACAACATAATAGTATGAAATATAGAGCAACGATTGTAGTTCCAATTTACCTTAGAATTTTTTTTAAAAAATGAATGGCAGTGAAGCGAGGAAAGAAAAGAAAAACAGCGCATACACCTTTTCAAATGCAGTGCCGATTGTTAAATTTTGCTTAAGGGGTGAAAGAAAGAAAAAATAAACAAAGTAGAAACAAATTATAGCCTGCGACAATCCTGTGTCATTTTGGTTGCTATGTTTTTTTTCAATAAAGGGTCTCTCGTGGTCCACCACCAACCCTCCCTCCCACACACACACATACACACACGCACATGCACATGTACGCGCACACACACACACACACACATGTACACACGCACACACACATTTACTCTCACACACACACACACAGAGGAGAAATACATGTATGTTGCAAAACCGTAGAATTATTCCACTAAACCATCACCAGGTATTATTAGAATTCATTCTGTATTCCAAAAGAAAAGCGGGGAAAGATGAATAGGACATGTGATATTCACTAGCTTAAACTTCTTTTATTATCATTTTTTTGGTCTCTAGTTGCGGATAAAACCATATGATTTATGAGACCACGACAATTAATTGTTTGCTTTTATGTATTCCTCCCGCCATGCATTTCTGCATTCATTAAAGGCACCAATACATCGAAATGTTTATACATAAAGAAGCAAATTTGTCAATATTTTAAGTAACCTAATTCACAAGGCAATGACCCGTATGACCACCATGAGATTTCGTCGTGTTATTCGTACATCAAGAAGGCAACACATTGCCTTGTTAAATATCGCTTTATTTATTTATTTGAATAAAGAACATCTACGTTTATAGGTCATGAGAGGTTTCTAAAGACACATAGCAATTCGTTACTCTCTGCCAGAGACATGCTGATTGATGACGTCAATTATTGTGCAAATACTATGTGCAAACTATGCTGACTGTTTTATTAAATGCTTTTTCTTTGTTCTGATTCTAATGAGAACTTTTGGGAAAAAAATGAAAAATTTTGAGAAAGAGAAGCAATAAAAAAATACCCTGACACTGTAAACCTGATCTATCAATTTCGTAGCGTCATTAAGGGAAATTCGGCAATGCTACATCTTTTTTTTTTAATTTGATGCCCTCGGGGAGTCCACCAACAAATTGAGAAATAAGATATTTTCTTAAATCCTCTAACAAAAAAATCTCGGTAAGAGAAACGCACGAAAGAAATGATTGTCACAAACATTCCATCTTAATATTGCTGACGGTAGTAACGTGCTTGTCTGGGGTATTGCAATCACTTCTGTACCGACTGACCTGTGCCTTGACCAATTTATCCTTAAACACTCTGGATTGTGCCCAAACCTTATGATCACGATTTTATTATTTTTATTTCTTTTTGAATAGAATCAAATGATACAAGGCGTGTGGCAACAACGGTCAAGCAAATGTATAACGGGCACCTAATGTCCATCCCAGCCACATTCAACACCATCCATGCCTCTCATTCCGTCTCAATTCACAGTTGTCACATCATATCTCATTAATAAGATACTTCCCAGACGTGAGGTAGAGATAAGTGAAGCTCAAAACGATGATACATTTATGTCATGAGCAGATGACGCCTTCATGTTGGAGCCGGTGTAACATGAAAATCTAACACCCCCAGTCAAAATTTCATAATGAATATCTGACTCTCCCCATGGAATTTTGACTCCCCCTCACAAACCTTTATAAATCTTATTTTATTTGAATATATAACTTTTGTCTTGAAGTATGCATAATGAAGGATTGGCACTTTTTGAAATTTTTCATGAGGAAATGAGAAAATTAAAATATTTTTTTCACCCAGTGACTCCCATGAAAAGGCTGAGCTAGTCCAAATCCTACAGTTAGTTAGATGAATACTTGTTTAAAAAATTATCAAGTTTCACCAAAATTTCCAGCACCAAACTTTTAAATACTAATAAAATATACGTCACAATGCAAACCATGTGAAAAACAATGGTATGGTGACTTAATATAAAATAGTGCCTTTTCTTCATGATAGTCCAAATTACCATGGGTATGAATATAAAGATTTTTTATGATTATCTTTTTTTATTTTTGCACCATATATTTTACCACCAAACTTTCAAATATTCTCAATGTATTCTTCATAAAGTATACTAAAGGGACAAATGTTGAAATGATCACCAAGTAAAAATCAAATAAAAAGCTTTTTCATAGGGGAGTCATTGGGTGATAAAATACACATTTTTAATTTTGTTATTTTCTCATTAAAATTTTCATCTGCAAACTAACAAAAAGTGCAAATGTATCCTCCATTATGCATACCACAATATAAAAGTCATATACTCAAATAAAATTATATTTATAAAATTTTTTGGGGGGAGTCAAAATTTCATGGGCAGAGTCACATTTTCATAATGAAAATTTGACTGGGGAGTCACATTTTGGGGGACTCAGATTTTCATGGTACACCGGGATCAATTGCGTCTCACTGATATTTTATGCAGTCTGCTGACAACATTGCTAAAAATGGCCGCTTATAAATGATCACCTCACAGGTGTAATTGTTACAAACAGTGCATTTTATTCCAGATGTCATGATTATATATAACTAATATGATTAATGGTACAGAAAAGACAAAATAGCGGTAAAGATGTCCATACTTTGTAGCATTTATTTAGATTCATAGCTTGTATGTCCTCAAACTGTGATTTCCACAAAGGTAAATAAGTGTCCAGTAAATTGATAAGACACCACCAAAATTAATGTCACCAAATTTACACTTGTTGAGCATTAGGAGCGTAGTGAAATTACCTCCGGTAGGCGGTGCTGCTCGGGCAATTGCTGTTGTTGAGATGAACACCAATTCGGTCAGACAACCGGAAGCAATGAATAACATTATATGTGATAATAATCATTGGTTGATGATTAATACTTACTGGGGCTTTTGTAAACGTATCAGCATACTGAAAGACAAAATAAATCAAGTTAAACGATAAATAATATGTCTTATTATCAATGAATTCGCTATTCGAATTGCAAATCGCTGCCCCCACCCCCGCGCGTTTTACTTTGCCCCGTCACACACACGTATATGTGTGCCGGTTGAAGCCCTTTCTTTGTTCTCTATCCGCCGCCGCATAGAATAAATTCTAAAGCTTGCCGAAAATCCATATAATGTACTCTCCTAAACGCGTTGGTGCTCGGCCGAGGTGACGAAAACCGTCTCCAAATAAAGCCTCTGTTACAACTAGCGTAAAGACATACCTACACATGTATAAGTGTCCTGTGTGACATTGTTTATATGCAAACTTTGAGCGTATGAAATAACCCCGTTTCCAGCGTGTTTAATTGAGGATATAAGCGACGTATAAAATTGTTTTTGAACATGCTCACAGCATTCTCCTGGTATTCACACATTCAAGGTTTGAACGTTTGCCTACGCATACGAGTTTGAACGACGAACACATTGCGTCTGTCTGCGTATATTATTTTCGCTAACCGCTTAGTATGGGAGTGCCTTTAGCACAGCTTTCAGCCACCTATAATGTGTTGAGTTATATAGAATCAGCCGGGTGTTACGGTGGGACTCTTTCACCTGTGACGCTCATGCACTATGGACATCAAGGCGGTCATTCTCCATTGTGTCAGAAAAAAAAACATAAAGTGTGTCCTTTTCAGATTCAAATTTCCCAGTCAAAAGGTATATTCGCTGGGTATGAATAGCGACAAACTAATTCTAAATGCACCACGGAGCCCACAGTGGGGTCTAAAACCACTTTTTTCGCTTGGAAGACTCTATTTATAATAAAGTATTATATGTATGTGTAGAATATCTGGTGTGACGAGTTGATTTGGAGGCGGTATTTAAGGCGACTCCCTTTGCGATCTTTGCTCTAGGTCTAAGGCTTCTGCTCAATCCTTCGGGCTAGCAAGAGTCCCAAATTCACAGTTGATTTGGAGGACTAACATTCTATCTGGTAGACAAGTACATGCATAGGTCAGTCTACAGTACTCTTATTTTGAGGAGACCCAGAGACCCTACCATCTCTACTTGTTCCAAGTCATTAAATTCCTCGCAAAACGTGTTTCTGAATCAAGAAGACCAAGCACACCGAGATGCAGATAATGAAAACATCCCTCGCCGTGGTTATCGTTGGAGCGTTGCTGTGCGTTATTGACGGG